ACATTCTCAGTTGTTTTTAGGTTTGAACTTTGACTGACCCATTCTGACACACAGCTTTGACCTAAATCATCCCTTTGTAGTGCTAAATATGCCTTTCAATTAATAAATTAAGTTTATTTGTGGAACACATTTCAGCAATAAAGCAATTCAAAGTGCTTCACATAATAAAAACACAAAAGTACAACATCATAAAATACACCAGTCAACAATTTTTTAAAAAAGGAAAAAAAAAAACATTTTGATGAGTGCAATGTTTCATTTATCATGGTTCAAAAGCAACTCTAAACTGGTCTAGATGTAAAGGAAATCAGTTACATCAAGATGATGTCCCATGTTTGGCTTGTAGCTTTCTTTTAAGAATCTACTTCTTCTTGTCACCTCCATGAAGAGCAAACTTCTGAAGTGTTTGATAAATGGTTTTTATGTCAACTATTTATTCTCTTTCCTGTAGCTCCTCGAGAGCAGAAATAGATCTCTTGGTTACTTGTCTAATAAATGCTCTCCTTGTCTGGTTTGTTAGTTGATATAAGCAGCTATATTTTTGGGAGATTTCCAGTTGTGTATTTCTGTTCCTGGATAATGGCTTGAACAGTTCTCTATGAAATGTCTAAGCTTCGGTTGTTGTTTGAAAACCTTACCCTTCTCTAAATGTTCCACAAATTTATCCCTGACCTGCCTGCTGTGTTTCTTAGTCTTCTCAAGTTTGTACATTTATTTGTATAGCAATGTTCAGTAATGAACCCCAAAGGCTTTCAGGAAACACCTGCATTTATGCTGAAGTTTAAGGGATAAAGAGAGCTGAGTACAAATGCACACCACACAAAGTTTTAGAAAGCTTTATATGTACTTTTTTTCTTTTATAACAATGTACAGCTATGATTTCATTATATACATTATTCAAATAAAATATATAGATGTGCTTGGCTGTAACATAAAATGTGTAAATGGCCAAACACTAGGAATACTTGTCAAAGTATTAGAAATCAACCTACCTGACTGAATTTACCACTTGACTCTGGTCCATCTGTAAAACACTTGCACAAATGCAGGAAATTTAATGAGCACTTAAACCGGATTGTCAGGAAGTTAAGATGTGATGCAACTCAGATCTTTTTGCATGTGTAGGAACATAAAATATGCTTTGTTAGTCTCATATGCTGTTTATCATTCATTTTAATATCAACAGGGGCAGAACTTCTCAGCCATGAAATGATAACATGTGTCCAATTTGAAGAGGTGTTGTGTTAATTTCTCTGCTCAGCCTCCATTAAACATTAAATTACCAAGGTTATGGCTCAGGAGACTGTGGAGGGAGGGAGGCTGCGAAAGGAATGAGTTTACCTCGTCTTACTAATTTTGGGCATTGACTGTTGCGGTACTGGTGGCTTCATATATCTTATTGTTCCAGACCCTGCCTTTCTCTCTTTTGTCATCTCTGCATGAGCAAAGCCCAAACATGGACTTGATTTGTAATATTAGAGCTCAGTTATACAGAGACGCATCTGTTAGTTGGTTGTGTTCTGAGTTTCTTCATCCAATCCCAGACTGCACATGCTCCACATTGCTCTGTAAACACAGGTAGAATCCCATTTTTGTATAAACCATGACATTCATTGCATTACATAGCTTCATGTGTAACGTCACAGTTTATGCATTACCAGTGTTCAGGACAAACATTTTTTACGTAACATCTTTATCTGGTGAGTCATTTAGGAGTATCATATTTTAGGAGGTTAACCCTATGATAGGACTGCTAACTTGGAATAAAATAAAAAAAAGTTTCAAATGGCACAAACTTACCAAACCACTGTAACAACATCATTGTTCACAGTGAAGCAAGTTTAACATCAACATGGTCTGACCAAAAAATAATCCCCTGTTCAGAAATAAAATTGCTTTCAAACCCAACAAAAATTCGCAGCTACCAACTTGAACAATACAAATCCTTCAGGGAGATCAATTTTAAGGTCGGTTAAAACAAAGATTGAGCTGTCTGGTTATAACGAACAGAAATATGATTGGAGAAGTTAAAGTGAGGCTTTCAATTCAAAGGAAAATACACCAACTGTCAGATACGCTGTTTCACATGAATAATGATAAAAATCACTTGAGTAAAGTTACTGCAGGTCAGTGTGATTCTCGTCAAATTTAGCCATATATACCAAGTGACAAGCTTGTTTTTGCTTTATGCAGTCAGTGCAGTGAGTAGTTTGAGTAACTCAAACTACAGAAAGTAGTTTGAGTTACTCAAACTCAAAGTAGTTTGAGTTACTCAAACTACTTTCTGATTTGCTACTCAGCAAATGCTGCTGAGTAGCATTTGCTACTCAGCAGATTTGCAAAATTAAAGTACACTATTCTAGATGTATTCCACTCACTTTATTTCATCTGTACCATTGACAGGTAAACACTTTCCAAGCATGATGCCGCCACCACTGTGCTTCCCATCTGTTACACAGTTGAAAATCAGACACGGCGTTCCAACCGGATATTGATCTGAAATGAACATCAGAACTGGCTTTGGAAAGGATAAAGAAGGCAGACATTATGCTCATTGAATGGTGCCAACCTTATCCCTGTTGAAGAGGTATAGGCTTTGTTTAAAAGCATTGTCTTGGCCAGGAAATAAACAAATCTGTATAAACTATTATTTCTGATAAAAAGAATAGTAAGACATTATGACAAAATCATGTTGAGAAAGGGTTTTTATTTCTCTCCAACTTGCAGTAAAATCACAAGGGATGATTTAATGAAATGATTATTCTGCAAAAACACAAATATCACCATCAGCTGCACTTTGTTTTCAGCATTAATACAATCTCCTGGAGGCACAGTACCACCCATAACAGAGATGCACACAGTGAAGACAAAACACTGGTATATTAGACAGTGTCACTATGAATATGTTGTCATTTAGTTGAAAGCATAGCTGTGTCAGAGGGCAACACCCCAGAGGGTGTGGAGGAGCAATGCAAGCACAACAGCCAGGTGACATTTAAGCTTTAATCTTAGGAGATTTAAGGCGCTACGTCTGCCACTTATACAGATTTCATAAAAGGATATTGTGCAGTGGTTCGGAGAAATGACAAAGTTTTCCAACAATGATGAAATATAGACAAAAAATAAAAGTTAAACAAAAACAATTAGTTATTGATTTTAAAGCACATCAAAAGGAAGAAATGACCAATTATTAAAATAATTTAAAATAAACAGTAGTGGCATGTAATATATACATCAGACAAAAACATTCTTTTCATGTTTTTTCAAGCTGAGCACAGCTGTAATCCACATGAAGGCCCCATCTGCTTCCATAAGATTGTTTTTGTTATTTCACTTTGGCAAATTGTTCTTCATACTTCTTTGCCTTTTGTGGCAATGTCCAGAAAGTTGCATAATTTGACTTTGTATAATTCTTTAAAATATTCATTGTCAGTACTGACGAATCAAACTAAAAACTAAAATAAGTTTTCAGTTAGATTTTTCACTTTTTTAAAAATTTTGTTCTAACTTATATACTTGAAAAAAAGCAAATCCAAAACTTACATCAAATTTTGTATGTCTTGGCTTATGAAGAAAAACAAAAGTAACACTGAGTCTGAAACTTTACAAAATGCATCTTCTTCTAAATGGACAACATACTTCATCTTCATCCTGTCAGAAAATTATATATATATATATATATATATATATATATATATAATATATATATATATATATATATATATATATATATATATATATTATATATTATATATATATGTGTGTGTGTGTGTGTGTTGTGTGTGTATATGACACATACAACAAGGACCCAACAAAGATGCAGACACACAGGCGACATTAAATACACAGAAGGTAATCAGGGAATGAGACACACCTGGGAACAATCAAAGGGAAGACAGGGCAACACAGAGGCTCAGAAGACAAAGAAATTTAAAATAGACACACAGAAAAACACATATCACGACATATAAAATCCCCTTCTCACCCACCGCGGGTTCTTATCCTCTGAGCTCGGGTCCTCTACCAGAGGCCTGGGAGCTTGAGGGTCCTGCAGTATCTTGGCTGTGCCAAGGACTGCACTTTCTGGACTGAGGTGTCTGTTGTTGTTCCAGGGATCTGTTGTAGCCACTGCTCCAGTTTGGGGGTGACTGCCCCGAGGGCCCCGATGATCACAGGCCCCACTGTGGTCTTCACCACAGTCCAAAACATGTGTAACCTGTGTTAATGCATCTAATAATAACAAATAAAATTATTTGTTATATAACAAATATATAAAGAATATAGATTTGTTTTATATATTGTATTTATATAACAAATAATATGTTCAGAATATTATTCAGAATATTATTCTGAACCATCTTCTCTGCATGCATGCCTTTGTGACAGCATGAACACATACGACAGTCAGTCATGCTTTTGGAGTGTGGCAGGAAGCCGGAACACCTGGAGAAAACCCACCCAATGATGGAGAGAACATATAAAGTCCTATTTTGTGGTAAAAACATTTAGTCCTAATCTTTTAACTTCTTTTTTTTTCTTAGCACTGTTCGTTTCAAGTATAGACACAGTATACTTTGAAGATTTTTTTTTTATTGAGAATGACATTATTTTAAGAGATTCTTCAAACAAAGTAAAGCAGGCACATATTCACTCTTAGGGGTGATTTAAAGTCCCTGACTAATCTAACAGTGTTTGTTTTTAGACTGTGGAAGAAAGCCGGAGCACCCGGAGAAAACATACATATGCATGGAGACAAGATTCATCTGTGTCACTTTGCAAGTGACACAGATGTATTCTGTGTATTCTGTATTCTGTTTTTTTTTTTTTTTGTCTTTTAGAAGCAGTGCTTTTTATTATTATTATTTCGTAAATAAAAGTAATTTTGTAGTTAAAACAAAACAATTTTCTGTAAATGTTTTTACAGAAAAACATTTACAGAATGTAAAATGATCTTGAATAAGATCATTTTGTCATTCTTAATTAATGGTTCATTCATGATATTTTTTTGCAAGGTTTTCTTTTTAATCAGTTTCTTATTTTGGGGGGTGTTTTTGCATGTTCTGTGGGTGTTGGGCAATCTTTTTTTAATCTTGTTTGTGTTTATGTTGTTTTTTTTTTTGTTTTTTTTTCTAAATTGGCTTGTTTCCTAAGTCTTCTCAGTTTCATCTTTCTTTCTCATAAATGTACATAAACCCATTTTTGTAAAGGTCTTCTGCACTGTCCTTGTGTGCGATTGTTACTTGGTCATCTTCAGCCTTAAAGATCAGTTGTTTGTACTTCAGATATGTGTAAAAGTGGTCAGTCTGTGAGCACAGGGTTTGGCGACAAATGACAGAGGACAAATTGAACAACTGAGCTCCATTTTGTAATGAAATGTCAATGCATGCACTGGGAATCACAGGTATTCTGAAACCTCCCTGATTAGTAGGCCGTTGCAGATGCAGAGTTATCACATCAGTATTGCTAAGGAAGATGTTTCTTTTAGTGTTGGAGAGGCAGATGTTACATTGGTGCTCATCGCAGTCTTTAAGAACAAAGCGGTGAAGAAGAGAGGCTGTTGTTTCATTTGGTTTTGCATCTGACAGGTAAACTATGGGACCTACCTCTGACAAGACCGATGTAGCCAACTTACATCGTTCACAAGTGATAATGTTGTTTAATATGCAAGCTGAATTAATGCCACATGGGTTTAACCATTGCAAAATAACTCCCAAAAATGTTGCTATATAGTTTTGCTGTGTCAAGCCTAGTATTGGCATGTTTTCACTAATTTCCATCAGAACTTGGTAGATTTCTTCGGGGGGGAAATATTTTCCTGGATAGTGCATGGCTGTTAGGAGAAGGCTAGCACAGATTGGAGTTGCTGATAAAGCTCCAAAGGCCTTTGAGGGACACTTAGCCACAGACTGTCTGGCAACAGTAAGGTTCAAAATACTCTGCATCGTGGCATTCATCCAACTGTTATTGAAGGAGTTGGAAAACTTGCAAATGTACATGGTTGGATCAATATTAGAATTTCTTTGACTTGTGTTGTCCTCTACTACGCAAAAATAATAAGAGCCATTTTGTATTTTATTGTCAGAACTGACGCTGAGTTCATCCTCTGTGATCATAACATATTGAAGAGGGTCTTGATATACTTCATGATTGTCAATGGTCACTTTGAACCCAACACTAAAATATTCCTGTCCTTCTGTGTACTTCTCATAGACATAGATAAACCCGTTATGGCAAATGTCGGCCGCAGAGGCTGTATTTGAAATTGTTACCTGATCGTCATCAGCCTTAAAAACCAGCTGTCCACACATTAGATATGTGTAAAAGTGGTCGATCTGAGGACTCAGGGTTTGGCGGCAAATGACCGAGGATAGACGGTACAACTGGGTTCCGGTTTTAACAGGAATGTCAATAGTTAGACTAGGAGTCACAGGATATTTTAAATCAACCTGGTTGTATGACCGTGGCAGATGCAAGGCTATCACATCGGTGTGATTGAGAATATCTTTTCTCTTTAAATTGGAGAAACAGACGTCACAACATTCTGCATAGGTCTCAGAAACCCACCGATTAAGCAGAGATGTGATGCTGTCGTAAGGTAGTGGAGGTGGGAGGTAAAGGATGGGACCAAGTTCTCTGATGTCAAGTAAAGCCTCCTGACATAATTCACAAGTGATTGCGCTATACAGCATGCAACTTGTATTCATGCCACATGGATTAAGCCAGACTAAAAGAGCAGACAAAAAGTTTGTTAGGTCGTCCTCTTGTGCCAAACCTACTGATTCTATGCTTTTACTTAATTCCATCTGAACTTTGTAGATTTCTTCTGGAGAAAAATATTTTCCTGGATGGTACATAGCTGTACGGAAAAGGCTGGCAAACAATGGAGTTCCTGACAAAGCTCCAAAAACAGCTTCAGGATAGTGAGCCACAAACCTTCTGGCAATACTTAGGTTGAGAATACTCTGCATCGCGGCATTCATCCAACAATTATTGAAGGAGTTTGAAAACCTACAAAAGTACATTGTTGGATCAAGATTACAATTTGTTCGGTTTGTGTTGTCTTCTGCTCTGTAGAAATAATCTGTGCTATTTTCTATGTCATCTTCAGAAAAGTCACTAAGCTCATCCTCTGTGATTATTAAATTTTGAGAAAAGTCTGAATGAGTTTCACAAATGATTTCTTCATCATTAGTGTCCGTTTCATCCTTCGTGATCATTTCTTCCTGAACAAGATCTGTGTGGGGCAACAGAGTTGTATCGTTAGAATGGATCAATTCCATCGCTTCCTCCGTCTTCTCAAAACTGCGTTTGTTACCTCTGGCGCCAGTTTCATCCTGCATTGTACTTCTGTCCTCAGGACTACCATCATGGGTGCAGCAATGTCTCCTTTGCCATATTTATTGTGTTTTCCATGTTTGTTTCTTCAGCTTCAAAACAGGTGTTTTTATCATTCTTTGTCAAAGTTGCATCTATTTCAGAGTTGTAATTGTTTGCCCCAGATTTAGCCATTATTGGTGTATTCACTGCAAATTCAGGGTTGCAAATTCTCTGTACAGTGGTCTCCTTGAACCCAACACTAAAATTGTCCTGTCCTTCTGTGTACTTCTCATAGACATAGATAAACCCGTTATGGCAAATGTCGGCCGCACAGGTTGTATTTGAAATTGTTACCTGATCGTCATCAGCCTTAAAAACCAGCTGTCCACACATTAGATATGTGTAAAGTGGTCGATCTGAGGACTCAGGTTTGGCGGCAAATGACCGAGGAAAGACGGTACAACTGGGTTCCGGTTTTAACAGGAATGTCAATAGTTAGACTAGGAGTCACAGGATATGTCAAATCAACCTGGTTGTATGACCGTGGCAGATGCAAGGCTATCACATCGGTGTGATTGAGAATATCTTTTCTCTTTAAATTGGAGAAACAGACGTCACAACATTCTGCATAGGTCTCAGAAACCCACCGATTAAGCAGAGATGTGATGCTGTCGTAAGGTAGTGGAGGTGGGAGGTAAAGGATGGGACCAAGTTCTCTGATGTCAAGTAAAGCCTCCTGACATAATTCACAAGTGATTGCGCTATACAGCATACAACTTGTATTCATTCCACATGGATTAAGCCAGACTAAAAGAGCAGACAAAAAGTTTGTTAGGTCGTCCTCTTGTGCCAAACCTACTGATTCTATGCTTTTACTTAATTCCATCTGAACTTTGTAGATTTCTTCTGGAGAAAAATATTTTCCTGGATGGTACATAGCTGTACGGAAAAGGCTGGCAAACAATGGAGTTCCTGACAAAGCTCCAAAAACAGCTTCAGGATAGTGAGCCACAAACCTTCTTGAAATGTTCAGGTTGAGAATACTCTGCATCGCGGCATTCATCCAACAATTATTGAAGGAGTTTGAAAACCTACAAAAGCACATTGTTGGATCAAGATTACAATTTGTTCGGTTTGAGTTGTCTTCTGCTCTGTAGAAATAATCTGTGCTATTTTCTATGTCATCTTCAGAAAAGTCACTTATCTCATCTTCTGTGATTATTAAATTTTGAGAAAAGTCTGAATGAGTTTCACAAATGATTTCTTCATCATTAGTGTCCGTTTCATCCTTCGTGATCATTTCTTCCTGAACAAGATCTGTGTGGGGCAACAGAGTTGTATCGTTAGAATGGATCAATTCCATCGCTTCCTCCATCTTCTCAAAACTGCGTTTGTTACCTCTGGCGCCAGTTTCATCCTGTATTGTACTTCTGTCCTCAGGACTACCATCATGGGTGCAGCAATATGTCTCCTTTGCCATATTTATTGTGTTTTCCATGTTTGTTTCTTCAGCTTCAAAACAGGTGTTTTTATCATTCTTTGTCAAAGTTGCATCTATTTCAGAGTTGTAATTGTTTGCCCCAGATTTAGCCATTATTGGTGTATTCACTGCAAATTCAGGGTTGCAAATTCTCTGTACAGTGGTCTCCTTGAACCCAACACTAAAATTGTCCTGTCCTTCTGTGTACTTCTCATAGACATAGATAAACCCGTTATGGCAAATGTCGGCTGCAGAGGCTGTATTTGAAATTGTTACCTGATCGTCATCAGCCTTAAAAACCAGCTGTCCACACATTAGATATGTGTAAAAGTGGTCGATCTGAGGACTCAGGGTTTGGCGGCAAATGACCGAGGAAAGACGGTACAACTGGGTTCCGGTTTTAACAGGAATGTCAATAGTTAGACTAGGAGTCACTGCATATTTCAAATCAACCTGGTTGTATGACCGTGGCAGATGCAAGGCTATCACATCGGTGTGATTGAGGATATCTTTTCTCTTTAAATTGGAGAAACAGACGTCACAACATTCTGCATAGGTCTCAGAAACCCACCGATTAAGCAGAGATGTGATGCTGTCGTAAGGTAGTGGAGGTGGGAGGTAAAGGATGGGACCAAGTTCTCTGATGTCAAGTAGAGCCTCCTGACATTTTTCACAAGCGATTGCTGTGTACAGCATGCAACTTGTATTCATTCCACATGGATTAAGCCAGACTAAAAGAGCAGACAAAAAGTTTGTTAGGTCGTCCTCTTGTGCCAAACCTACTGATTCTATGCTTTTACTTACTTCCATCTGAACTTTGTAGATTTCTTCTGGAGAAAAATATTTTCCTGGATGTTGCATAGCTGTACAGAAAAGGCTGGCAAACAATGGAGTTCCTGACAAAGCTCCAAAAACAGCTTCAGGATAGTGAGCCACAAACCTTCTGGAAATGTTCAGGTTGAGAATACTCTGCATCGCGGCATTCATCCAACAATTATTGAAGGAGTTTGAAAACCTGCAAAAGTACATTGTTGGATCAAGATTTGTTTGACCTGCTCTGTAGAAATAATCTGTGCTATTTTCTATATCATCTTCAAAATTGGCACTTAGCTCATCCTCTGTGATTAATACATTTTGAAGAAAGTCTCGATAGGTTTCATGATTAATTTGTTCGTCCATGGTGTCATTGTCATCCCCAGTAGAAATTTCTGCCTGAACTGAATCCACGTCAGCATAAGAGTTTGTCAAATCATCTAAGATTCCCTCAAAACCTGTCCTCATATTTTCTCTTTTTGTGGTTTCAAAGGTAATCTTCTTGTCTTCAGATCTGGTTTCCGTGTCCAAGTTATTACTGGCAAAAACACAATTTTCTGATGTCTTCATTATGAAATTTTTTGTAGTGGTTTGGCACCAATCCTTGAGCAAATTATTTTCTGTGAAATAACTTTCACAATGTCTTACTAAGTAGGGTTCCAACAGCACAGCAATCGGCACAAAGCTTGTTGACAGGATGTTCGATTTCAATTATTTGGAAAATATAAACTGTAACAAGTCGTCTCTCTCTGAAAGCAATCTACCTTCAACAAAGTTGAGAAGTATACTAAGAAAAAATTCTGTCTTGCAAAAACAGTCCCTTTGAACTATTATCTATGAGAACACTGTATGATGATGTCACAAGTAAGCTCTGTTTTTATTGTTGCTATGGAAACTCAAAGAGTTAAATTCAAATTGTTTTTTTAAAATAGAAAATAAAAATGCTGAGGGATTGCCCCATTAAATATGTATACCAAATGAGACACTTTCATCAAAGTTTTATTTAAAATATTTAAATCTTAAGTTATTTTCTTCATAAAATTATTAAAAATTTTAAAGAAAATTTTTGTTTTAATTTTGTGTCTTAATATGTTTTAAAAGCTTCAGATGCATTCTTCCACTTTGATGACACATGTAGTACTTTTATCCTCCACCAGAGGGCTTGAGACAAAAATATTATTTCATTCCAATTGCGTTAAACAGGTTGAAGACTAAGAAATATCCATATCAAAAATTAAATTTTTGGTGTTTGATTAATATCAATTTATAAATATCATTCTGCACTTATTCAACCACTTCTTCAAAACAGGACTAAGGTTGCAATACTGCTGGACAATTGTTTTATTCTTTTCATAGTTCATTTGTTGACTTCTGCCTCTCACTTTTTACATGCTTCAAACTACTATGTTTGTGATTGAAAATAACTATACTCTTTATTTCATATCATCTGCTTTTTTGATTCCTAAGTCACTTGGCTGCAATGTCACATTGTGGAGTTTTTGGCATAAAATTGTAACAAAAATCAGTGCTTTCATACTGGGAACTGTAGATTTTCTAGGACACCACTGGTTTCTGGCTTGAGTTCAGAGGTGTGAGTGCTGTAGGACATTTTCTCATTACAAAGCAAGGTCAGCATGATATTCCTCTGTTTTTTTCCTCTCTCAGCTATTGCAGTCCTTCTTACCCTTCGCCTTTTGCCTTGCCTCCTCTTGTGCATCCAAGCAATCAAACTTTCACCACACTTGTGGCTTCTGTCTCTACCTATGTAATCTAATGATCATCCTGTGTCTGCAGTGTTCAATCTTTCTTCAATATTTGAAGAGCTCACTGTCACTTTCTCTGCAGTGTCACCTATAGTAATGTCCATATTTCATCCAGCTGTTACCCCTCTTCAGAGGGATTACAGCTAGGTTAGAGAGCTAGAAGTGATTCCTAAGATACCAGTGAATATTGCCACCCAATGCATATTTTCAAATATAAAAAGAATGTTTTAAACCAATCTCACTGAAATATAGCTTAAAGAAAGACAGATAGAAATTGTATCTTTCATTTAGTTCTGTTCAGAGGAATTTATCAATTCATCATGAGAATGATAAGGGACGCTTGAACGAACATAAGATGGATGTATGCATATGTTTGAGTCTATATGTATAGTTGTAATACTTAAATGTTTGTAAATAATTGAATAAATACAAGTGTAGATCACTTTTAGTAATATCTGGTTCACTTTTAAAGATTTTACTTACTTATTCTAAGTGAAATTAAATAATAAAGTACAACAAATTTAAACAAAGACAAGAAAACATTTAAACATTTTGGTGTTTTTGAATAAAATGTCAGCAATACGTGTCCCTGTTCCCCCCCCACGTACATACAATGTTTCTCCTAAATTGCTCTCTGTTTCCCTCTGTTATGCAGCTCGGCTGTGGAAAAATCCAGAAGACTTTGGCAGAGCTTAAAGGGCAATTAACAACATCATGAAATAAACCAGCAATGTCCTGTTTGACAGGAGACCAATGAAATGGGTTCTATGCAAAATGTTTGAAAATATCCTTTCATGGAAATGTCAGCAATATATTTAACACATTGAAGCCACTACCCTGTGTATAATGTGCGCTCTCTTCATGTGTTACCACAGTGTGCTGCTGTTGGACCGCCTCCAGGCAACAGAGAAATGTGACCATAAAGTTAACATCCCGTTTGGATTATCCCGTTGCAGTAGGTGAAATTAGGTTTTTGCCATTGAGGTGTCCTTTAATGCATCCTGGCAACACAGGATAATGACATTTACAATGAAGCAAGAGGAGCAAAGGCAGCTTCAGAAAGTCAGCATGAATTAGGGAAAGTGTCCATCTTTCTCTCTGTTTGTCAGCATGCTGCTCTGTGTCCGTGGCTAAGAAGGTGTCTGAGTGATAATCTGATCCTAATCTGATTAGATCTAATCAGGCCTGATGTAAAGTGATCCATTTTGATACTCTGATTGGATTTGTCAAGTGATTTCTGAGTGGCACACATCATTGCCTAAGAATTAAATATTTTGTTTATGATGTAGTTGCTCTTTTTTTTTGAGTCTACAGGAGCTTTTAGTTTTCTTTTGCAATATAAACACTGCATTTGAAATAGCTGGACGACAAGTACATTGTGCATCAGTGCTTGCCAAATGTCATGCTGACCAACAGCAATGCAAACAGGAGTAATTAGCCTCCTTCGTTTTGTTGGAACTGTACCACAGACATGCAAACACGCAAACCTGCAATTTTGGTCAACAGGTACCAATGTGCACATGGAAAGAAAGGGTGATGAATATGGAAATCCATGCGCAGACACATGCACAAATAAAGGCTGTTGCCAAGGGAGGCCTTGGTGTGACACCATATGCTGCAGTGTTGGCAGCCCCCAAAGTTCCACTATGATGTGTTTGGCCTTTTTTTTAAATTCTTAAACAAAATGGGGTGCAAAGATGAGGAAATCACGGTAATCTGGGGCTGGGCATCTAATGTCACTGATGAGAAAATGATTGTGAGTAAAAGAGTAACGTTTCAGCTGACAGTTTTATACTGAGCATACGCTTAATGTCTGTAAAACCGGATATCGTGAAAGAAAAAGAACAGGCTTTGAATGGCTGCATGCAGGGATAGAGGGGCAAATAAATAAATAGAAAATAATGCATAGTATTCAAATGTGGAGTCAATGAAATCTAAAAATTGGGCTCTGGATTTGTATTATGCAAAACTGTTCATGATTATAAATAAAATTCAAACTGTTTTTTTTTTTTTTTTTTTTTTTACAGTTTCTTCAACTCAACATTGCTGACCTAAACTGAAAGGTCAGGCAGGGAATCTGTTGACATGGCAACCATTAATTAGCCTTAAACAACACAAGGTCTTTTTAAAAATAAAGCCTTTTTGAAAACAAAGTAAAAATTTTTATTTGCAGGATTTTGTTTCTCACAAAGCGTGCAGATGAGACAACAAGAGACAACATCAGCAAGAACTTGGAGAGGGATTTTATTGTGGAGTTTCAGAGTAAATGAGGATAAAGGTAGAAACATGTCATGCTTATTAGATTTTAATCTGGGATTTGTTTTTAAACCATAAGTCAAATTTTTTTAGTGTGTCTTTATTATACAGTAAATCACATAAAAGCTTTTAATGGTAAAATTCTGTGAGTTCAAGTGGATCTGAATATTTTTGTGATACACTTTAAATAAAGTCCCCTCAGCAGGCCTTTCTGTCTTATAATATTAAAAAGGAATAAAAAGTATATTAAACGACATCATGGAATATTATCTTAAACTTTTCTCAATACCTTGCTTGAAATGTTTCCCACTGAGCTATATCGAGTCACCTGCCAGCCTCAGTTTGCATGTAAATCTATACAGATGATATAGGAACACCCATGGCAGACAGCTGCGTGACTCATAACTCCAAGAATACCATCAGGGTCCCACATGTCATCCACAAGTTAAACAGAGCTCCTCTTAGCTTATTGCTTGAGGTTAGGGTTTTGCTGTGATCCAAGCAGCTGCTTTGGGGATCTGAAGAGCTGTGTGTGCTGTTTACTTTGCAGTATATGACATCTGTAATGCTTCACAGCCTGGTCTGAAGCTATTTGCTGCTGCTGCTGCTGCTGCGAGCTTGGCTTGTGTGAGACATGGAGCTGCAGAGTGCAGGTGCCTCCCAAGTTACATTCAATATTGTTGTTGTTTGGCTGTTTCCTACTTACCGTCTTGATCACCCACTGATTATCCCATCTGGAAAAACAACTGATCAGTTGGCTGTGAACTGAGATTTTAAGTGCAAGAAACACTTTTGAATTTTGTTGTGGGATTTGGTGACCAGTGTTGCCACAATCACCTCTGAAATTGAAGACAAACATTTACTCTACAACTTATCTAATATTTTCTTGTATTGATACATTTTAATAGGTATTCTTAGAGAAGTTGTGATTTCAGAAAATCCTTTCAAGTGTTTCCTACAACAGCTGTGATCCATAAAAGGCGAGTATTGGGCTATTTTGACCCAGGGGAGCATGTTTTAGATTTAGCCAAACTAAAATAGAAACCAAACAAAACATTCACTTATTGTAAAGGAATGAAAAAATGCCCCAACCCCACATTTGATAGTATAAGTTACACATTTTTGGATAAGGAATGGAAAATAAATTAGCTCTACAATTTCTGATAAGAGCATTCAGTCAGAATTGCAGAAATTTATTGGCAACTAAAAGCAAGTGATTTCTCTGCAACACATTGAGCCAAATATCCGCCTGTGTGTATAATTTAGAAGTTGTGTGCTTAGAGAAAATCCACAAAGGATCCAAACACATCCAACCAATTTTTTTTTTTTCAAAAAAATTAGTTTTATGAGGCCGTGTAAAAAGAAAAAAAAAACAATTCAAATGCATTAAAAGACCAAAATTATGCAGATGTCAAACTGATGTTAACCTCTGACTGGAACTGTTTATAATTATTGTATATTTACATAAGTCTTAATTTCTGCATAACAAAAGTCACATGCTCTAAGTCTGTTTTTTTAAATGTGATCTTCAGATTCTGCATCAGATGCAACTGTTTTTTTTTCTTTTAGCAAACACCAGAATCCTAAATAGCAACTTCATAAAAGTAACGCAGATGTTTTGCAATCAAGGCCCAAATATGTAATCATAGTATAATTCTGATATCATCATCATAAGCCCATCTCCAATACTGTAAATCCACTCATGGTACTGCAGCGTAAGGATTAGAGAAAAGTTTTTTTAGTTTTGGAATTAGATTTTCTAGATTTTATGCCACACAGTTTATGACAGGCTCCAGAATTATAATAAATCAAAAGTGTAATTGTTGCATACTGCAGTCACACTACTAATATATAAAATATGTCTCATGAAGGACTTAAAATACATTCTAACTATATTTTAAATGAAGTTCAATCACAAACATAGTAAACTCAAAATATATTAAACAAGCATGTTTATATTACATAAAAAGCAATATAGTTAAAGTATACTAAGTGTAACTTATGTTGTCCAAAAGTATGTTGAAGTATACTTAATACACTTTAAATTGTGTTTTAATACAACTTAAAATATCATTAACATGCAAAATTAGTTGTTCCAAAATGTCACACTTTAAGTTAACTAATCCTAAGTGAACTTGAAGTATGCTTAAGTATGTTAAAATTTAACATACTTAGTGTATTAATATTTCACCAGGGTTAGGGAAGATTTTTGTCTATAATGACCCTCATATTGCTTCAAATCTGATATCTGTGAGCCTGTCTGCATGAATGTCTTTAAAGAGTAGAAAAACACTTTGGAAACACCTTCTGTAAATGCCTTGAGTGCACATCTCTGTCTACATGTTATGTGTATGTCTAAGACATGCAAAGTGAACCTAACCCCTGAAAATAATCAACATGTATGTTGTAACTGCAGAAACTTGTTCTGGCTGTTGACATTTGAGGAGAGTGAAACACAGAGCCTGCAGGGTCTAGCAGCTGCAAAGGCTTGCTGCACCATTGGATGTGCAGCAAAGCAAAGCGTTACGCCTTTTTTTTTTTTTTTTTTTTGAAACAAAAAAAAGGTAACACAAAGTATTTAGATCTGTGACACAAGCACACTGGTTCACACACGGCCTATTTGAAACTTCTCGTGGTGTTTCTTTCTTTTTGGCAAGAGATGTTGGGACGGCAACAGCTCAGGCAGCAGCTCAGGCTCACTAACTATAAACTGTCCTATCATAAGATACACTTGGCACAACCTTCTCTCTCTCTGTAACACACACTCCCTCAGGACATTGTGTATCTGTGAAACGTATGATCTGCATGTCCTGAATATCTGGCCTGTGCTGATGTGTTGCAAGTATGTTCACACGTACATGACACAGCATGCATGCAAGGGTGAATGCATGGGTGCATATGTGCATATTTGTCAGCACTTAATGGTGCAAAAGTCAAATACACATATCAAGGTCAACCTTAACAGTTATAAAAAACAGAATGTAAATGTAAGTGTTTATCTGAAGGGAAAAGCTCAGGTTGTGTGCTGCAATCGAAAGCTTCAAACTAAGTTGACTCCGTGTTTGGGACACACCCAGAGGAAAAAGTGAAAAAAAAGAATAAAAGAGAAAATAAATTCAAGTGAAAAAAGGAAGTTATGTCAGTCATTCTCACTTCAAATTGTCTTCGGTTGTTGTCATCACTTACAATAACTTGCAACACTGCACACGAGACCAGACGTTCAGAGAAATGGGTTTGAACAGATTTATAAAACAAAATTATCTCGAGAAGTAGTCTGACCTTTTTCACAGTGTGTACAGCTACAACCACAAACATTCAGGTACGTTGTTGGGATTGTATGTGATAAAAAAAAAAATACACAAAGGAGTGCATTACTGCAATGTGGAAGGAAAATGAAACATATTTTTAAATTCTTTTCAAAACTGAAAGTTTGAAAAGCATGTTATACATTTTTACTCAGTCAGTTTTGAGTTCCTTTACATTGTGGCAGAACCCTTATTAACCAAGAATAGGGATAATAACCAGATGAAAGGAGGTCTGTAGAATCCAGAGATAAATACAGGCTAATCAAGGAGGAAAAAAAACATTAAAGGACTGCATAAGACTTCAGAGAGAGACAAAAACAATGCAATACTTAGATTGAAGCATATTTTTTAAATTGATGGTCATTGTCAGTTCCCTTTACATTTTATTTTAAATTTGAGATACTCTGTTGATTGTTACCTCAGTCTCTAAATATGCAAAGCTGGACGTCACATGACCCAAAAGTCTTGCAGTAGTTTTTGAAACACTACTTTCAAGCACACATTTTTTGTGTGTGAAACCGAAAGACTGTGCAGTTGACAGTAAACAAATAATTTTCTCACATGTTCCATTCTGAGGTCAAGTGAGGTCAGAGTGACTACAGTGGTCGATCTTGTTATTTTTTTCTTGTTAAATTTCCAATAGCATTCTGATATCAAAGATTTTTTTACTAACAGTAAACTGACTTTATTGACTATTAAGTGAAAATAAATGACATCCTGTTTTCCTCTTTATGTTGACTCATGACATCTCAGTAATTTTCAATGTTTTCCTTTAAAAACAATCACTTCCTCAGAGGTACATTTAGGTAAACCTTGTATACAGTTCACATAATGAAACGGTGCATTTTAAATACATAATGCACCTGTATTGGTATAGAAAACGAGCAAACAAAGTTGATCTTACAGCTGAAGTGTATTCCCTCGTTGTGTGCTGCAGCAATGCATCTGATAGTATTTCCTCTGCAGCAGCTGATACTGTAGCCGCTATGAGCGTCTGCACCTGTCGACCCTCCTCATGGCTCACAAAACACTCACACACACGCACGACGAATCCTCTCTGAGGAAAACGTGCAAGCCGAGTCCTATTGAATAACGCGGGCCACTGGATGAGCACAGAAAGGCTCTGTCTCAGGAGCTTAGCTAAAAAGGTTAAAGGGGCATTGAAACGCGACTCGCATTTCCTAATTTCAGGTTTCCTGGATTTTATGGACATTTCTGGAATACCTTAATGGTGAACCAGTGAAATCTTTGTTGCACTTCTTGGTCAACAATGTATTAGACTGTTGCCAATTTCTTTTAAAATGTTTTTTACGATGCTGTTGTGTGCTGAGGTATAAAAAATGCACTGCAGTAGTACATACTGCAGGATAGAAATCTGACACAGGAAAAGATTTATTTAAAAAAATAAAAAAAGGGGATTATTTAAAACATTTTCAGTTTGCCCTACTGACACTTAGAGAAATCCTCTTGGATAAGCCAGGATTGTGAGCTTCTCTGACTCGCTGTTACTTATCAGAGTAGTTGGAGTTTTTTGTGCTAGTTGTCAGAATCTTGAAATGACCATTATTTTCTTGTACATGAGTTTCTTGAACTATAGTTGCTTTCTTGGACTAGTAAACAACTTTCAAGCACATATGTGAACTTCTTACAACTTTTTAAATAGAACCTCACTCCATAAATGCTCCAACTGTCTCTTAGAGACTGCTGTACACAACAGCAGCGGTAACTGTAACTTGCTTCACAAAAACTCCTCAAATCTTTTGCTTTTTTGTTTTTAGAAATCAAGCAGTGGGTATCTGAGATTAAATAAAAAAAGAAGAAAAAAACTGGATCTGACTGGCTCTGCTTCCCCTGCTTCTCCCACAGCACCACAAAACTGACTCGCAGAAATAAACACACACTCACCAAGTGAGGACAAGCAAAGGGACATATTTAAATGACACAGTTTCAAACTTTGTTCTTTTACTTACAAACATATACAACAGCTTATGAATAAATATTTACAACAGTGAGATGACATTCATTTAGATCTTAAGGAGGTAGAAAACAAAATGCTTTTCTCTGAAAAGCTTCTGAAACTGAGAGCACAAGCATCACTTAAAGTTGTTTCAATGTTTTGAGTTTTTGGCCTGGCATCCAACATTAAATATGAAAGGCTTTAGGATTAGACATTTTCAGAAAGTAAATCTGTAAAGTGTTTATTTTTGTCTTTGAAGAATACAGGAATAAATTTGAATTTCGGTAAGATGAGAGCTAGGGATATAAAACCAAAGGAAAAGTCTCTTTAAGACAGATGTTCAAACATATGTGCTTAATATTTACAGGTAAATGCATGTTTGGCTGTAATTAAAAAAAATTAGAAAACAAGATTTGCAAATATGAAAACTATTTACCTTACACAAGGAAGTCTTTCAAATGTAGAACACGCAACCAATTATACTTACACAATACAAAAAGTACAAGAAAACAAGTTTTTACATTCCGCTTCAACTGAGCATCTCAGATCATTTTATTCTGTGTAACCATTTAAACATGTGTAAACAGAGCACTGTGTTTGTAAAGTGAACGTTACAGGCAATCAATAGATCCAGTGACTATGTGATGACAGAAATGAATTCAGGGAAGCAAAAGAAACCATCTGATAGTCACAAGTTAAGGGCCTCAGATGTTTATCTCATACACAATTATCCCACCGTAAATGCCTCTGAGGTTTATCGGGAGGGAACTCAGAATAATGGGGCAGTTCTTCACAATCTTATTATAAGTGGAGCTCCCACAACCCCTCATCTTATCCACCCCCACATGGAGTAAGACTTTCTGCCTCACAGTGAGCAAAGTTCAGAGATTTTTCTGGACGTTTTGTCTGGATGTGGAAAAACCTTATTAGCAATGCAAATCAGGTGTTTTTCTTCTTTGTGGTCTACAACTAATATGTTATGAGATGAAGGTTAATCACTAACCATATTCCGTCCTCCACATTAATTATCATACCTGTAAAAAAGTGAAATATGAAATAATTAATCTGTTGTTGCAGTAGCAAATTCTCACTCTGAAACGTTTTAATTATATTATAAGACACAGAAGCCCATTTATTTTAGCCACCGTTCATTATCACTAAAGTTAGACAGATTTTTATTGGCCTTCATAAATCACTCTTCAAAAACAGCTGGCTCATATCTGCAGTCAGAGCAGTTTGAAAGAAGTAAAGCTGTAACAGATAAGACTGATTTTTTTTACATTCATAGCTTTGACACATAGGCTAACTTAAATGGATGGAGTTTTATTTTTGTGAAAAGATTTAAGAAAAAGTGATCTGACTCCAGTAGATTTTTAAGGGGTGCTGCTTATCCTGGAAAGGCTAAAAACCAAAGAATATTTGGATGACTCAGAACAAGACTGTTAAAACAAATCTGATAACATTTCAGCCTTTTACCCAAAAATGCAACAACTTCACTGGACAAATAAACTTTTCTTACTATATGATCAGGGCAACCAGGCCTTAGGCAGATACAGATATTTATCAAAAACATTTACTGATGCATCATTATGATAAATGTGATTATAATCAACCACAGAAAGCTCAACACATTGTGGTTAACACGGACAACAGTCTAAATCTTTACTTTCCCAATAACTAAAGCTGTTTGAACTATCTAAACATTCACGTCTGCTATGGAATATACAGATAAACTATAGCTCAACACATTCTTACGCTACCTTATATATGTGTAATTTAATCTGCAAAAACTGGCAACAAATGCCACATTTTTAAAGGAGAACATTTTTTACAGTTTTCAATAAACAACTTGGAATGAAGTAACCTGAATTCACTTGTGAAAATAATGAGGTACTTTCTCCATAGCTCTTAAAACTCTACATTGTCAGTAACATTGCTAAGCTAATAAAGTAATAAAGTTGAACATCACCAAAATGTGCCATTTTTGGATGTTATCCTACAATTGCTAACAGATGAACCAGTGTTACAATCATCTGTTGTTTTTTGCAACTGAACAATAGGCACATACCAGTACCTTCTTCAACATTCATGTAAAACTTTAAGATAGTCGAAACATGAAGATTGTGGAATACAGTAGCTGCCGGTGAAAACCAGTCTTTCATCTCCAACATGCAATGTACTATTTTCTAAATAAATGATTGAAAACTGTGTCACTTCCGATACTCAATCTTTTTTAAAACTTGTATGCTTAGTAAAATATTTTATTTTGTGCCTTGGAAAATTATCAAATACCCCTTCAAGTTTCTCATATTTGATCACATCACAACCATTTTTCTGCATTTATAGGTGACAAACCGACACAAAGCAATGCACAAAATGTATTGTCTACAAATGAAGGTGAAATAAAAGGCATTCAAAAGTCTTGAAAAATAAAATCTGCATCAAAACCTTCTAGATCAAAAGAGTTCAACTCCAGTCCTGAAGATGTTCTGCAGCTTTTAGATGTGTCCTTTCTCCACACATACATTTTATTTAGGGGAATCAGAATAAAGGTTGGGCAACAACAGGTCAGTGCCACACTTTACATTCTCAAATTTGTAAAAAGAAAATCTGTATCTTTTGTTGTGCTCAATTCATATTTCCTACTTTGTGTTGATCTGTACAATAAGGTTTGTTAAGTGATCAATTTCTGAAAATCTTCAATTGGTGTAAAGATTCCAGTCAGACATTATACAATAAAACACTAACTTGTGGATAAAATCTTAAATATCCCACAAAGTACTCCAAAGAGATGGATGCAAACCCAGCTGAGTACCATCATTATATCAAAGGAGGATAGAATTTCTAATAAAATTATATGTTCTTTTATTATATGGAAATTATCTTGTAAATTCAAGCCTTGTTTTTAAGTCTTCAATAATTTAAGCTTTTCTTTACAGATTGATTACTTTAAGACACCATTCAGATTGACTTAGGATCAAATGGACTGTTTTATATGAATCAAATGTTACAATGTTAATATTTTCCATTATTATAGGTATTTAGTTCCCACATTCACCTCCTTAAAAGAATCCAGAGAAATCGATGGCATGCCACAATTTTGTATCTTATCTATGAAAATATTCCCTATTTTTTGATTGGGTGAATGTATGAATGCTAAATTAATCTTAGATCACTGATTTTTGTATTTCAGTCTATTGAATGCAATTAATAAAACTGCAATAGAGAAGAAGAGCATGGATATCAAGTAAAACCACAGTAACACTGAGACAATATAATCTTATCCAGCCATGTTATGCACCAGAAAGTTCAATCAGTCCATCAAAGATAACCAAATTAGCTAATGTTATACAGAAATGTATTTTTAAAGGAGCAGTATTATGTATTTTCCAGGCATATAGTGCCATTTTATTGCATAATCAACCAACTATGTTACCTTCAGTTGTTACAAAAGTATCAAATGGGATTTCAAGAACATTTCATTTCCTGATTTAACTCCTTGTAATTGGGTCTCTGTCTCTTTAAAAACTCCTACTCTTTCTGAAACTTTGCCTTCAGGAAATCATCAAACAGTGCTCCTCCATTAGCCTTTTAGCAACATTTTTACCAGCGTTGCACTGAGAAGTAGCTTGCATAATAAGCTCAGCAAATGGACAGTTCCACCAGGTGTTTGCTAATTGGTGATGGCTAGTCTGGAGGAGCTCAGTAGGGCGCAGACTCTAATGAGAGGGATGCTCTGTGAGGCAGAAGCTAGAAAACTGTAACTCCGAGGAGGAGCTGCGACATCGAAGGTGTAGCTACATACAGTCAGGCGTTTTGAACAGTTGAATGATTGCAATTTGAGATTAAAAGATTTCTCAAACATGCTTTAAAGAATTGAGACAACATTACATGTATGTTTTTGATAAGGAATAAAATTAATATATTATGCAAAGCTCAAAGAAGTTCATTTTACATGATACCACCCCTTTTATTTAAGGTCTGATGTCATTGTTTTTGGTCAAGCAATAGAAGCAACATTTTCCTTACAAGTCCTACTGCGGGAGCTGTTTTCCTCCCAACTGGTCAAGGAACCAGGAGCTACATCTAGAACCTGCTCTGAGCATGACGCTGGTAGAGCCAGGGTCAGAGAGCTGTCTTGAATTGAGCTCTCCAGACTTCCTTTCCACACTGATGTTTCCTGAGTGTCCAGCCCCTTGACACGGTTCAAGTCTGAGTTCCCATTCTGCCTCCGTGGAGAATTGGGGTAGTTGTGTCTCTCATTACACCATCCACATGCCCCCTTCCAGCCGAAGATTCTTCCCCTCAAATGAAGGATCTCCTGGAAGGCGTGCCTGAAATCAGGACTGCGGCAGTAGATGAGGGGGTTGAAGGCAGAGTTGGAATAACCTAGCCAGTTAAGGAATCGAAATAGTTCCTTATAGTCATCGAGATCTACAAACGCTACGACAATGTTGACAATGAAAAATGGTAGCCAACACAATGTGAAAGTTCCCATGATGATTCCCAGAGTTTTCACGGCCTTGTGCTCTTTAAGACAGAACTTGAGACGCTTTGAAGCAGATTGCCTGCCTTCTTTTTCCATCCTCACTCTATTTTCTTCTCTCTTCTCCTCTTGCCTGTTGTCCGTATCCTCAGTTTGCTGCATGTTCAGTCTGTCCTCTCCATCCGCTCCTGTCCTGAGTTTATTCAGTGCAGGGCTGTCTTCTGGGTAAGTCAATGGTGCAGACTTATGTAGGTGGTAGAAGTGCCGTTGCCTTCCTCGGATCTTTTCCAGCTGCTTCTGAGCCTCTTGGAATACACGGGTGTAAAGAAAAATCATCACCACCAGCGGCAGATAGAAGGACACAATGGAGGAACAGACTGCATATGTCGCGCTGGTGTTGAATTCACAGCAGGTCTCACTGTATAAGCATTCCACAGCTGATTTTTTGTCTGACACCCAGACTTTGAGATAGATGGGCAGGAAGGAGATGAGCGAGGCCACTGCCCAAACTACAAACACCACCGTGAAAGCCCGAGCCCTGGTAAGCATCAAGAGACAAGAAAGTTTAAACATGAGAAAGATGATAAAAAGCATGCAGATCACTGACAGATGTTGTTGTTATAAATCAGGAAATAAAACATCTACCTGTAAATGTTGCCTTTTAGGAAACCACTTTGCAGAGTAGTTTTCTAAATGGCCTTTCTGAAAAAGGCCTTTTTATGAGACTTGGAATGAAAACAGTTTGAAGCATGAGTTGTTTGGAGACTAACCAGATTAGTTTGTGTTAGGGATTCTCAAATATGCATATGCAGTCTGAAATGTCAAAATAGGGTAAAGTTGGGGGCATGGGCCTGTTGATGGTATCAATGTAAAACAAGGTTATAAAATATTACTGTTTCAAAAGCTCTGAAATTTTCCATCATAAAATGTTCACTGTTTGAGTTATTTAATAGGGATGCGGGACAGTGATTAGCATTTTCTCTGTGTTGTGCATAAATAACTCTTTTCCACACGTACTTACTCAATGTGGCGTTACTCAACCTTATTTTTAGTCAAAGCTCAACTCATTCAGTCTGTCTGAGCTACAGAGTTAGTGTGCAATAGGTACTTCAAGCCTTTTTCCAAAGCAAGAACTGAAAAAGTTCAATGATCTCAATCTTTTGGAACTTAGCAAATTAAGATTCTTTTCATATTTAAACCAGTATCCACCTCTAAATCACTAAAGTTATCTATACAACACAAAGCAAAACCTGAGGTATGCTCATAGATTTTGCATGCTTGGTAAAACGTGGCATTCATTTGTAAACAGGTGGTTTTGTAAGACAGTTTTCAGTTTTGCGGTTTAATTTAAATAACCCACCAGCAGGTTGATTTTCACATGAGTTAACATTCAGAAAAAAAAAACAAATCCATGTTCTTTCAGAAGCATTAAAGAACTGCATGGTTTGGCGGAAGTACATAATGATGCAGAGTTAAAAGGGTTAATAATTACCTTGGCAGAGCTTAACCTATTAGCTAAGGAATGGAGAGCTAAGGTCAACTGCATACATTTGCAAAAAGTGCTTCAGGTCTTAAGGCAGTGGTGCCCAAAGTTGGTCCATGAGGGCCGAAATCCTACATGTTTTAATTCTCTCCCTGGTTTAATGTGCTTGGATCAAATGATGGCTGGTTAGAAGAACACTGACATGTTGAAAAGGTTGTTGGTACCACCAGGGAGAGACCGACTTTGGGCACCCCTGTCTTAAGGGATTTGTAGATTAACATTTTCCATCAACCTGCTCTTCTGGCCACACCCAAGAAACTTTGTCAATAGACTGAAAACAACTTACAGTATTTATCTGGATGGGATTTTAAACATTTCCCAGTACATTTATCATTTAAAAGCCGTCTTACCTAGTGAGCAGTGTCGGATAGCGGAGAGGCCTCGTAATAGCGAGGTAGCGGTCCAGAGAAATCACACACAGTGTTTCTATGCTGGCTGTCACACACAACACATCAGTTGCCGTCCAGAAGTCACACATGAAGTTTCCGAACATCCAGCTTTTCAGCAGAATGTTACAGGAGCTAAAAGGGACCACAATCACCCCCATGATGAGGTCAGCAACCGCCAGTGAGGCGATGAAGAGGTTGGTGATAGTTTGGAGCCTCTGGAAGCGCAGGATGGCTGTAATCACCATCACATTACCTGCACAGAAAGCAATGACTGTTGAACTAAAAGCATAAAATCAATCAGGTTTGATTCTCCAATAATCCAGCCAATGAAAGTACAGCTCCTCACAAAAGTATTCACACCACTTGAACTTTTTAAAAAATGTCTCTCTGGAAACACAATTAATTTTACTGGGATGTGAAAACAGTACGAATTGGTGCATGAGTATAAAGTGAAAGAAAGTTGATAACGATTCTGAACTTTTCTCAAACTTAATGCTGAATGGTGTAACATGCCTTTATTTTCAGCCCCATAAATAAAATCAACTGCAGTCAGTCACTTTCTGAGGTTACCTAAATATTAAAAGGAGTCCACCTGTGTGTAATGTAATCTGTACTGTAAACATCAGTGAACAGCATCATGAAGAACAATGCAGTCACCGGATAAAACAGAAAAAAATGTTTTATAAATCAGATTTTCGATTTACAGCTGAACAGTTATCCTAAACAGGCAGCTGGAGATGTAAAATAAAAGTTTAGATTTAGGATTACTGAAGTGTTAGAATGGCCTAGTCAAAGCCCAAATCTAAACCCATTCAAAAATCTTTGACAAGATTGGAAAATCTTTTGTTCACATATGCTCTCTATCCACACTGATTGAGGTTAAGCAAAGACAAATATTAAAAATGCCAGTCTCTGGATATTTATTGATAATGGAGACGTAATCCCAAAAACTGGCAGAAACTAGTGGTTCAACCACTCAGCCTAAGTGAAAAATAATACACACCACAGTATTTGTACTTAAAGTTGCTCAAGATTTGCTTCTATTTTCCTCTGCTTCTAATTCTTTGCTGTTGGTTTATCACCTAAAATCCGAATGAATGCCAGGAGATTTGTTTTTGTAACGCAAAATGTAGCAGAGTTCCACATGTGTGAAAATGTTTGCAAGACACTGTGACTGGCATTTTTCATACTTACCAAAAACTATTGCTAGGACAAGAATAGCCATGGCGACACCAAGCAGCACAAGTTCCACATCGTTATATTCTGGTGGTGAATTGGTGACATTGCTGAGTTGTGTCTGGTTCGTGGATGGAGGCACAAAAGTCACACCTCCCATGATCTACTATCAAGACAGACAATACAAAATATTTGGTGATAATGGTTAAAGCAATCTGAGAAGCAACAAGAACAGCAGGTGGCTAAAATAGGAACCAGTAAAATATATTTAGCACCTTCCCATAATAAACTCTACCCTTGAATCAAGTCTAGAAAGTACTGAGTTCCAGCCAGGACCATTCTCTGGGTTATTACATTACAATAAGTTAAAAAACAATAAGTTTTTTTTTTCTTTTAAGCTTTATAGTACTTTTAACAAATAAAGGACCATAAGTGGAATAATCTAAAAGGGATTTTTTGTTAGTATGATTTGGTTTTTTAAGATGCATTAAAGAATTGTTGTTTTCGTTACGATTAATTTTCTCTAACAATGTGTTTTTGTCTTTGAATTTATTGTGTAATTATTTATACTTTGAATATATTGTTGCTCCTAAATTGATAATATATATCACTTTAATCTGTATAATTTCTGAATTTTCAATAAAAAGAAGAATTTCTGTCACCATGTGGGACAGACAATAAATAATTTTTTTTTCAATACTGTTGTAGTTTACAACTCAAATTCTTAAGGTCGATCAACCTACTAATGTTTTCACTTTGCAGTGGAGTGACATATTTACAGAAGTAATGTCAGTATATAGGAAATGATATGCAGTGTGAAAGGAGGAAGGGTGTCTCCTTTAACGATTGATCTAAATGCAAAACTCCCCATCAGACTTCTGCTCATCTCTCCTTAACTGAATGTGTTATACTTTTATAAAATTATACTATTATATGAAGCTAATATAATAGTATGAAGATAATTATTTCTTTTCAATTACATTTAAAATAGGCTTTGTTTAATGTAAATGCTTTTACATCAGTGGAAAGAGGGTCTGTTTCTATCTCATGAGCTGGAGTATGTGGTCATTCACAGAGGAAGCCAAATATTTCTTGGTGTTATCATGAGTTCATCAGATTCAGCTTTTTGCATCTCTTTGCTTTTTATCTCAGTCAGATAACATTAATCCACTGGCAGCATGTGATACTTCTATAATATTTAGTCAATTCTTCACTTTGTCTCGTCCTATATTGAAGTGGTTATTATTAAGTCAAAGAAATCTGTGCAAAATGCAGAAAAGGATGTTGAAGACACAGATGTCTCTGTTCAAACCATCATGTCATCAGAAGTCTGGAACATTTTTCCAAACATGTTCCAAGTATCAAAGTGTACACTTTGTACACTTTGCTTTTCGCACTCTGAGCTAATCAGCCCACTTAAATATACAACAAGCAAACAGATTGAAGCTGGGAACAAGCTGGGCCTGCGACAGCCTGCAAGTAAAGTAAAACATGCATTATGCAACGCAGGTACAGGTCGATCAAGACCAAGGAGCCGAAAGAAATGGTAGTAAAACAAAACCATTATTGCTGCAGTCTTGCTTGACGCAAGCAGAATGCTGAAAGCAGGCATGTAAGAAAATTAAAACCAGGTGACGTTTTTTGCATCAGGCCATGATTTGATTGATTTCATAAGCATTTATTTATTACATGTCATGCATGAACAAAACACTTTTATTTACACAGGGCTGACTGGCTGAGCAGAATGGCTCTTTTACTGAGGTGGCCTAATTGACAGCAGACGCATGCTGTTCCTTGTTTGCTATTCTGACCGTCCATGTCAAACATGGGGGATGGTTGGTACTGTTAGGTCAGCACAGGTTCAGGATATGGAGGTCTTTGTAGGAAAGACTTCAATCTTCTCAGATGATTCTAACTGTAAACTTAAAGAGGAGTGTTGGAATGCTTTTAGGAAAGTTCTGTGAAGTTATTATTAGTGGTTGTTTTAAAACTGTGGTAGACAGATGTCATATCACAGTAATCTAACAAATACTCAAACTGAGTAATTAAAACTACTCAAATGGAAAACATTCAAATTGACATTATATATTATATTACCAGAAATTAAAGGGCTACATTTTCTCAAATCACAATTGAACCTTAAAAGTTCTGACTGTATCTGCATTGTTTGACACAATAGTATGATAAACCTTTGGATTTTGTAATATTTTTTCTGTGCATTTCCAGGTCAACGTCTAGATTCTTTGTACAGATTGTTTATCCTGAAGCTTAATTATTTGAAATTAAACTCACCTGCTTAGTGACTTTGTGTGATATATTTGTCTTTGCTGAAAATCTATGCCTATTCCCTCATTTTCACTTGAGACCTAAAGTTATAATATAGCTATCAAAACTGGTCTTAATGTTTCTTATTACAGCACAAGAGCAAAAACAGGCAGAGACTAAGAGTTTGCAGGTACCGCAGCAAAATAAAAAAAATTAAATCAGACCTCGTGGCTTAATGAATTTAATCACTTCAAGCTTTGCTCATTGAACACTGTGGAGTTATATAAAGCAGAAATAACAGCACAGATTCTGTATTTAAATTAAGTGAATGAAGATTTTGTCAGATGTGTTGATCCAGAGAGAGAACTGAAGGATCCACAATGCCAATACCTTGAGGACTGACTTTACACACTAATGAAATAAATCAAATCAACTGAAATGAAGTGGCCAACTGGCTATTAGGTCTTTACTGCTGTGATTTTTATTTTTTTTTCACTGCAGGTAAAGAACATTTTACAAATAAAAACTTCACAAATCCTCAGTTTAAAATAATCAAAACTATTCCTTTAGAGTGGCACAACTGATTTAATATCCACATGTACAGGATGTCTGTAAATGCTGTAAGGTTAACAGGATTTTCCGCTTAAAATGTCAACTGGCTTAATTCCAGCATAATCTAAACACTTGGAGAGCAATTTGATGGCATCTATAAGGAGCAGCATTGATTCGCATATGTTTACTCAGTTCCACAGCAAGCCAGCGAGCAAAGGCGCTGAATATTTAGGACACATTGAAAGTGCCAAGGCAGACCATGACAGGTTTGTTGTTGTATGAAAATCAGAGCAATTGCTCTCCTATGTAAGCAATGCTGTCAACATGGTTCAAAAGGATCTCAGATTTTTTTTTGTTTTGTTTTTTCTTTTGGATTTTTAGAGGATATGCCATTGTAGAAAGAAAAAGTCCACATCCTTGTGCATATTACATGTCAGAAATATGATGGATCATCAAGAAACTCATTTTAAAAATCAATCTTTCATTACCTGTGCTCACCTGGCCCTTTCAGACATAATGAATGAGTAGAGGAGAGACTGGCCATGAGAGATGATGATGTGGTGCTCACTATTTCAGGCATTATTTTAATATACCAAGCATTTTATCATGATTTATAAATATCTGCTATGGCCTCTGTTTACCAGCTCCTCCTTTTACCCTTTCAACTTATGACTCTTGAACTGTTTGCTGCCCTGTGCTGCTGATCAATAACTTTCCTGACAAACTGCTGAAAAAATACAGCTTGCAACACGAACTCTGATCATCTCCATGCTAGAGATCACTAAAAAGAGACCCATGGTCAACCCTAAGTGATTAATTGATCTGTAAATATCAAAATATTTCAGGAAAAGCTCAGATGAATTACCCACACCCCAAATACAAAAAACAGACTCACAGTCACACATTTAAACAACATTCATAAGCGCCTAAACATGTCACCAGAACAAACTGTTAAGTACAAGACTGAAAATGTTTTGCTGTCCAAATAATACAAACCATGCATGATAATTTTGACTGGTTCGAAAAATTATTTTCTGATATGCTATTTTGTTCCATCTGGCAACTGTGAGAACATAAGAAACAGATTCTGAATGGTTTACTTAATGTGATATAATATCCTTCAGAAAGAAGTGGATTATCTTATTTCTAATTTCTAATTTGAAGCCAAATCCTTAAAATAAACAATATGGCATCAACTGAAATAATAACATTTTCCTAAAACATTTAATTAGCAATCAGAGTAGATGTCAGTTTTTTAATTCACATGTAAATGCACCCAGGGGAACACAGAGTGAGTGTAGATCATGTATGTAAAGTGACTTGCAGTGCTGTTTTCTTACCTCCAGGCTTTGCTCTCTTCAGTCCAGTAATTTCATTCTTGCAGTTCTTTTAAATCCACAACATATTCGAACTGTGCTTCTCAGAAGGCTCCACCTTTGGATAAGGTACTGAAACTGTTACACAAGCACTTTGTCTTGCTTCTTCCTCTTTGTTCTCACTCATGTGTGTGCTCAGTCTTTTCAGCCTTCAACCACACTTTGAAGCAGCTGAGCCTGTTGCCCTTATTTAAAGCAAGCAGTCATGACATCACAGCAGGACAGTAGCCTATCAGACAACAAGGAACAGCTTTTAGTGTATAAGGCATGCCTGAGGTGTTCTCTTGACATCTGAAAAGCAGACAGTACATTTAAGGTTTTAGGAGTCCATACTTTGATTTTCATTATGTAGGGTAACTTCCGTTTTTCAGATCCAGATCTTTGTAGAAGCAGTGAAGCAAAACCACAAACCTCCACCTTTGGCTGCTGGAATGTTGAGCAATTTTAAACATTCAGTTAAACATGCTCACTCACATTGCTTTGTAGTCTGATATTTGGCTTCAAGCTTGTGTAAAAATAGGTTGCTTGAATGTGATAGGCTGTTTTCTGTGTTTTTCTTGTATAACACGTTAGTTTAGTCCTGGCTTAAACAGGCAGCAAAATATCAAAATTTCACCTCCACCTACTTTATGTCATGATTTTTTAAAATAAGTTGACCATCAAACTGAAACCAAAACATGACTATTGGGTTGATTGGTTACTTTGAATTAGCCTCAGGCTGTTTGTCCTCAAATGGACTGGAAAAATCTTTATAGTGTACCTGGCCTTGAATCCTTGACGGTCAGTTTAAGGGGAAGTCATACTTTGCAGACACTTAAATCAAGACATAATTTGATTGTTTTGATTGTTGGCACATCCATGAGTCTGTCCAGGACTAGGAAACAAGGCTAGGAAAAGATTCCTAGCCTTGTTTATTCCCAGTAAGACATTCCAGCTCTTCAATGGACTCATGTGTTTCCAGCTAGCTGGGAGGTAGATCTCATAGTACTGTTTGTACTTTGTTTTCCTAATGGTACAAAACACCTCAAGGTATAATTTATAACTCAGCTTACTAGAGGCCTAAGTCCTTTCATTATTTAATTGCACCCAAAATGAGCCATTTAATGAGTTGTTGTGAATATGTCTACTGTTTGGTTCGCTCCACTTCTGACCGAGGAGCGGATGGATTGTCATGCAGCTGTGGGATTGTGTTTTTGGTAGCCATCACTTAAGCATTGTGCAATGTCTTAGTTTCTGCTTTGAGTGGCATGAATACTCACATTCATTGCATGACAGTGGTGGTTGCATGCATTGCCTTCCCTAAGGTATCATCACATATCCCTGGGTCAAATGTTACAACGAAACCATGGGAAAAACATCAAGCAGTCTTAAGGAAAACTAAATCCTTGGCATGACTGACACTTCCAACAGGGCAATGATGAAAAAAGCCACTGCCAAAATGATTTTCAGAAATGGTAAGAGAAGAACATATTCGTTTCCTGAAGTGGGCTACAACGAGCGCAAAACATAATCCCATCTGAAATGTTTGGAAGGAACGGAGACAAGACAGAAACATAAACACAGTGTTAAAAGATGATTCTGTCGAAATCCCAGAGGAAGCAAGGAAGTTTGTTGATACAGACTTCTGATTATGGAGAAAAATGTCAATGGTTTTAGAAAGGGAATTTTTAGTAAAAAATATGTCACAAAAACCCCTTAATAGGAGTATTAAATGAAATGACTTATCTCACCAAATTCTAACCTGCTAAATTGCCTGAAAATCCTCTCTACTGTTTCTACAATTAGTTGCCGAAATTCTCCAATCAGTAAAGATTTTCCGCTGGTAAAGAAATATACTCTTTTAAGAGTATTACTATTATTATTATTCTCTTTCTATCTGTGGATGATGATTTGACCTGAAGGTTCGCACAGCTTTATTCTAGAAATATCTTGTGTGCATCATGGCCTGGATATTGTTTTCTCCTTATATGTTTTAACAAACCTGTGAGAGATTTTCTGGACATCTGCATTTATTTAGAGGTCAAATTAATCACCAGAGGATTTTATTTGTTCTGAATGTAACTTGCTGCATCACATTTTATTTGTCATTGCAGGTTAAAGGATATACGTCAGCCACATATGGAAGATCTTCCATTTAAAACCACAAGTTATTTTCCTTTCTCTTCTGAACTTTGTTTTGATCCACTACAATAAAATACATCGACGTTTATGCTTAAAATCTTCACAAAATATGGAAAACTTGTAGTTGTGTAATTGAATTTGCTGGACACTAAAGTTACATTTTTTTTTATAAATCCCCTAATATAATTGCTCTATAGTGTTGTGAGGCACAGAGTCTGAGAACCTTCAGAAGAAGCTCGACTCACAAGTCACAACACAAACTAGCCAAAATCTCCAGGTTGAGCCATCTGACTGTCTCTTCTGTGAACATTGTGTTCCTGCAGTCTTATCATGAGCATAACCTCAATAATAACCTCCCACACAGACCACATGGGTGGAGATGCTGATGTGAAATAAGCAGGATGCCAGCAATAGAGCCGCAAAGAAGCAACCCAACACAATCCACACACTCATTAACGCACCCAACCCGTTTTATGGCTTTTACCGAAATATATTTTATTTTACAAGCATGGAGCGATGTTTGTTGATGAAAAGAAGCCATATTTTGTCTAGACAAGACCAGGCTTCTGTCAGATGATTTGTGTATTGACAGTGCTGTCATGCTTTGAATTGCTTAAGGGAGAAAGGAAGCACTCAAGCTTTGCAGAAAGAGCTCCACACAAACTCCTTTTATTTTTCTGTCTTTCACCATCCTTTAATCACCCATTTCCTCCTGATGAAGTCTTTTTGGCCATATTTGCCAAGCAGCAAAGATACCTAATCAGTGACATGTTTAACCATTTGAAGTCAAAGGTTCATTGTTAGAGCCTTGGTCTGTTATCTTGATCTGCCAGCTGATCTGTAGTTTGCATTGTCTGGGCGGGGGAGTGAACACCAATGCTGCTGCCAACCACATAAGAAACCCTCAAAAGCTTTATCTTAAGGTTTTCTTCCCCCTTTTATCACCTCCAGAGGAAACCACAAAGAACTTAGTACCACCACAGGTAGCCATGTGTCTATTGTCGTGTTTGTCTTGTTCACACGACAATATGTTCTTAAAAAAGAACAGATAAATAAGTAAATGGGTCATTACGTATGGTTATATCCTCTTGACCAACACATTCCTCTCAGTGCCTCTTCCTGTCCGTGACTTTTCCCTTCCTCTATCCCTCCTTATGCTTCACTCCACCCTCTGCACCTACACCTAATCTGGAAGCATCCTGTGCTAATAAAGTCCTGCTGAATTAAGGACTTTATCAGTCGAATGACTGATCGCGATGCACTTAAAATTAGCAAAACAATGTTTTATTCTATCACAAAAAACACGTTTTTGGGGATTTTATACTATCAACTCAAAGCTAGTGCTTAATAAGATATGAATATTTCTCTGAAAAGTGTGGTATACAAGTTCTGCTGCAGATTTCCAACCGACTTTATTTCTTGACTTTGACTAAGCCATTGTAAAACACAACTTAAACCATTCCGTTATTGTTCTGTCTGTAGAACTTAATGTCATTAAATTTACTCCAGAGATTCATCTTCAGCTGATAAAAAAATCCGAACATTAATTCTCAATGTCAGATTGGAAGCATCTGGAGTAAAATTATGCTGTCACGATGATCAAATACATTCTTATCCCCACCAGGGACTCAGGTGCAGTTTGTTTGTTCTTCTCAGAGAAGCCGGCTCTGTGAGATACATCCTGTACATGCGGCGAACACTGGGGCCGCTGAGACTGCACTAAACTGTTTCTTCCTGCTACATCCCATGCAGCTGCAAGTCTGTGTGCATCGTCTTTTTTTCCCATGTCAAGAGCTGACAGTGGCTGCAAAGCTTTTCCAGAGCCTTCTGACATTTTTATTCACTGCAGTGAACTCTTATATTTGCAGGTGCAGCAAAAGTAGCAGTTTGTATGCAGCTGTACACTTGTTACTGTGGTTGCATGTTGGATTAGTTTCACTTCTCAGTCCTGCAGTCACAGAAGGTGATTCTCCCCTTCAGGTTGCATAAATAGGCATAGCTGTATTTAGTTGTAGCAGATGCTGCTGCAAAAACACTAACTGTTATAGAAATTGTTCTAAAAGACGGTTGATTCATTTTTGTTGGAATGTTTATTGCGACAGGTGAAGTTATAATTATCTTTTTTTCCTGGAGCTTCAATGAGTTAAAATCCTTACAATGGATTTCAACTAAATCATTAAAGCCAGCATCACATAAGGTTTCTGTGTTTTTGCTTTGTTTTTTCTTCTTTTACTGTTGCCTGCGATCTAATGAGAAGTCCAGCAGATTTACTTTTGCAGGCAGATCATCATGTCTTTCATAAAAAATGTGTTTTAAAAAAAGCTGAATCATATCAACAATAAAACCTGGAAGCAGTAGAGTGCTGCTTGGCTGCTTTAGGACATAATAATGGGGCCATGAATTCTGCTGTCTTCCAGAACAACCTGAAGGAGAATAACCAGCCATCAGCTCGTGACCTTGAGATCAAGCACATTTGGATTTTGCAGTAAGGCAGTTATTCAAAGCAAGCAAGTCCTCCTCTTAATGACTGACAAAAATCATAAGGAAGGTTTTAGAGCTGGTGAGCCAAAGTCTGAATTAACATGTGATGAAACATGTAACAAAGCATGCATGCCTAAAAACTCACCATTGGTGCTGAATTCAAATGTCCATCATGTTGATATTAAATATTATTGATGGGTATATCAAACACTTTTTTTACTCATAGTTCACTGTATGTATTTATGAATTTTGAGATTTTTGGCATAGATATGAGAAGGTGCTTTCATTTCTCTGCTTTGTGTTTACTGTAAGGTAATGCCAAACAGATAATTGGTGGTAAGGCTGTGCCCTTATTTTCCTTTTCCTCAAACTGTGTCTAATGTCTTTTTCTCTTTTTCTCTCACTCTCACATTCTCTTATTCCCGGTCCTAAGTTTCTGTCTGCTTTTGCTCTCATCGGCATCAGAGCCTGCATTCTTTATCTGACATAACTCTTTTGCTGCATCATTCCACTTTAATCTGTCCGAATTTCTGTCAGTGAACAAAACTGAGTTAATTGCCATTCTTACAAATGCACCAACAGGAAACAATGGCATGTTGTTTGAATCGCTTGTGAATAACTATATACGTTCATTTATTCTATAATTCTTAACAATGGATACGATGCAGGCTTTTTCACCCAAAAGCACGATTCAACCGTGTTTTCATCAAATTGCTGCCACAGACAGTTGTTCTGCTGACAGATTCTTCCACATGACCAATTAAGCCTTGTTTTTGGACTGCAGGAGGAAACCAGAGTACCTGGGAGAGCCTTCACATTCACAGGAATAAAGACATGCAGAAAGTCCTAAGTGAAGCTCTCAGTGTGTTTTCTGTCTATTGGTCTCCTTCCCTCAGTATCTCATCTCCAGCCTTTCTCTCAATATTCAAAATTCCTCTGAATACAGTCCCTTGATCACTGTGTCACAAAATGTTCTTTCTTTCTTTTTTTTTTTTACAGATTACTGGTGTTTCTTGTGCTCGGATCCTACCTGCTCCTTCTTCTGTTCTCTTCATACCTTACTGTAGCTTTTTGTTCTCTGTTTATATTAAAATTAATCACATTTCTCCCATACTCTTTGATGCAGCTCTCACATCACAAAGTTATGTCACTGTACATCGCAGTACTCTCCACAGAAGAGCAAAGAACTCAACATCTCATTCGATACCTACATTTTTCGGTTTGTATCTTTCTCTGTGATGCACACAGACGCAAAGACGTCATCTACGATTCTTTCCTGCAAGTTCTCTGCTCACCAAAGACCTCAGAGAATTCCTGACTGTCCAAACACATCTGCTCCAGCTACTTTGGATAAGAACCAAAGCTGTTGAAGGCTGACTCTATACTAATGTTCAAACAATGTGAGGGAGGATTTAGTCTGCCAGGGGAGATGCTTAAGCCTACAAATCTGTGCAAACTTAAGAAATCACGATGGGTGGTTAGAAGTACAGCTTACAGCAACTCTGGGGTGCATTACTCGTATCCTGTGACTTTGCAGAACGTTGTTCCTTTGTAATCTTCACATCACTGCTGCAATAAAAAAAAAGACATACTGGTGTCTTGTGTGAAAGATTATCTTTCTCAAAAACTTGAGCATTTTAAAAGTTTTTGCCGTGAAAAAAAATGTATCTGTGATTTTGTGATCAACAAACAACTAAAAACATCTGAGATGAAACATGTAATAGTCTGTAACATAGTGAGGTTCAAATGTGGGGTAAATTGATTTTCTCTTTTTGCGCATGTACTGTACACAAAGTGTAGCTTGCCTTCTATTTAAAGAAATAAGATGGTTATGTTTGAATTTATCAGTCCTACTTTAATTTTCTACATCTATAAATCAGAAAAATTTTGGGTGTACACCTCCACCTCTAACCTCTGGATTTGTTTTAATCAACAATAAATCTATCTGTAAAGCAACAAAGCCCTGACACTAAGATCGCAAGTATGACCCTTTAATCATAGGAAATGAAGGCAGATCAGGTTATACACTTACACACACACACACACTCATGTGTAGACAATGGCTCTGACCTCACCTTCAACCTGTCCCATTTCCTGACTGACAAACATTCAAACACACAATGTGTATTAAAGACCTTTTGGCTTTTGCAAAGAGCAAAGTTTCTCGTCCAAACAGGCAACAACTCTGGGCTATAAATATAATCAGAATCACATTCGTTTTCAGACTTTTACATATGATTATCACAACATACATCATTGTACAATGTACAGCTGCAGACGTTATTTAAATCAAAAATGAAATTCATATTGTTGAATGTGTTGTCAATTTTTTTCTTATCACGACAGTTAAAATTATTTTGGACCCAAGATCCTTTTTTTGATTGATTCTTTTTAATTATGCTATTTAGTTACAAATTTCTTTGAGTCTTAGTTTGTACTTTTTTATATCTGCATAGTATTTTTATGCTTTAAATTTGCCCCTAACATGCAGTTTATAATTTTTATTTTCTACTTTTACATTTGTGCATATCACTTTTCTTGTACCCTTGAATTTTCACACTGTGGGACTGTAGATATTCTTTTCTATACACACATTCCACATTCAGTGTTGCTAAAGGTTTTTGATTTGTTTTCATAAGTGTTTGTACATGATTCTACTTTTAATTTTTCTATGCTAGCATTTTAAAAAAACAGATTTGTTTGACAACATTTATCGGATTGACACATCTTCAAAATTCAGGACAGTCCAACTGAGACGTCAGGAAGGATTGAGGAGAAAGAACTTTAGATTTACACAAGCAGAGAATGTCTCTTGGAGTCATTTATAAACAAATACAGATTCCAGGATCATCACTTTAAATAAATACAAGTTATTTGGATGAGTCACCACTTTGCCTCAAAGAAGTCCTGAACTGTTTCTGTTGGATGAAAGGAAGCTGGAAAAACCTGGGAACCTCCGAGGCTTAAAGCGTAACATGAACTGATAACAGCTAGAAAACCAGCGTCACCATCCAGGCTAAGGAAGTAAGTTTGAACTGAGAAAGTGTGAAATTCTGCTTTATAATTTACACCTTTAGATTTGGTAAACATTTGCAGCTACCTGCACAGATAAGCCAAATCTCTTTTAAAGAAAAGTTTATCTATTAGAAAAAGTTTGTGCTGGGAGTCTGTTTGAATTGTTCTTCCAATTCAAACATGACAATTTGGCGCTCATACTGCAGTGTTGTTTTGCCCCTAGTTTTACTGATTTGTTGCACAAATTGGGTATAATGGGGAAAACTTATAGCAACATCAAAATCCTTGTGGCCTAAATCATGCAGAATGGATTAAGCAATGTGACAACACAATTTCTGAATGACAGTGTATAACTAAGTTGAATTTGTGAACTATGCTCAGATTTGAGGTCTGCATAGAGACACCAACCAAATCAAATGGGTTCTGCTGCCTCTGCTGACAACAGTGGTCAAACATCCAGACACAATTATGCTAGAAGCTCAATAATGGATTTACAAAGTTCATCTGAGAGAACTTGAACTTGTTTAAGGACATTTAGCCAAACATTTGTGGACTGTTTGAACATATTTGAGCCTGAATGTTCAATTTTAACCCTATCACTTCATCCTGATCCATCTAAATTAATCTAATGTCACTAAAAACTATTCATCTCCAAGTATGACAACATACCTTAGCTTTTTTGTTACACTTAAATATTTCAGGCCATCAAATAATATTTGAAAATCAGGCAAAAACAAAATAGAATTTGTTGTTTTTTGAAACAATGACAGAAATAGTAACTCAAAAAACCTGTTTCTCTATTTTAACTATATATATTATAATTTTATCGCTGATTTTATCACACATTTGTAATGACTGACCATACATTTTTGCATCACTGCAGATACATTACAGTTTGCTATTTTTTGTTTAAGTATTTTCATTCAGCTACACTGGAGGTTTTTCTACCATGAACAAAATGTTTCTTAATCTAACCTTTGACTAGGCCATTCATTTAATTATTTTTCTGTTGCATTATTAAGTGCACTTCAATTTAAAATACTGGCTGGAGATTTTTCTTCAGGATTTTCTGGAAGGGAGGATAATATAAGGAACCATAATTTACTGTAATTTGTCCAGGCTCTAAAATGGCAAGGAAGCCCCAGAATACCAAACTACCACCACCATGTTTGACTGGTAAGATCTTTTTCTGAAATGTTACGTTAGTTTAAACCCCAAATATAATTGGACAAATATGACATTCAGGATGACAGCTTCACACAAGAACTGTAGTAGAACCCTAGATAAGCAACATTTTCAAGTCAAAGAGGGCTCTGCTTTAAATCTAAAAATCATCTTATGTTGTATAAAATTTCTTTGAAAAACATTCCTGAAGTCATTTCGGTAACAAATTCATAACAGTGAGGCCCACCTAGAGATAAGAGGCACATAGGGGAGTTTAAACATACAGTTTGACTCCTTATCTTAACCTGAGGGTAAGAAAAGGGTTTAAATCACTCCAGAACATTATAAAAACTCCCTGACAAGAACATAAACAGTATAAAACAGTAAATACCCATCATGTTACTGAAAACTTCAACTACAGGTTCAACAAAAGTTATGGAGCTCTGAGAGCTTGTTCTGTCTGCATGTGTTAGGAAACCTTTTGAAAATAGCACCACCCTTCCTGACCTGGTACAGGGGGCTCCAGGGTGGACGAGGTTCAGGCTTGCAGAGGTCAGCTCGAGAATATACAGCTGACATTCTGACCTCCCCGGAGTCCAAACGCACCTCGAAATGTTCAAACAGGGCCGTCCAGTTCACAGTGTTACTGCTGGTCAACCCTCATTATAACGTTGAAAACTTGACCTTCTCTAGTCAGAGGTCCCTCCTCTGTGGGATGATGCAGCGGAATATATCTCAGTTCATTTTAATTTATCTTATTTATATTGCCTCAGTTTATTCAATTAATTATGTAATTTTTGCTTTCTATTGGTTTTATGCTTTTTTTTAAACTTTTCTAATTTTGGTGTTTTTATCTTTACAGGATCAAAATGTAGCTGCTCACTACAAACTCTGTCTGTTTTGGCTAGACGTTGGTGATTTGCCCTCAATGTTGTCATCAGGGTTGTTTTCAAACAGTTTTAACCAGGAAACCTTTGAGCTGCACTGGAAGCTGTCTGTCCAGGAACACACGCCATCTCTTAGTGACTCAGGGTGGAATAAAGTCAATGAGGAAGCAATTTGGGAGCCATGAATTCCAGCTGCCAAAAGGTTTAAGAATATAATGATCAGACTGTAAAAATAAATTTTGCAGGGTACTCAAAATTTAATAATTTAAATTTCTAAATTTAAACTATTAAAATTTCAACTAAGCGCATTTTGTTCCTAATGTAAAGGCTAATAACAGGAAAATTCTTAAAATCTTGGATAACTGTTTGTTACCATAACTCTTTACAGTAACAAACCTAAATATCATGTTTTCTTAAGATGTATGTAAAATAATATATAAAAAATAAATAAATAATTCAGCAGTCAGCAGAAATAAATGCTAGAAATCATCAGTCTGTATGCAACAAATAATGTGTTTCAATTAAAGAACTAAACCACTGAAATAAGCAAATATAACAACAACATTTCCCATCACCCATTTTATCACGCATGCAGCAGTAAAACCAGCTGACCATCTCTGCTTGGGTTGCTTGGTGAGGGGCAGTGACTGGAGATTTGTGACATATTCTGGAAGTTCTTAAAATAACTAGTTCCCCAGACAGTCATGATGTGTTTGTTAGTGAATCCAAAATTCAGACAGGAGCTTAGAGTGCAGATTATGGTGAATATTCTTTAATTAAAAAACTGAAAATAAAAAAATCACAGGGAGTCAGAGCAGAACAAAAAGCAAACAGAGTGACAATGGGGAAGTAACCCAATACTTAACAGTATTTAAACCTTTCTCAGCAAGAGAAAGGTTTAAATACTATGAAGGTGAATGCTACTGGAACAAAAGATCTGGGCTGATTAGCTAGCAGGGTGCAGGTGTGAGATTGGAGGGGAACCAATAGGGAAACTGACTAGATCTAGGAAAGGAGCAAGTGAGGCACGGTAAGTGACTAGCAGCTGGAGAAGGGGAGTAAATGGTAGACTGACACAAGGCAGCAAGGGAAAACAAACAGGAGAACCAGGAAATAATCTATCTTTAACAGTCATAAAGAATAAAACTAAAGCAGGCTGAGAGTAAAACATGGCAAGGCTGATCAGATGAAAAATAATTGGACTAACAGAGGAAACAAATATGGATGAAGGGAAATACAAGGAAACAATAGAATCAAAGAGTCCAAATAATCCTGGATATGAGACAAAGACCAGCAAACATTATCTAACTGCCAGAAAACAGTGTCCTTTTCTAAGCGCCTCTTTTTTGTAGAAGCAGTTTAGATCCAAATGGAAAAAACGAGCTATTAAGTGTCTCATGTCAGATTGTCTTTCTCTGTGGATGATGACACACTCTTACCAGCATCAGCAAGCATTTTGCTTGCAAGTTATTTTGCTTTTTGACTTGGAAAACGGAACATGTCTCCTTCCTGAACATTATGTCGACTCGACATTCCCATGCTATTTAGACTTGCGTATAATTGCTTGAGCAGATGAACCTGGTGCCCACAGACATATGGAAATGATAGCCTGCGATAAACCAGGCATGTGGAGGTCCACAGTTCTCGATTTATTTTTATTTTTCCATGACGTCACACAGGAAAGTAGTGCATTTGAGGTATTATATTAAACTACATCCTCAGGTCTGTTTTTATGTAGTACACATTTAAAATAAAAGTAAATTGGGCTTTCTCCCATTTTATGTAAATTTCTGGTTTTAAAGTAATTGATATATTAGCAAAATTGTCTCCTTAATGTGGACTTATTCATATAATTAGATCTTGTGCCATAAAATGGAATTATGTTGAAAACCACCATATTTTTTATGTTTTAATCACAAATAAACCAGATGAGGAAAAAATATCATAATAATTAGTCTTTTCATTTGCAAGAAGATTTTGCAATTAACTTGAAATTACCTAAATTATCTAAGTGTTTTATAGTTGCTAAATTTGGATCATTGATACTCAGAAATATTGATGAAATTTACCTGAATGAAATGCCTGCAGATTGTTTAGTGAAACTGAATGGGCAACTTTGTTTTGTTTCTCAATAAATTGCACGTTAACAGCTTCCTTCCTGCTTTAATTAAAAGGTTAAATGTATTTATTTATGTTTTACTGATCTTTATTGCAATATTGAGATGGTTACAAAAACAATAATCAAAGGTCCTTGTGTTTGAGGGCACATTGCTGTTTTGTTTACAACCTGGTGCTGCGCCATGTTTCCTTTACTGTGTCCTTTCCAAGAGGATGTGGCTACTTTCTGTTCAGGCAAAACACCTTTTGTATTTGTAATATCTATTGTGTTAATATGAACATTTTTCAGCTGTCCTAACATATCAACATTTTTCACTTTCTGCCGGAAAAAGGGTTTAAGTGTTTCACAGTAGTTTTTTTTTATCTTTCTTCAAACAGTTTATTTTATCTTTCTCAAACCACAGTTTCATGTTTAAATGTAGAAACTGCTTGCTAGTATTGCTTATTTAATTTACCCCTTGTTTGGTTTGTCCGAAGCACAACATTGCTTAATCTTTTCCAAGACATAACCAAATTGCACCTGCAGAACATTTTGCTCTGCAAAAGAACAACCCTCCTGAAAACCGACTGAAGTTGGACGTCACCTGGGAGAAAAGTCACATCTACTACAAATATATAGTTATCAGAGTAACGATTTAACCTGGATTGGGTTAATCTCCAAATGGGAAGACAGACGGAGCTACATACAGCCCAAAGGTAGAAGAAAACCTCTTAGAGTCTGCAAAAGCCTTGAGATTGGAGTAAAAACGAATGCACACCACACTTTTCAGTTTTTGTCTTGTATTTTTTTAAACTGTTCATCTTTTCTCTTCCACCTACCTGCCTTGTGTTTGGCAGATATATCCACCAATGTTTGTGATTGTAAATGTAAAAAAACGTCAATAACTACATATAGAATATTTAAAATCCCTATCATTGCCCAATGTGGCTGGCAGACAGTTCCTCTAAACTGAGTTACTTGGGTTGCTGTTTTTAAAAAGAGGTAGAGAGACTTGACAATAGGCTATTAATCATAAATGAACTGACACTCTCTCTGTGTTACATTGTTTTTCTGACCCCAGACAGACTTTACGTTGCACGCTTCAGTCAGGACTCAAAGTTTTGACTCTGCACTTCTCTGTTTCTATCTGAGGCAAAATAGGCCACAGAGATAAGAGATGGATTCAGCCCTGCTGCAGCTGATGTTTGCAGAAAAAGCAGCTCAGATCTATGACGCACAACAGTGAGGGCAGAGTTCAAAACTCTGCTGTTTGATGCAGCTTCACTCTTCCAGCTTAAATTGGCAGATTTGTGTTTTTTCTCCTGTGGAGGAAGAATTTATACGTTTAATTTTGTTCTACAGAAGCATTGGCAGCAAGCGTTGGGAAGTGTCACTGGCTGGTTTGCCAATGTGTGCAGGAAGTATCCTGCACATTGTTTCTCAATTACAGGGAAGTGAGCCAGCATGGACTAGAAGTTGACTCTATAAACATGTTTTGTTGTTGGAGGCTTTTGCATGCAAAGGAAGAACAACCATGCTGAATGTCCATCCTATGAATTACAGATTTTTCCAAACATAAATTGAAAGAGCATATGAGTTTACGCTTGTCTGAAAAACATTTCAGCAGACTGCAGTTTTGAATTAAACACAAATCACCGTCAAACCTTTTTATGGAAAAATGAAAACAAGTTGAATTTACATTTTTCTAAACATTAACTGTACTACTGAGACAATGTGATGCCTCTTTGAATTGAAAGTTTTGGACTTCTGTTTTTTTTAGACGAATGCTGCCCTCTGTTGATGTTTCTATGTACTTGCAGATGGTGTCCTGTCACCTGGTCTGATTTGGATGAAATTTCCGACTGTTTCATTTTATACAACCATCTGTGACTTCATTTAAAAAACTAGATTGTGATGTCTGCAAATCCACCTTAGCAGTTTCAACTACTAAAGCTACAACCGGTTGATGCTGCACAACATGTAAAACAACCTGAATATAATTTTCTTTGTGAACATGTCCCATGATTGACAACATTTTGATGATTGACTAACAGGTTATGTTTCAAACTACAAACTTGATAAAGTCAAAACATATTTTATTTTCTGAGACTAAAACAGCAGATGGCTGATGGTGTCTATAATTTAAGTCCATTCTTCTCATTCTAACTACAGAGAATCATAACTACCCTATCGCTGCAGTTATGCAGCTATTGGCTCAGTCTACTGGATGAAAAACTCACCACTTTTCCACACTAATTTCTTCCTTCACTAATTTGTATTATTTTATATTATTTCATCAGTTAACTTTATATTTTCTCTGTTTTTCTTTTTCTCTCCTGGGCATTTGTTTAGCTGTGATATCTTCTTGGAAGAGCCATCAGCTAAAATGAACATAGAAAGTGCTCCTACATCAGTCCTACTGTTTTGTGTGTGTGTGTGTGTGTGTGTGTGTGTGTGTGTGTGTGTGTGTGTGTGTTGTGTGTGTGTGTGTGTGCGCGCGCGTGTGCATGTGTGTGCTCTGTCTTCTCAAAGCCTCAGTCGGTCAAGGCAGATGGCCGAGTTCTGCTGGACATTTCTTTCTGTAAAAGGGGAGTTTTTCCTCTCCACTGTTGCTTCTTGCATGCTCGGTATGAGGGATTGCTGTAAAGTCAACGACATAATGACAAACAACTAAATTTAAAATGTGTTTCGACTGTGTGAAGAAGTCAGAGTACCTGGAGATAATCCCACACTTGGATCGGGAGAAAATGCAAACTCCATGCAAAAAAAAAAAAAACAAAAAAAAAAAAAAAAACAACAACAAAAAAACAAAACAAAAAAACACACAGGATCTTTTTAGTGCAATAGTGCTAACACCCAAGTCCTTAATCATTAATCATTCACCAAGATGCAAGTTGTGGAGGAGAACAATAAATATTCTGGAGAAAAATGTTGGATTTAATCCAGTCTTTTTGTGGGTCCCCAAATATATAATTTCATTCAAGAAGAGCAAAATGGTTCTTTGCTGGAGTGCATCCACTGAAAGTCAGACTTCTGAGAAAACAAGTCAGAATTTTGAGATTAAATTCAGATTTCTTGTTTTTCAATGGCCACAATCCTCTTCCGTGCATATAAGTGTTGTACAAATTAAAATAAAATAACAGCACCGAGTTGACTTGCTTTGCATGGTTACAGTATGTTTTTCTGACGCGGTGCGGCGCTCTAGCACCGTGTGGACAGAGGATCTTCGCTGACCAGGCGCTCTGACTACTCCCGAGCATTGAAGCGAGTCACCATCCAGCACTGAGCCCGGATGCGGGAGCGCACGCTCGGCCACGCATGCGGTGGATCAGGCAAGCTGATCGGTCAGAGCGGGATGGACATCTCGGCTCAACCGAAAGCTGCTGGACGTTGTCCTTTTTGGGAGGCGCTGGAGCTGAGGGCGTGATGAGGAGCGAACCGTCAGTTTCCATTTAATTTGCTGTCTTTACGCAGGGTGGAGAGGTGCGCTCTGCCGCCTGTAATCCGCTTGGCGGGGAGGAGCAGGGAAAGCTCTCCACACTGAAGCAGAGTGAGAGGGGAGGGACAGCAGGTTAAGTCGGATACGGACCTACAGAGTTAAACAGCGTGCGGTCAGATGGACCGACTGTAGTTGGCAGGCAGGCTGCTGGGATTCCTCTGGCACGATGAGCGGACCAACAAAAGGTGAGCGATGTGTAATTTTCAGAAATATTTTTCTCTGGCTAATGTTAAAATATGCATTTTATGCCATGTAATGTTTAGAAACAGTTTCATTATTTGTGAGGAGTTTTGACAGATCACTAATATTTACTGAACTATATATTAGAGATCAGAAATGATTTGGCCCAATTAGCTGATTAGAGTTGAATTTATTAGGAAATCCTCAGTCTTGTAGTGAAAGTTGCTGTCAAGGGCCAGAGTTCGACTGACTGCTGCTCAGATGATTTGTTGTCCTCCTCCACAAATACTGTTGAAATTGCTGACAAGAAAGAAAACATCTATTGATACAATTATTAGCTTCAGGCTCATACAAGAAGCTCATTGCGTTGCTGCAGAAGCTGCAGTGACTCAGACTGAACAATCTGTTGACTGAATAACTGAGTTGCTCCGACCACAAGTCTGGCTTCATGGAAGCATCATGCTGCGGGGAGGCTTTTCAATAGAGAAGAAAGAAACTGCTCAGATTTGATGGAAATCGACAAAGAGCAGCATTTATCCTCATTAGAAGGATCTTAAAACTCAGGATCTGGTGAGGATTCAGTGGTTGAAATTCAAAAAATACTTTATTGATCCCAAAGGGAAATTAAATGTTTTTATAACTCATATTAATTAGGATTCTTCAAGCTGCTGCTTTGTCAGAAAAGCAGAGGGACCCAAACTGAAGGCCATCAAATCTACTGAAAACATTGGAGTTACGTTCCATCTGACTTCCCTGGCTCATATTATGATAGAGCGTATTGGTTTTCACTCCAGACTTTGCAGTCATGAAGTCAAAGGTCAGAGTCTTGTTGTCAAAAGATTCACAATTAACAGCCTTGTGTGACCCAGAAGCATCTGTACAGAAAGCAGTAGTGTTTCAACTGCATCCAGCATCCACACAAATCACAAAACAGTGAATCACCTCCACTGCACATTTATCAGTTCCAGAAACTAGAACATTTAAAACTACTAATAATACACGTATAAAAATACCACATTTCTTTTGCAGCCGATCACAGGTGGCTCATATCTTTCTCTGTCTGTTGTTCCAACTCTTGTGCTACCATCTGGCTGCACAACCAAAGCCAGCGTCTGTGATACACACCCACAGCCTCACACATTCTGGAGGAAACATTTTTGTCCTACTTTTTACCTTTTTTTCTTCCCCATCCTGTAAACATGCACACACCCACAGCTTGTGCTCTGTGTACCCCTTTCCTGCTGTCATCAGCTTAACCTGCCTGCATGTTGTGTTTACTGCAATTGCATAATGCAGCAGCATTAAGTGTAGTGGAATTGAATGGAGCTTAATTTCAATCTCAGACTGTTGCCCAGTGATTCATCCACTACTACAAGTATGTATCTTGAACTTTATGTGATATTGCAGTCACATGCTTTAAGATATTTCAATGAGATTTTCCAACAGGCCAACGCAAAAGTGGAAGTATTTAAACATTGGAGAAAAAAAAAAAACTTTTTGGGCAAAACAATATGCGTGACAGCAAAAATATCACTGCACATCTTCCTCATGAGCCATCATTTTGAAGCCTGGAGATCATGCTTTGGGAATGCGTTTCTTGAGGAGCGAAATAAGTACAAATCTGGAATAAAACCTGTTAGTCTGCAAAAGAATCGGGCAGAGATACACCTCCCCGGACTGCAACCCTAAACATACAACCAGGAAGTTTAAATCAAATCATAGTCAAGTACAAGAATGACAAAGTTAAAGTCCATACCTAAATCCAATATTGATTCAGAAGGACTGAAAAAACAATACAAATTTATTTGTTAAACATTTTTAAATCATGTCTCTATTTCCCTCTACTGTACAATTATGCCTTATTTTACATCAATTCATTAGATTTAATTAATTTGCTGCTTTCTCTTTAATTTGCTTTTACTTTACCTGGCAGAGACAGACATAACCTCTTATGTTGGCTTTAATTCTGACATGAAGAATGAACACTTTTCACCCCTGAATTTCTCTCCGTCAGGCTGCTACATGGTGATTAAAGCTTGTAAGTCTTGCTGATCTCCTGTTTACAGTAACAGACTTTTCGTTTGATACCTTTAGTTAAGAAGCCGATCACTAAGCTGTCTGTGCAAAACTGCAGGCAGCCATGCGCCGGATTATTTCATGACTGCTCGTCACACTGCAGATTTTGTTTTCTCTGTCATTTTGATGGCAGGTTTGTTAAGCCTCCTGAGCACCACACAATGCTCTTTACATTTATTTTATTCTTTGATTCTAATCCTTGCAGTTTAATCTTGAATATGAACCAAATGAGCTATTTCCTAATTTATTATCTACAGGTTTTGAAATCAAACAACTGCACCCTCTTCTACATTTCTTTATTGCACTTTGAGTTGTTTGAGATCAGTTAAACAAAGAAGAAAGGAGGAGCATGAAAAGTATGATAAGTTGCATGTTTTTACTCCTTCCCTCTCTTCCTATCTCCCTCCAGTTAAGTTCCAGTCAGGCCTCTATGGAGGAAACCACAACAGTAGCAGCTCTACTCTCTCCAGCAGAGAAAATTCACCAATCATGTGTGAGCGTTGTCGGGAGGCTTGTCGTGGAGAGGTGGTGCGTGTGAAAAACATGCACTTCCATGTTCACTGCTTCACCTGCCAAGGTAAAAAATCCTGATCTTCTGTACATATGTTGCTAAACTCACTGACTGGAAGGTTTCATACTTCCTTACTTTCTCTGTTGGACTGGTTCATGGATTTCCATTTGTAAAATCACACCCCAACTCAGTTTGCATGATTAAATATTAAATTATTGCCAGTACTCAGACAAGAAGGAACCACCATAATTAGATCCATATTAGTGTCTGTGCTCAATAAAATACAGTGCATGTCTGATACAACTATGCCAGAGTTAAAACTTGAAGCATCAAGAACCATAAAATGTACCTATTACAGGCCAAGGTTTCTGGTGTATATTCCAATAAAGTACAATAGGGTGAAAAACATTTTACATTTGATGTTTTTATTTATATCTAGAAAAGATTTTTGTAGAACTGAATGCAAGAATAATTTTATAAAACTAAGAATTCAAGTTATTCACAAGCAGAAAAAAAACTGTTGCACAAACCAAACCTGTTCCTTCATAACCTTTAATCAGAAGAGGATGATTCAGTCCGGATTTGATCAGCCGTGGTGCCGCCCCCTTAGGAAATGATGCTCTGGGTGCTGAGCCATATCAAAGAGCCTCTGGATGTATTCCAAAGCACTTCTTCTGAGAAACACATTGCCTCAACGATTACAGGCTGTTGTTGCACAATAAGTCAATTGAATAAGATCTAACAATTGAACTATCTTTCAAACTAGAATGTGCAAAAGTATCAATCTATTGTTACTACAAGAGTCATAATTATACAGAATATTAACTCAATGAGGTAAAATACTTGTGCACACTACACTTTCCAATTTTTGTTTCAAAAACCATGTATCATTTTCTTTACTCTTTACAATAATGTTCTTTATTTTCTGTGTCTATTGTATGAAACCCAAGTAAAATATATTAAAGCTTGTTGTAACATTGCAAAATGTGAAAAAATTCAAGGGGTATAAAATCTTTTGTTGTCATAAGACATTAATTCTTTATTTTCATTGCACTACCCACCAATGAAATCTCTTTTTCACAGTTACTGTAAAGGTTCTCAAAAGACTCATAAAAAAAAAAAAACATACAATTTGTGAGTATAATTGTATTTTTGTGTTTGTTTTTCCTTGGTTAAGTAATACAGATGGGGCCAAATGCAGTAAAAGAGGTCTGGAGTCAGCAGCCATCTTTGCAGTGCAGTCAGCAGGTTTTCACCCTGTAGTCAGACTCCAACCAGCTAACCTTCTTTCTAAAGGCTGGGACCTTCGCAGTCCCAATGCGTGCTGCAAGACAACACAGCTTTCTCCATTTGATCTGCAGCGAACATCGCCTCACTGCTCTCGGTTACAAAGCACCAAAGGGGGGAGCTTCTATTTTTACATAAAACACCAGATTTCATCTCAAGCAGCGTTGCACACTGGGGTTTTTAAAAAATAATCAGAGCTGAATATGATTCCTTTGGTTGTTTGCTTAGAGTAGGAATGGACTTGACTAATTGAGCGTTTGCTCAAAGAATGCACTTGTTCCTTGTGATAGAAAACAGAGCAGATTTTTTGACGGAAGTGGCTTTCTTTTGATATCAAAGTGTTTATCTTTATGGACACTTGATCTTGTAGAGTAAGCGTAATGACAACAGACTAATGGAGTCAGCTGATGAAATGGACAAGAATGAAATTTTCAATACACAAACGTCTGTTTTTGATCCTTCTTATTATATTTTTCTCTATTTTGTCTCTTTTTTTGTATTTCACATTTTCAGCTTTCGCTTTGGGTTTCAGTCACAATGCTTTTCTTTTTGCCGTAAACACCATGATTGTATTTTACACTATTTTGCCAACAAAGAGGGAGGAAATGGTGTTGAAATGGAATTTTAAAGGATTTACTGTTTCTGTTAATTTTGTGATTGAACTGTTTATTGGACAAATTCTGAACAGGCTCAAGCCGTCCTGACAGCTGCTGACTCCTCACTGATTTTATCTTTTTGCTCCACAGATTTTCTGTCAGATTTAGTGCTCTATAAATAAAGCTGATATGGTACAATATGGTAACTTAAAAACATAGCTTTACAGGGATGGCTTAGCAATTCTTTAGGTGGGGTTTTGTGAAGCTGCAATTAGTAGTCAGTATCCTACGTGCAAAAAACAGCTGTCTAAATACTAATGAGAAACGCCAGTTCAACTGCGTTTCATGGTTGGATAGGGTTTCAATCCCAGTTTGGGATCTTTCTGCATGTAGTTTGCATGTTGCCTGCATAGCTTCTCTGGGTACTCCAGGTCTCCACCCACCGAACAAAAACATCACTTTAGGTTTATTGTTACCTCTAGTTGCAAAGCAACGTACTGTATGTTCAGTGAAATCTAAACGGTACCTCTTTTTCCATGGTTGATCAACTAAAAATGTTAAATTGATCCTAAAGATTACTAAATCTGTTTAGGATTCTTCATTCATTCATTCATTCATTCATTCATTCATTCATTCATTCATTCATTCACATAATGCGAATTGACTAGAGGGCATAACATATTCTATTCTGCGTTGATGTTGCTAGTAAAGGAAGAGAGAGTGACAGGAAGGCTGACGTGTGTTAGATGAACAGATCAATAACCTCATTGATACCTCCCTTGGGTCCTTCTGTCTGATTCCTTTACTTTGCTGTCTGCTTCTCTTTCACATCACATTTGATGCCCTTTTACCATTCTGATCACTTTAATCTCTCCCCTGACTCCCATCCTCCTTTTCTTTTATGTTCCACTTGTACCTCATCCTCATGTCTGCAATAATCCTGTCTTCTTCTGAGCAGTTATTCTGATAACTGCTCAGATTTCTACTGTGTCTAGGAGTTGTTTTGTAGTGCAAATATGGCTTTAGGATCAATGAGAAGATGGAATCCCGCCCCAGTATTAAAGCTGCAAATCACCTGCATTGTAAGAAAAAGATAAATCAAATACGTATTTTTCTCAAGTTTGTTCAAAATATTACCAATTTTTAGCACAAAAATACCTTTTTATATGAATGTTTTCTAAGCCATACTGACAAAGAAGAGACTCCAAGAGTAAACTGCAAGGCATCGACTGTTTGAGTCAGCCCTGTTTTGCACAATGTTTGTGTACAGTTTTATTTTTATCTTGATAATCAGTGAGATAAAATTAGAGAGACTAAACATTTATTATCAGTAATTTAGGATTTCTTAAGTTTGCCAGACAGATTTTCTATCACATTTCGTTCATTTATGACTCAAATTATGTAGGTGAGATCACCAAAACATGGACATATTTTAAAATTTTGAGATAGGGTTTTATAAATCTCATTAACGTTATCCTATGATCATTGTTGCAGCCATATTTGCAACAGGTTTTGCTAGAAAATGTCCACTCTGTTTTGTTTTATAATTTTTTAAATAACTCCTGTGAATCCTGCGGAGCTGATTTTCCGCCTCAGCCAATGCGTTCTGGTGATAAGCCAATGAAATTGATTTACTGTCTTCGAAATCAGTTTTGCATTGACCTAACTGAGGCACTTATGTCAAATAAGATAATCTTTACTGGTAACAAATACCAAAGTATTCAGATATTTTACTGTGAAATAAAAACATCAGCGAGAAAACGACATTTTTAACTAAAGGGAAAACAGGAAAACATACAGAAAGATTCTTAGACCATTGGGTCTAATGATATATAGAGTTACTTGAATTTAGTAATCCTGAATAGTAACACATCTGAGGCTGATTCACAAGTCAGATGATATTCAGTTTCGGAGGGTCAGTCGTTAGTTATCAGAGTTTTTCATTAACAAATGGATTTTAGTGGGTGAGGGCCAGTCTGCACAAGAAAACCAAATATAACAGAAATCCCTCCAGAGAGGCCAAGTCTAAACAGTTCCTCCTTCTCCAACCACCCCCATGTTCTGCACATTTTAATCATTTTCCACTTAGACAATGATGTGTGAAAGCTTTAAGCCGGATGATGAATGATGATGTGGATTTAGCCTCAATTCTCAAGTGAGCATTGACAGCAGCAGGAGGAAATAGACCTTATAGTTTACTTAGTACATTTGTTTACATCAGGTTGAATAAAAATACATAATCATGCATTATGTTTGAAATCCACTGAAGCTGGAACTGTTAACTTTCTTGCATGTCATGCGTGTCTCGTGGTGAGACAGTATATGACTTGTTTTATGCACAAGAGCATGAAATATTGTTTTAGTAGCTGCAGAAGCTTCAGTCCCAAGCAAGCAAATAAAGGTCAGACTGGCATTTCAAAGTCTGTGGAAACAGGTGTGCTATGTTTGGGATGTTGTCCCAGTTTTTACTGCCGGTTAAAAACATTTGATATGAAAGTATGTAGCATATGAAGATCAATAAGTTTATTTTAGATTAAATTGCACAACTAAATATTGAGTAAACGATCAGGCTGAAGTTACAAAATGTTCTATACAAGTGACTCATATTTTCAAATATAAATAAGTTCAGATAGAATTATCTTTTTGATCGTCAGTAATTTAACTCTTGTAACTCTTTTTGAAGTTATTTTATGAAGTTATTTTTATGAAGTTATCTTAATGTGACTCCCTGGTGATTGTCCCAGAACTTATTGGAAATAGCCACAATAGAGATGTATTTTGACAGTTAAAAGAAAGCATTGAAAATTAACGCTAGTGAAGGACATGAGTGTACAATGCATGGTTATACAAAGTTTTTTTTTTTCTTTTTTAAATGTGTTTATGGTAACGTAACCCATGGCCAATCTCAATGCGTAAACACAGTTAAACTTAGCATTTGCATAAAATTTAATGGTTTTTCAACTGGTTTTTAGGGTTATTACTCCTAAAAACTCTATTTTTCAGGAGTAATAATCCTTCAGAAAATGAGGGACGTGCCATAGCCCGGAATAAAGAGCCATTATGTTTCTTAACTTTTATTTGTAGCTTTAAGTAATTATATTTTATTTGAATATGTTCTATTGTCGCTCTGTCGTTCTATACAAGTTTTTACATTCCCGTTTTGCATGCAGTCTTATTGATTTTTATGCCTTAATCATCTGAACTTCAATATGGTGTAAAAGTTTTGTTCTAATAAAGTTTCCTTGAGGCAAATCTATACAAATTCAGATACATTGTGACTGTTACTCAAGTCTCTTTGGCTTTTACATATCTCAGCTTACGAAGCCATTAAATGTTTTTATTAGGGCTGTGAAACTATTTCTATTTAATATATGTTCTATAATTGTTTTGGCCCCAGGCTTCACTCGATCTACACTGAACCCACTCGGCTTTACTGTGCAGTATTTCTCCTACTCCGTCTCAGCCTCTTGACACTCCGGCTTGGATCAGCTCAGATCCATTCACTCCACTGGGTTTAGAGCACATTAGCTTAATTACAGAGTGGACACTCAATTCACTGCCAGACATCTTGATCCGTTGGCTGCCTTTCAGATGTCTAACCTATAGTTTAATTCAGGTCGTATCATCGTCCTGCTGTTTATACTGATGCATAGGCCTTAATTTCCTGTGCCTGCATGCTGATGATTATGTTACTCTGACAGATAAATGGTGTGCTGACTTCTGCAGAGCTCAAGGGGAAAACGATGATAGAGATTTTGTTCATTCACATTATGATTACTGTTGAATTAATATGCATAAAAGTAATGCAAAGCGTCGGGAAAAATATGAATACCAAGTTTTTCCTCATTTTATCGTGTTCCATTCAATAATTTCAGTTTTTTTATTTGCATTTCATGAAATAGCTAAACACAAAGCAGAGCGTAGTTGTGAAGTGGAAAGAAATGAATGTAAAACTTTTTAAAAATCTGAAAACAGTGGCATACATTTATAATGAGGTTGTATTAGAAATGGTATACACCACAAACCACTGGCTTTTATAGAATAATACCAAGAATGTCTGAAAAAAATTAATATAAACTCCCATTTGGAAGTTATCATAGTTTTTGGAGGGGCCACAGCTAATATGTGGAAAAGTATATTCTCATTAAATGAAGCCAAATGGATCTTTTCAGTATACATTTGAAAAACTGTCTGATAGAAAACATCCAAAGATTTAATATATCCTGCCTATCCTTGTTTTTTTTTTTTTTTAACACATCCCATCATGGTCTATGGCGGTGGCATCATCATGCTGTGTGAATGCTTTACTTTAACAGGGACAGAAAGCACATTTAAAGTTGATGGGGAAGATGAATGGTGTGAAACATTGGGAAATAGTCATAGCAACCTGTTAGAGACTGCATATTTTTCGACAGAAAAGTTGCATCAACCATTAACCTTTTTGGATGTACAAAGCTGGTAGAAATATATTTTGGTGCAAAGATGAGTGCAGATCAAATACTGTTTGTCTTTCACATAAAATCCAAATAAAATACATACAATTTTTGGCTGCATCATGAAAGAATGTGAAAAAATCCAAGTGATATGAAGACTGTGAATATGTAGTTTCCATAAAATACAGCTAATTTCAGGAGATGGGCTAAGCTCCCTCTGACTTGACCACATATTGGTTTGGATCAATTTAAACTGCTTAACCATCCAGCAGACCTGATGCATTCCCAATGTTAGCACAACTGGACCAGAAACAATCATTTGGCTGAGGGATCCTGTTTTTGCTAAATAAAAGTGATAAATCATGCTGTCACTAGACAGTAAACACACAGTGTGCACTTTCCTTTTAAACTGTCACACAACGCTGCCTGCACTAATGCATATAAAATGTATGTACTTTTTGTAAACACAATCTGGCTGTTATGGTGGTCACATTTTATATGAAATGCTAAAAGTGGACATCTTCTGGAGTTTTTGTCATTTCTGCCTGTTGATCACCTAATCCTGCATATGGAGCCAGTCAGCGTTTTTTAGGTTATTACACATTAAATGACAATCTCACAATCTAAAGTGTATAAAATGTTTTAATCTTTCCAGTCTCCTATGACAACCAGAGTATATATTTTTTGTTTTAGATCAGATGGACGGGAAAAGAGGAAGAACAGATCAGATCAACATTATTGCTTATTCACTGTAAAACTGATGCTTTTAGATCAAATAATTTACAAAAATGTTGATTTTTAAATTCCTCTATGACAAGACATGTTTCTGGAAAGTAAAACAAACCACTGGAGTTTTGTGTTTTTGTTTGGCCAGTGTGTGGCTGTGACTTGGTGCGCTCTGGTTTCTTCCATCATTCTGGTGAGTACATCTGTACTGAGGACTACCAGCGCCTGTATGGGACCCAGTGTGACAGCTGTGACCAGTACATCACCGGAGAGGTGGTCTCTGCCATGGGGAGGACGTATCACCCACGCTGTTTTGTCTGCAGTGTCTGCAGGTAGGACCAAGCTACTGTTTTACAAAGCCTTTCCACGTTGAAAAAAAGTATAATATTGTCTGACAAAACCTAGTCTTATCTTACAAAGCACCACTTTAAAGAAATGCAACAGCAAAGATATGAAAAAAAATCATGACATCAAGAATTTTCATTTTACTTGGTGAAGTGAAATGTTGCTAAACACATATTTGTGCATTTCCTAGAGCTGTTACCTAATCAGATAAACTCCTAATGTCATGTGCAACTTGTTAGTATGAAAACAACAGAAACGAATGAGTAAAGAGGACAACAGTGTGAAAAGATGCTTTTAAATCTATCTTTATGCACTGGGTTATGTTGTAAAAGTAAATTAAATTAAAACTTTCTGCTGTGAAAAAGTAACTGCTGACATTTTTATCCCTGCTTTAACTGCGATTTTCAAAACAAATCATCTACTCATTAAAAACCGTCTTACTGTTTCTCACTGTCAGCAACAGTAAGCAACAACCACAACCAGGTTTTTAAAGTAGTTTTCAAAGTAATTGAAAATAAAATGTATTTTTGTTATAAAAATTAGATCAAGGAGAAAGATAATACCACACTTATAAAATTAAATTTCTGTAATCATTTGGTTCTTACTAACATCAGGCTGATAACTGAGATAGCTTAACTAAGTTTTTTTAACACCTAAATCCTCATTAGATCATATTATAAACTGACTAAACATTTCATTTCAAATTATTTTATTGAGCAAAAAAAAAAACAAACAAAAAAAATAACTGTCCAAATCAGGCTGTAATAACATTATTCCCCTGGGTCAGAAACCCAAACTGGGGTTTTCCTGCATGGAGTTTGCATTGTGAAATCCTTCCACACCCCAAATAACATCTGTCAGGTTAATTGGTGTAAATTTTTCTTAGGTGCGTGTGTGTGCATTGTTTTTTTGTCCTCTGTGTCTTTGTGTTGCCGTGTGATTGGCAAACTATCTCGGATGAAAGCTGGCTCTCCCCCAACGACCGCTGGAAATACCAGCCCCCCTGCGAACGTCCAAGGACAAGTTGATACAATTGATGGATGGATGAAACTAGCCAAACAAACCCCAAAAAACAAATATATAACTGACAGTCACATGATGGTCGGCTGCTGCTTTGTTTCGTAATGAGCTGGATGACTTGCTATTGATGAAACTACATAGTGCTCCAGAAAATCTGATGGAGAAACTGCAGTACTGCACTTTTGCAGCTGCAAAAATCCTAAGCGCATCAGCAAGTCCACTTATGAGGCTCAAAAGAAGAGACAAAAACTCAAAGTAAAGGTTTTCGAGTGGCCCTGCCTAGGTGGTCTTTCTTGGTTTTAAACAATTGAGATAATGTGGTGCCACCTTAAACGTCTAATTCAGACTCAACTTAAGTGTTACTTAATTAAATCAATTCTGCAAAGAAATTCTGTGACTTGAAGAAGCCCTAGAAAGCTACGATTAACATTTAATGGCAGCTCAAGATGTTAAGAGTGTGAATCGTTAACGATTTACTGTTTTTTTTTAGTTCACATTGATTTGCATTCATTTTTTTGCCTTATATTTGCTTTATCAAAATTAGTTTGAAAACCTGAAACTTATTGTATTTCATTCTATAAAGAGTGGATTAGTTTTTAGCCGCTTTGTGTCATTGCTGTATTGATGCAACGGGTGAGAATCTGAACACACTTTTAATGTTTTTGTGTATGATTCAATTATGTGTCTCCATTTTTGCTTAACGTATGACCAACTATTAAAGTTTAAGTGATGCTACGGCCAAGTTCTGTCTGTTCTGCAACAGATCTTAGACATTTCTGTTTTTATTGCCCCTGTGTCTTAACTTCTTTAAAAAGACAGTTCATTTGTATGGATGTTTTATAAACTTTTATTATGAATTTATCTTCAAATTTTGCCACTAAAATTAAACTTGTTTGCCAAAACACAGCATTTAGCTAAATAAATGATTTCATCTGTTATTAATCATTGATTTGATTTGAATTAGCACATAAAACACCATACCTTGGTTTTTGAATGATTATTGCTAAATGGATGCAAGTTTTGTGCTTGGGTTGAATGCTACTTAATTTTCTGTGTGTGTGTGTGTGTGTGTGTGTGTGTGTGTGTGTGTGTGTGTGTGTGTGTGTGTGTGTGTGTGTGTGTGTGTGTGTGTGTGTGTGTGTGTGTGTGTTCTCAGGCGTCCATTCCCAATTGGAGACAGAGTGACCTTCTGTGGGAAAAAGTGTGTGTGTCAGCAGTGCTCACACTCTCTGAAAAAGGACAAGCCTGTTAAGATTCTTGGACCGAGCTGTAAGAAGCAAACATGCACCCATAAACATTTATCTGTTATACTCATAGATTTAATGTGAGAATTTGACACAGTGGAAATGAATAACTATAAAAAGCAGAAGAATTAAAGCAAAACAAAACAATAGTCAAGCTATTGGCTCATATTTTAAAACAATGGAATAATAAAATGCTGTTTGGCTCTCATTAAATTATTTTTTGGCATCTTATGCCAAACAGTAAAGTTCTTTAGGACAATTGTCGCCTTTTCTAGTTCAATAAATTGAGAAAAAATAATCCTAATAACTACTTGTGTTTGTGCAGTTTTTATTGTATTTTTCTTGGTTACTTGTTTCTGGCCCTAGTTGAGTTATTTCTACATATATATAGAAAATAATAGCCACAGAATTTTAAAGACAGTATGAAGCACCTGTGAAGTTATGTCTGAATGACTCAAAATAAACCAAGATGGTTTTGATAGTTTTGGTAGTCTGTAATAGCCACAGACTTTGATTGGTGTCCTAGTCAAAGAAGTAGCATGACCTTAAACAGAGTCTCCGAATTCAAGCACTTTTGTAAAGATTTGTGGATTTAAGTTTCTACACAGCAATGTGAAAACGTGTTGCCAGTTACCACAAATGCTTAGTAGTTATTAAGTTTTGGTTTGTAAAACTTTTTCTTACATAAGACAAGGATTGAAATCAGTCAGGGAGCAAATATTATTTTGCAGCACTATTTGGCTCAGTCTTTTTACAGATATTTTAAAAGCATTTATAGTTAATTTCCCACCAGAGAACCCAGCTAAAAGCATAGCTACACACCTTCAAACAGGGACACATTCTCAGAAGGTGGCCTGTGCTCCAGGTAGTTTTACAGCATTATTTTAGTCGCTCCATCTGTCAGAAACGGTGCGACAATCTCAACAGGAGTGGGGGAGAACCACGGCAGAAAGACAAGTGCGTAAAGGCATTATGTCCTTTCTCAGTGCTTGACTTCTCGCCTCTCCTGTCCTGCTCTCCAGACTGTGCAGGCTGCAGCCAAGAGATCAAACAGGGCCAGTCTCTGCTGGCTTTGGAGAGGCAGTGGCACATCACTTGTTTCAAATGTAGGACGTGTGGCTGTGCTCTCACTGGAGAATACATCAGCAAGTGAGTTGCTTAATTAACCCTTTATACATTGCCATCACTCGACCATGCAGAAATGCTCTGACAACTAGAGACACATTATGTTTTAGACGGTGAAAAGCAAATAACTGCAACAAGCATCGAGTTAAAATGAAATTCATTTGTGTTGCTGGCAGAGACGGGATTCCTTACTGTGAGGATGACTACCACACTCAGTTTGGAGTCAGGTGTGAGGGCTGCAGCAGGTACATCAGCGGCAGAGTACTCGAGGTGAGCCATTCTTCCTGTACTTGTGTTGATCAGCTGTAACATCCAATAGTTTTCAGCAGCTTCCCTCGTTTCAGGACCAAAGCCGCCCAGATCTTTGAAATACTCACTCACTGCGGAGTTCGGCACTGAGAACTTATTTGTCCAGCACGCAGAATAAAACTACCGGAATAATATTTTTTCTCAACTCATTTTTGATCCATATTTGCACTAAGACAGGTTTTAATATTTGTGGCCATCAGTTAAAATTTTTCTTCTAAATGTGTTTCATCCATCTGATTTTTGAGAAGCTGCTATTATTTATTCTACTCACTTCAAATGTCTCCTTGATAAAGTTAAATTATAATTTGTCACATTTTATAAGTCACCTCACCTCGAGGTAGAAACAGCTAAAAAATACATGGATTTTAGATGACAATGTGCAATTATGTTAAAATACATATGAGATTTGGGTTGTTTTGCAACAAGTTATTGTCATAATTTATTTCAATTCAGTGCAGAAATGTTATACTGTATTAATCAGTGGAAATGAATGTTACAGCACACAGAACTTTTGTTATGTAGCTTTTTGTGTCAAACCAACAATATTGTTTCTAAATATGTGGATTATATGCACATTTGATGACACATATAAACACTTCTGTCCAAGATCTTTGTTGTTATGTTTTTGTGTTTTATATTTTAAAAGAAAATCTCCAGCTTTCTCTCTACGTTTTGATTTAAGATCTTACATCTTTGGAAACCCAACACAACTGCAATCTCTTATGTCCTCTTTTTATCTCTACATGTTGTCTATTCACCACAGGATGTTTCCTGTTTTCTATCATGACTCTTATAATTTTCTTAATTTGTTTCTTATCTTTTGTCTCTACCTTTCTGCTCCTTGATTATATGTGCAGGCTGGAGGGAAGCATTACCACCCGAGTTGTGCCAGGTGTGCCCGCTGTCACATGATGTTTCAGGAAGGAGAGGAAATGTACCTAACAGGTAAAGATCTGTTTACTTATTATTGCTCTGACTTACAATGTTGTCAAGAAAATTTAAACTTGCTTCCTGATTTGTACGGTTAATAGACATTATGATACAATCTATTTAATTTGATTTGCTCTGCAAAGATCCAGATGCCCAAGTGTGATTCTGTAAATATGGAACTGATCGAGTGTTTGCAGCTTAGCAAACAATCATGCAATTTATATAGTTGCATGAAAATGTTTGCTGCCTGGAAACAGAATCCAGTTTAAACATCCACAGAACCTGTGGATCCAAATGTTTTGGATTTGTTCTGATTCATTTCTGCTTGAATTATTGTAAGATTAGAAAGGAGCATCTTGCTAACAGAGGATAGCCTGAAGAAATATTCACTACAATTTATGTGTGAGCCCAACTGGACCTTAGGGAACCCTAGTATTAAAGAAGATACTGTTTTTGTCTTGTTTGAACATACAGAAGAGACTCTGAGCGCTTCTGGTAGAGTGAAAGTCACCAATCTCTGCTTGGAAACTAAAAGTGACAAATAACTAGCAGAATCTCTTTTTCTCATATTTTCCATTTTTTCTCAAATCAGTTCTTTGATAATCTTTAGAATGGCATCTAAACGTAATTTATTTCAATAATAAAATTCAAACCTGAAGCACATTAATTGAACTAAAACTAAAATATTCTAAAAGACCAATAAAAACTTATTTTAATGCAGAAAATTTATGGGCCGGTACTTTCCAGCTTTGAACCAAATTTAATTGAAATATATCAATCAATACAAATACATATTGATGCATTAGTGTGTTACTGTTGGTAATTGATTTCACAATTATAATTCTGATTTGATATTTTGTGCAGCTCTATATATTACAGTGCATGAGTATACCTTTCAGAATGCTAATCTTTTTAAATGAAAATGTTTTCCTTTTAGTCTAATTGCTCAGAAAATGTTAACAGAAAAAAAGGAAGCTGTGCAGAATGTTAGCAAATAAGAGTTAATACAGTGACTAGATAAAAGGCAAATCACTCTAAAGATGACTATTGATCTCACATGAACCCTGGATCTGGAAAGAACGACAAAGTTGCACAAAAGCACAAGTACACACTCCACATCAGACCCTCAAGGACTGAAGTCAATTACCTTTTATCCTTCACTTGTGCTGCTGGCTTCATTAACCTGACTTGTTTGTTGTGCCAGGATAATTCAGTGTCTGATTGCATTACAGGTCTTATTTGAATCAGCCAGGAGTTTCTGCTGAATAGTTTGATTCTTTGACTAAGAAAGCAGAACAGATTTTATCAGGTAGGAAACTTTAAGTGACTTATAAAATGCTTTATTGGTCAGGAAGACCAGTGAAGCACTTTTACACCACGTCCACCCAGAGCATCAGAAGCAGCACACATTCAAACACTAATACACACCTAAACAGACACATTGAGGTTAAGTTGCTGCCCAAGGGCACATCAACGTGTTGGGTGAAGAATCTGGAAGTGCTTTGTAACTGAGTTCATGGGGGCTTTTCCTCCCGCTCAGCGGCAGATGCACCCTGCTCTCCATCAATCCTGGGAGTTGATGTTTTTTGCACAAGTGTCACAAAAGTTGCAATGACAAGGAGCTATATGAAAATATAATGTTCTTGTAAGGACAAAAACGTATTTATGTTGTGAATGTTTATGCTTAATGTTGTAATTTTTTGATAAAAGAAAGCGAAACTCTAGGCGATTAAGCATTTCTGGACTGATATTTTATTAACTAACATTGAGCTTATCAGTTGGAGTTTAAATTAAGTACAAATATGTTTCCTATTTTCTTAAACTACAGATACATAAATATCAGATTTCTCATTTCATTAGATTTAAAAAGGCATCAGCTAGTTTGAAGAAACTAAGAGGCTTTAATTTAAATGTGTATCATTTCAGTTTACAAATAATATGCAAACAATATCAAAACGGGGTAGAAGATGGTGTATAGTTTGTAAACCTTAAGTCACAAGACTTGCAAAACTCTGAGCTTTTTCAGATAAACTTCACTGAAAATTTACATTTAAACTCCAGAAAATAAACTGAATATCCAGAACAATTTGAAAATGAAAAAGGCCATTGTGCTTCCCAGATAAGCGGGATCGAAGCAGCTGGGATTAAATGTGGAGTTATTGTACCGTAACATGTGGCTGACACACACACTCAGAGTCGCCACGCAGGTTGACACCTCCTGTTTCGGCTCATTGACATTCTGCTGGTCTCCCTCGGAGGCGGCAGTAAAACTAAGCATTTGCATATTGTACTTTAAGTCTGTTAGTGTGTCTAAGAGTTGTACAGAATGTGTGTGTAAATCTGATTCAAAGCACGGTGAAACATTTGTGAGTCTGAATATGTGAATATATGTGTTGAAGTGTAGCTGTGGTTATCTGTGTGTGTTTCTGCTCAGCTACAGTGAGCTGCCCCAAGGTTACATTTGCTCCTTTTGATTACTTCAGCCATGTCGGAGGACTGAACAATCACCCTCGTGAGACAAGTGTAATTAGGACACACACACGCGGACACACACACGCCCTTGCAATCAATCTTGCGATGCATATCTGAAGTAGTCAGTGTTTTCCATACATGAATGCATATGTTTATTTATGTGTTTGATGGAGTTGCACAACTATTTCAAGAAATTGTTTTTTCATAGCTCTGAAAGTATTGTTTCTAAGTTTTCAGGGTAACTTTTAAATGGTGGTGGGATTTGTTAAACATTTTTTAGCTATTTTTTCAGAGCTTTTTAAATATGTAGTCTTGATTTAACTGATGTTGTTGATCAAATACTTATATTTAAAACAATAAGCACTATTTTTACTGCCAATAAATCTTACTAAATGAACCAATTAATAGACCTAAACATTGGTTTATGAAAACATAGATAAATTTCTACCTACTATTTGTGGAAACTGGAATGTCGCTTCCATGCTGTGGTCAAATAAACAATGATTTGTCAGAGAAGCGATGGTTTCGGGTGACAGGTGACTGATCTGTGATTGCAAAAAAAGAATGTTTGTTTTTCTTTTTTTCTGCCTCTTGCAAAAATTGTCAGCATTTATTCTGCTAATTTTAACTTCCTGAAGTGCAGCTTACATTTCTGTCCAGCCCACATAAATGACAGCATCATTCAGCAAATAAAATTAATTTTAACCTGATTCACAAATATCCATGCTCATATATTACCATTAGAATTTCAAATTGCATGACAGAAATGTCAAAGATTCTGCCTGAGTTTAACACAGGATGTTCTCAGCCATTCGTTTATGAATATCTCTGAAAGTCACACTGCTGGCTTCTCTGACTGTTTTCTCTTGTTTGCATAAAGTTAGAAGGATCTAAATGCAGCTGAGGCCTCATTCTATGATATCTCCCTGTAGGAAAACAAGCAGGGCATATTTTGTGTCCGACATACTTAGGCAGTCAGTTTCCTGGTAAATGAATGACTTTCTTTGTAAAAATGGAGATTCTTCTCATCCAGAAGATAAAGGTTCTCAAGGCCACACATCTGCTTGGCAGCAGAGTTGAAGAGTGTGGGAGGGATGGGGGTGCACTGAATCACCACGCATGGTTTCTGTCTGCAGTATTGATTTTGTGTGCAGGTTTGTGTGCGTGTGTGTGTGTGTGTGTGTGTGTGTGTGTGTGTGTGTGTGTGTGTGTGCGTGTGCGTGTGTGTGTGTGTGTGTGTGTGTGTGTGTGTACTTACATATTGCGAGTGTGCAGGTTAGATTTATGGTGTTGATGGTGGTTGTATATCAGACTCAGGATCAGCTCAGAGTCCGTTCTGCAGGCCTGCATTGCCCCCAGACCCGAGGAAATGATAAATACTGATGTGGGTGTGTTACTGCTTTCTGAGGTGTGTGCGTGTGTGTGTGCGTGTTTGTGTGTGTGCGCAAGGCGGATGTATTAACATCATTATCACTATCAGATCCTCATGCATATAACATCCTGACATTAGTGGTTTATTGTTATGTATAATCTCTAATAGGCTCCATTCATTTCCTCTTTCCTCTGCTGCTCTCTCCACCAATCTCTCCTTCTGCTGCCTCTGCCTTCTTTCCCTCAGGTTCCACAGTGCTGCAACTTTCAAAGCAAGAGTTTGTCAAATCCGGCTTTATGTAATGTACCATGCTGAATAGAAAGCTGCAAAAAACACTAGTGTCTATAATGATTACTTGTGTCTAAGATTTCACTGTGACGGTGAAGGCTGTGAATGTGAAGCATTTTAGCTTGAAGTAAATGATGGACATGAGTTTGTGGTGCATTCATTGTGCAACAGAAGTTCAATCTCAGAAAGTCAAGTTGGCTGCATTTCAGTTGCAACTTAAAAAGCCAATGGAAATGGATCAATATAATAGTATGGAAGCAATCAACATAATCAGTGGGTGCTGTAATAGTTCACTTAAGTCCTGGTTTGTTATGTGCCTTGGTTTTAAAGTCACTTTTGGGTACACTTGAGTCGAGACAAACAAAAGTATCTAAATATTTGTTTTACTTTGTGCAACAGTGAACAATCATTGTTGAAAGCAGCTGTAATAGAATTGACTGGAAATTTGATTTCATTTTGTCAATAATCCAGAGGTAGCTGGATGAAATCATTTCAATATTGTGTCATTGTTGGTTGGTGCTTAGGCTGAGCTACTAAACTCAACCCTGTTGCAAATCGATTCTGCTAAGCTTTGTTTTGGTTCAACAACCGTAAGAAACCATAATCTTTATAAATAGCAGATTTTAGTGTTAGGTTGGGATCCTCATGTTCATATTTTAGTTTAGCACATAAACATTCTGGTTACAGGTTAGGAGAAACACTTTGTTTGGTACATGGCATACAGAGCTGTGCTGACAAATTAGCTATGAGTGCTTGTGTTGAGATGCCCCTAATGACCAGGATAATCACTTCTCGCATTTAGATGACAATGACAATTTCTTATTCTCTATCTCCAAAGGGGTATCTATAGTGCTAATGTTTACCTCTTTTTTTATGGGATCAACTTTGCTAACATTTTGTACACATTGAGAAAAGAAGCAATACTATCAAAACATATAAACAATTTGTGAGCACTGTGAAAATATGTTACCGCTATCAATGTTGAGGCTCATTGTGGTTAATTCCAATATCTTTACTAGATAAGACCAGAGAAATTAGTTTTCTCTCTCAGCTACAATAAAAACATAATTATTTGCTGGTTTGGGAGTTCTTGCAACTTGTTTTTGATGCATCTTCATTGCTGAGAAATTTGAAGTGGGTGTTGTCACATATATGATTGATGGGAAGGTGTCTATGTGAGGGTTATATTAAAGCACTAAACTTGTGACCATTCTAATAGTCAAAGTAGGAAAATAAAAATCCAGATTTTGATGAAGAATTAGTGAGGAATTAATCAGATTAAAGTGGGTTAACAAGAAAAAAATGTGTCCAAACCAATTTACACTGATTTGTGCATAAATAACTGTATATAGTTAGAGATTATTTTCCTCTTTGTCTGTGTGCAAGTGAACCAAAAGGGCTACAAGTTCTGTTCTTAGACCAGACAGCCTGCCTCCAAAGCTACAGAGCTTGTCTTCAGTGTGTGTGTGTATGATGATTGATGTTGATGCACTCGAGAGATTTGCTCCTTATATCCCATTAAGCTACACACAATAAACAAAGCTAACTGAGGTAGAATTGTGTGTTTATGTGTCTGTAGGATCGGAGGTTTGGCATCCGAAGTGTAAAGAAGCAGCTCGGCTGGAGAGAAAACTTAGGGTGAGTGATGCTCAAAATACCTGGACTTCCTCTCTCTGATTTTCTCTGAATGTGTTATTGCTTTATGAGCCACAAACTAATAATGACTTAATACAAATAACAAAAAATCTGAATCCTGAAACAGATCTTAATAATTGCGTGTTGCTCAGACAAAAGAATTGCGTGCATTGCTGTGAATTAACAGAGGTCACCAATATAAGTTGCATATATTTACAAAAGGGTCAAGAGAAATATACATATTGTACAAACAAAACAAACATAAACCAAAATGAGAAAAACTAAAGAAGGTTTTAAACAAGCCGGATAACATCGTAGTTAAATTCTGGGCCATACGCTAAACTCAAACTAAACTAATTCAAAGCTGGAAACAAGACTACTGCTTTCTCCCAGCCCAATTAACAACTGAAGGAAATTAGAAAATAACAAATCAAGATGAATCAGAAGCTAGTGGTAAGGAGGGACCCCTCTGATGCTCCCTCTTGTACAATGTTGACACACATTTACTAGTTAGAGAGAAGGAGAAATTACAGATTCTGTGTTTAATGAGGAGATAAACAATAGGAGTCTAATGATAAGAATCACTGTATTATGTATCCTGATTTTGAGAATCTGTAGGAGGGAGAAGAATACCTCCAAAAAATAAAATAATGTTCAAAAAATATTTAAAAAATTACAGCCCTGTTATTAAAGGTTACATTTTACACTAAATTGAAATGGGAATTTTTTTTTTCTCATTAGTACTGTATTGACAACCAGATAGGCATTATAAACAAAGTCTCCTGCTGTTTGCTACGAGTTTATGAGTTTGGCCTCGCCTGAGGAAGCATCCAATTCAAAATCATCCAATTCAGGTCTACAGACATTGTCTTGGTGGTTTTATGTGTTCAATGTTAGTTTATGTGACTAAATAAGTTTGAAATAAAACTTAAAGATTTTATTTGATTTTACTTTCTTCATCTGTTCTGTGGCAGACAAACAATATTACCAAAAAGCAGACAGAAATTATTATGGTTTTTTTCACAGACTCAAACTTTTCTGGACTCTGTGCTGTTTTGTTTTGGGCTGACTTTATGTGCTGTATTAGTAAATCTGTGAGAGAAAACTGAAGATAAAAATGCTCAATAATCCATTTCATAAATATTCTTCATTTGTCCATTTAAATGCAGAACTTCAAAACCCATAGTGAAAAATATTTTTCCAATGTCTTTACACTGGAAAGAAGTATAAATATCTATACATTTCATTAAATTAGAACTAAACTAAATTTGTGCTAATGTCAAATAACAAACATTTTTACTAATATACATTGTCTTTTTCTCTTTTTTTTTTTTTTTTTACGTTGTTTTAACACCAGGTCTGACAAACTTCCACTTTCAGAGGAGGCTTTTCAATCCCAGGCTCCATCACTGCATTCTCATTAAATAGAGAAGGTTTTACCAGTTAAAACTTTTGCATTTGCCTGGCTAGATGTACAGTAGTTTTTGAGTTATTGTAATCCCCAGAGTATTACCAATGTTGCATGATCTGACCTCAAGCTTAACTTGCTCGAATGTCCGTTCTAGGAAAGATTAGAAACTGCCATGAATGTTGTCCAGTTGTCAAACAGACTGTAATGTGATGCAAACTAAGCTTTTAACCCTTAGCAGACTGAAAGGCAACAGTCCTCTGTTACTCTTGATGTCTTTCCTACTTGGCATTGTGTTAGCAGACACCCGAATGCAAAGTGATTAAACCTGAGTTTACTGAGCTGCTCAAAATATTATACATTCAGTTCTCCACACTCTTTTTTGCTCAGTCTTCCTCCCCATCTCTATCCTTCAGTTTTTCTTTTTAAAATGTATTGATTGTGTTTTATTGGAGTGGCCATATGTGGAAAGAAAAATGTAGGTATTGATTAGTGGATATTTTTAATAATCAAACCATTTCTAAAATATCCTTGGGAATCTAGTGTGTTTCATGCCCCCTTGAGGCGTCAGGTCTAAAAAATTACCTATTTGCTTCTTAGAAAATAATGCCTTTGTTACCTTATCTTAACTTACAAAGGACCAGGTGATTTAAAAAAAAATAAAATAAAATCTTATAGATGTATTTGTCCTTGATTAGGAGAAATTCCTCATGTTCTTGCTCTTGCTCTTTTGTTTGACCCAGCAGCTGAGGCGAACCTCTGAGACTGCGTCCATTTCTCCTTCAGGTTCCTCTCCCCTCCTCGGCTCTCCTCACCGGCTCATCTGTGTGAGTAACTGCAACCACTGTTGCACCAAAGCTGCAGTACTTACCCCTTTTGTCTCTGTCAGTGCTGCCAGTCAAATGTCACTCACACTGACAGAATGGTCTCCCACTCTGTCCAAATACCTGTGACTCTGTATGCAGAGCTTATGTGATAGCTATTTAAGTAAAATCCTCAGCTCCAGGTTTTCTATTCAGGACTCAATCTGTATTAGGCGTCCATGTGTGAATGTGTGTGTGTGTGTCCTTCTGTTTCCTCTTAAGGCTGACACTGATGTTTTAGGCTATAAGCAGCTGGAGGCTCCGCCCAGGGTCAAAACCATATATGACATCCATCAGCCACACATCATCCCTTATCAGGCTGAACACATTGGGTTATTAGAAGATGCTGTTCAGAGAAACAGCTGTGGACCAGTACACACATTCACACACAGAATAAATAAAACTGTCCATTCTAAGTTATATTGTAGTTAACATAAAGGAAAATGGCTAATTCTGATTCAGGATAACAATATTTAAAACTCTCTATCCTCCTCCGGCAGTCTTTGGGTTCCTTATCGCCGTACGCTCATGTGAGTAATTCAACCGTTTGTCCTCCATCATTTCAAATGACCACTTTATTTTTTTTATTGACTGCAATAGTAAACAATGTTTGAATCTTGTATGCCAGAAAAGTACAATGTCCAAACCTCTTCAACTATTTACCCAAAAAGTCTTTTATTTACTGTTCTCAATTTGTTTTTGTATTTTTGCTTTGTTTTACATAAAGTATTTTTATTACACGTATAATTTTTGATTCATTGATGGTATGGCTAAGTTAAACAACAGTTTTACTGATGCCAGGTCTGTTGTAACCTGTGCATTTTTATATTTATGTATTGTTTTCTAACAGCATTCTTTGGATGTTTTTCTTTACCTCCCTCAACATCCTTCTCACTGTCAGTGGAATAATCTTTTCCCCCTCTAAATAGATGTGATCTATTTCATATATGTTTAGTATGATAATATTTTGTTGTGACAATGAAGGAGAAATGGGTTTGAAGGTTTTTACAGTTCTTTAGATCTACAGCTGGAGGATTATTTGTTTTTTATAGGAAACATTTCTCTGTTTGCATTCAGGACCTCTTGGACAGCGTTGAGTTGAGGAAGAGATTTTCTTCCAGCTCTGCATTCTCGGAGTCTCCTGCACATGGTCACCACGGAGGATCCCCGCTGCATTATTATCTCCCCGGTAACAAGCCCACTTAAGCAGAGACTCACATACACAGAGAAAGAATGGTGTCCCTACCTGACGATGCAAGCTATAACACAATAAGAAGGTGCATTGTTATTTCAAGTGAGCAGTACATCAGGGAAGGACACATGTGACTTTACACACTCATCAGATTGTGAGTCCTTTTCGTCTCTCATTAGTCTCTGTCTTTCTGTTTGGCCCATTAATGTTGTGGGTTCTGTCACTGCTTGCCTGCGCTGACTGCAGGCAGTGAGAGTGGCAGGAGTTCACCATATTACGCTCAACCAGAGCCCAGGTGTACCACACCCACCTCCTCCACCTTCCAAGTTCCCAAGCATTTCCATGTCCCAGGTAGGCTCTGATACACTACCCTGACCTCTGACCCTGTTCACAGACCAGAATGGGCCCATTTGCATTTCAAACTACAGTTGAAGTATTTGTGCAAAGGCACTTTAGGTTGTGGAAATGTCAAATTGTTATTCTCTGGGTGTATAATCACTGCGGCGGCAGAGGTGAGACACACACAATATAAGACCAAGAACACGACTTTTCACACTCGGATCAGATTTTTACCTAAGACTTCATCAGTGTGTCAGTGCACCATTGGACACAGTCAGGCTTAGAGGTACTTTCTCCAGTGCGAAGCAGAAAATTACAGCTGACCTACAAAAGTTTGAGTTTGGTGCAAATAAGTGAATGTTTTTTTTTCTTTATAAAAACATTTATTAATGTTTGGTTAACTCAAGAGAGATGGTCTTTATTTCATTTTTCTATAAAAACTACATTTCTCCAGGTGACAGTTTGTAAGTTAATGACATTAATGTTATTATGTTAAAAATGCTTCCAGGAGGACAGGTGTCAGACAGTAAGGCTTTGTTGGTTTTTGGGTTTTCTCCTGGTTCTACATGATATTTCAGGATAATTGTTATGTAATGTGGGTTCGCTTTGGTGTCTTACTTTGCATTTTAGTTGATGACCGGATCAATGCTCCATGAGCAAAGTCCTGGTGTTTGAGAGTTACTTTATAAGTTAAAACTTCTCCATAACCTTATCTCTGACCCATCACCATATTCCTTTGACTTCATGACGCTGTATGTTCTCTGAAGTTATATCATAAACCTCATTGAACGACTGCATTTATAATGAGATTAAATTATATACCGGTGGACACCATTTACTTATGAGGTAATTTCTTGTACTGGATTTTATAGGTTGTCATAATTTTGGAAGTAAAATCAATATGCACACACCAAATTTCAGATTTTTATTTAGAAAGAGGCAGAATTTTTTTTCTCTTTTTAATGGAAAATCATTCTGATTGAAAAGCTTTTGGCTTGTGTCCACTTTTATTTACCAACTAATGCTAGCTAATTTAATTTCCACTCTCCATTAACCATTTACATATAGATTTAATGCTGAACTTTGCCCCTTTATCTTGGCTCATTTCCCTTTAAGGACCAGTATTCTCTCATCTGATGCCTCCTTGTCGTTCCCACTTCAGCCCATCTCTGCATGCTGCATGTTTTTGTTTGGAGATGCTTGCCAGCCTTGCATTAGCAATTGTTTCTTCCTCCGCAACAATGTTTGTGAAAAAAAATGTTTTTGTCGCATGCTTTTATCCAAAGTGCTTCACATGCATACATTTACCAGGCATGGTCTCCTGGGGGTTGAAACCTTAGCATTGGATTGGTGGCACTCCTTGTTCAATGAGTTGAAATGCATCCACAAATATTTTTATTTTATTTTATTTTATTTATTTATTTTTTGCAACAAACCTTTGGAGTTTTATTTTGACATGAATGTGGGAATTTCTCTCCATCAATAGAAATCAATGCAGAAAACTGATCAAGTTCACTCCTCTTCCTGATATCTTTTCTTATATTCCTCTGGCTTGAACTTCCTCTATGAGACTGAGCAGTGTAAAGCTGTTTAAGTCATCCTCTCTGCATGTCAATCAATTTGTCTAGATGCACAGCAGCATCTTCGCTGTACCCAGAGCTCCTGCACGACTCGATATGGCTCGACTTTCCAGAGATTTTGAACCTTTATTTCAATTTTAAAACATTTAATGGAAAGGTCGACTGTGTATTTATAAAAAATATTTCCAGATAGGAAGGAAGGAAGGACCATGTTTGTTACATCTATGGTAAATGTGTTCAAGATCAAGAAGAGAACTCTTTGTCATCTCAAACTTAGTCTTGCTGTGAGTCACTAACTATCATTTTGTTTTTCTCAGTGTCTGAAGAAAGCAACATCTATAGAAAACCCCCCATTTACAAAAGGCAAGGTTAGTGAATTTTTTGCAGTGTTCTGGATTTTATTACCAACGTTAGGTTTCATTTCTGCCGAACCAGCTGATTCATGGATGTATTGTATTGTTTTCTCAGCAAAATACTATTTTACTCACGTAATGAAATGGAAAATTTTACGTCTCTAAAGTGGAGTCATCAGGCAAATCCATTTTCTAAAAGCCTCCACAAATTGTTATTTTGAAAGTTTGCATGTATGGAGCCCTACTAAATAATCTGAGTACTACAAAAGTTTTGAATTGTATCTCTCTTCAAGCATCACAAAACAAAATACCATGTTTATTTATATGAAATTAATTGTATGACATTTTTGGGATATTAGTAAGAAAATTTACCTAAACCAGGTTCCAGATAATCAAAGCTGTTTTTTATTGAGTTAAGTAGTAATTGATAATGCTTTAATTATGGACCTTGTTTTTACAAATATGGTAACCAAAAAAAATCATATTTATAAAAGTTACATATTGCAGCTTGAATAAAACTGTGTGTTTTTGTATATTTCTTATGACATCATGACTCCAGATCAAATAGATCAAAATGTTAACATATATGACATACATCAGAATAAAATCATACTGAACTGGTTGCTGATGATTTTGCTAAAACTAAATCAAAGAAAAGCAGAAACTTGAGGATGTAGGAAACTGACAGTTTTTGTCAAATCAAAAAACAGATGACACATTCAGCAGGTGATTTAAGAAGTAAAATCAACTGAGAGAAGCTGAACTCTGAGTTGGTAGGTGATCCATCAGAGGATGCACAGAAGTCCAGAGTTACAGTTCCTCAGAAAGATCCCTGCATGATTTACGCCGGGCTCCAAAGTGCTGACAAATCTTTCTCTTGAATGAACTGACAGTTTGTGATCTTGGTTGAGTGGGTGAATTTAAATTTTGCAGCTTGAATCGTTTTGCAAAACGATTTTTGCATTATGGCAAGATATCATAACGAGACAAGAATACTGCCTATTTGTATTGCATTCATGTGAGAAGGAATTTGTGTGTCTTTCGACTGCGCAAACACTATAAAGCCAAATTGATGTAACTTAAACCAACACATGACCTTTGCTATCTGTCACAGTCACTTTCTCTCTAATCTTTCTTGTTGTTTCACTGAGACTTGTTACTAAAAACAAAATGCCAATGATCCCCACACTGCTCTCCCTTAGTTGGATTTATAGGTTATTCTCATAATAGGATGCGTCATTAGAGTGCATGATGGCATTATTAATGTTGTGGTATTTTCCCCCTTTGTCGTTCTTCAGTTTTGCAGGAATGGAAACAATAAATAATAGTTTTAAAGTATGCTTTTCTCCTGTCTTTTTGTCAGACATTCCTGCATCTCCAACCAACAGGAGTAAGATCAATGAGAATCTCATCAATTCCAGTCGCCTTTCCACTTCCAACTGCAACAGCCTTTATCACACAGACTCCAATTATTTCCCATACGGTGGCTCTCCGAAAGGTAAATCTCCTTCATTTCAACTATCCTCCTTACGCCTTTGAAAAATTCTTCTAACATAAACTAAAGTATATTAAATTCGATTTTATATGAGAGAAATCACAAATCAATGTATGACTGCAGAGAAAAAGTAAAAATGTTACAGAGATCTCAACACTTTATTTCAGAGTGAAAGGGGTTAAATACAAATGTTAGTAAAATTTTAAGTATTTTATTGTACAAATTCATTTAAACTTAATTTATGCTGTTATGGACTCACTGCAAGTTGTTGGGATGTCACATAATGTGCTAGTAAAAGACGTTTGTCTGTATAACATAATAAAATGTTGCTAAGTTCAGGAGTGATTTGCATAGGACCCTGTGTGAGGATGCATCGCTTAAAGTACCAACACAGCTGAAGGACACGTTACATCTAAATGCACATCGTAGCTCTAACTTAGCATTCTGCTGTCTTCTCACTCGCCATCATTTATCCCTTCATTTCCTCATCCTCCCTCCATCTCACCTCCAGTCTCCAGGCTGAGGAGGTTTTCATCTGGAGGAGAAGAGGATGGATGGAATCATAATATAAACAAGGTAAGAAAGTAAGATTGCTTCCTCTTTTAATAATTGAAATAAGTGTTAATATTTTATGAGTGAGCTAATTAAAAGGTTCTTTGCAACCTCACTCATTGGACACTGAATCAAAGTGAATCTCTCCTCTTTCTTATTGGCTAAATATTCTATCATCTATAACAACAAAAATCCTTTTTTAAGTCAACAGTCAAATAGGCCATATTCATCATTTATCTCCTCATAAATCAAAATGCTTTATCTCTTGAGGTTTGACTTAAATATGAAAGTTTTACTTAAATATGCAATTTTTTAACATGATTTATTTTTAAATATTCATTAATATTCTGATATTTTGTATTCTTCCTCCACACAGGGAATTGGCAGGATGATCTTAAAGGAAGAGATGAAGGCACGATCAGCGGTCCAGGACAACAACCACTGGAGGAGTGTGTGCAGCTCCCAGAGTAACAGCAAGGAGACGCTAAACAATCTGGAATACAACTCCCTCAATGGCTGTAAGTCTTTGTGTTTAATAGCTTTACACTGTGAAAGTGTAACCGAGGGATTTTAAATCCTCTGCCAAGCAAAGAACCATGATAACTTTGTTTTTGTAAGTGTTTTGTTTGTCTGGCAGCATTTCTGCTGCTTCTTTCCTAAAAATTACTCAGAAAAGACCAGATTGGGAAACTGTGTAGAGCAATAAAGGCAGATGTGCTGGGAATATGTTTTTGTTTTGTTTTAAGTTTAGTCCTGTTTGTTTGTCTATATTTTGAGTCCCAATTATGACATTCCTCTCTCTCTCTTGTAGTAGTTAATTGTTTTATTGACATACTAAACTGAGGACTTAAGAGCCTAAGCACAGTTAGAAATAAAAAAATTAAAAAAAAAAAACTTTAAGCAGTAATATCTGAAATTAAATGTTTCTTCTTTTGTCTTTTCTGTGTAATCCAGTCAAAATGTAAACTTATTGTCATAGCTCATGACTAATTCAAGTTAAGACAGTAAATATAACACAAGCATTAAATCCAAATAAAAATCAAAGGAAATCTTATGATGCTTTAATTTGATTAAAATGTTCTTACACAGCCTTCATAACTGAGAGAGCATGCAAGTCTATTCAAATATATTCCCCTTATACTTAAAAATGGAGAAAGAAAACAGATTATAATAATATATTTATTAGACTCTCAAATGCTTAATTGAATTGAAACAGCAGATTTAATGAAGTAATCTGTACACATGACACTGGAATAGTTCTTTAATGACCAAAATATCTTGCTTTCTATTGGCATTGCTATCTCTTTTTTTATCTTTTAAAAACACAATAACTTCTTAATAATTATAAATTGGAGTGTGGAAAAGTATGAAAGCATTTAGATTTTCTCTGTGAATGTAATAGACATTTTCCTCCACTAAACCTCTCCTAAATTTAATAGAAAGATTGGTTAAATACCCTGTTAGAGTCACATTAGAGGTCTGCCAATGCAAAAACATATAATGAAGGTTAGCTAACTGTTAGTGTTCTTTGTCATATGACCTTACTACTGGAGATAGACACCAGTAGTGAAAGAAAAGTAAATACAAAGCATAAATGAACAACAAAAAACAATCATATTCAACTTTTGTTATTGTAATGAAACAGCACAAACTGACAAAAAAACAACAATAACAAAAAACCCTAACGCAAAAGGCCTGTTTTTGCCAAACTAGTGCACCTCTTTGGTACTAATAATAATAGTAATACTTACTTAGAGATTATGACTAATACAGTACAGTTTCCATGTTTAATTATAAATTGCACGTCCAAGGTCAGTGCAAGTGGTCTCCCAGGACTCTGTGACACTTCCCCCACATCTCGAAGCATTAGCAGGGGGAGTTTCCCATCTCTTTATTAACTCCTCCCTCAGCCTCACTTTCCTCTCTGCCAGCAGCAGCTAAAAGAATGACAAAAAGATGGAGTGAGTCATAAAGAAGGAGAAGATGGGAGTAGATGGAGGCCAGGTGAGGAAAACAGAAACAGCAAGAACAGCTTTAACAGAAGAGGCAGGAGAAGCAAATACTACAGAAATTGAATTAGATATAGTAGACAGAGAAAGAGAGGGGGAAGAGGGTATGAAAAGCTAAAGCAATTTGGAGCTGCTCTAAGAAGATGTATGACGTTCTCCCTGGAGGTAAATCAGGGTCATAGAGCGAATGAAAGAAATGAACTCTGCGCTCAAGAGGCGTCACACAGAAATGTCGTACAGAATCACAGAGGGTTTTATGGTGACTGCTGGTATTATACAGATTAGATTAATCCCAACCCTTTTGCGCTTGTCTGCTCTGTAGACAGGACTAATTTATCTGTGAAGTGTAAAAAGTATTTAACGCATTAGAGGAAATCCAGATTTGTTAGATCGTTTTAGTCAATGGTTATATTTAATAAGAATAAATTCCCCTCATTTTAGTCTTGTCCCTGAACAAAGGGAATCACACAGACCAACAACAGCTTGAGCTTTCTGCAGGGACTCTTGATGCCAACAATCCATTAGGCAGGCTCGTTTAAACATTAACAGGAAAAAAATCAGCAAAGAAATATCTACACGTCCAAATGGAGTTGAAAATCTCTCAGGGGTTGAAAGAGCCAACCAAGACTGATTTTATATTTTTGCAAATTTATATTTTGGTTTACATTTAGCAAATTTTGAATATGACACTGGGGTTTCATAAGCAAACAAACACAGTCGAGCGTTCAGCTTTTATTTCAGGGAAATATAATGTCAATGGTCATAAATATTGGTTCCCATTTGAATCTGTGAAGAGCAGATATTCTCTGCATCAAATCAGAATAAGTAAGCAAACAGGCTTTAAAAGGTTTGTCAACCAATCTTCATAAACTAGAAATAGACATTTTATTCCATAGCTGAGGATAATCATTGCAAATATTCTGAATGTAGCAACAAAGCTTTTTTATTCTGCGCCTTCTATATTTTTACATGAAATCTAATCTGAAAATTATAGCTGCTGACTTATGCATGAAATGCAATTGCTATATCATTCCTGAGTGATAAAAAATATATATAATTTATGCAGACTGCAGCTGCAATGCTGGTTCTTATTTTATATGATGTGTAGATTTTGATGGTGATTATGCTTGCACAATGATGCTAAGAGGGACAAATCCTCAGACAGTTGATGTTTTCCCACAGCAGCTTGGTTTATTACTTTCCTCCCACTGAAAACACTGAACCACCAGGAGTTGTCATTTTACTTCCACAAACTTCCATAAAACACATCTGAGGCGGACGCTAATATTAATATGTTTATATGGAGATAATAACAGTTCATCCAAGTTGAATATCTACTGATTAAGTGACTTCTGGGGGCATTTGGTTTCACCTGACTGTGTTTTGAGGTATCAGAGTTTGTGAGGATGAATAAAAATGTATTAGTAAGAAACACCACACTGTTCATATTTTCCTTCCTCTTCACAGTTTGCTGCTACTTTGTGTTGATCACTAAAATTAATAGACATTTGTGGTTGTAGTGGGAGCAAATGTGAAAAAGCTTGGAGGTTATTCCATGGTACTGTATGCTTTCCCCCCCACTGAGCCCTAATAGATGCCACATCCCCTCCAACCCTGAAGAGGAAAATGGATGGAAAATGAAGCTGGTATGGAAGATAGATGAATGGATGAAAGGACATTTTTAATCTTAATCTCTCCTCAGATGAATGTCTTTCTGAAGACTTGTCCTTGATTTTTTTCTTCTTCGAGATATTTCAGTTGATTTCAATATAAATAACACTTCTCCTACATAATGTTGGATTTTTAATGTAGCATGTTGAATTAATTTTCTCCAGTGCAGGCATAGTGAAGATGTCAGGAATCAAATCCAGAATTTCTTCAATGTTGTGATTCTTGGCTGATATGTTTTTCCATCTTTAGTTTGATTCTGCAGATATCTGGGGAGAATTCTTTCAACTAAATGATTAATGAAAGTACATTTCCTGTTCCAGTTTTCTGAAATTCTGATCATATTTACAAGGAAGTGTTATTGTTGCAAGTGATAAGAAAAAATTACAGATAGGTTTGTGTCTAGAGAGTGTGAATCTGATGAAAATAAAACATCTAATCTTGGTCCTCTTTTCTTCTCAGCCCCCAGATCCACTTTAAGTGCAGACAACGGTGAGTTCATGGTTCTTTGGAGCATTTTGTTTATCCTGAGCGAGTTGTCTCCCCATCTTCTTCATCTCCTTGTTTCTGCTGTGACAGAAGCAGCAGAGTTTTGAGTGGGAGATTATCAACTTGCTGCCACACAAGCACAGCTTAGTCTTGAGAGTTACAGGTGGGAGGATGAATGGAGCTTCATCTCAGGTTTATTTTTATCAACTTTTTAAGGAAAGGAAACTGATTCAAAATTTCACTGAGTTGAAACCTCCCTGCCATCTGTTTTGAAACATCCCAGCATGTACAACATTAGAGTGGATGTTCACCAGGAAGCACCGTGTCACAGTTCTGTGAGTTCACTAGTTCATGGGGGAACAAATGGATCACAAGGTGGAGCGGCATCTGGAGAGGCTCATAATAATTGTCTTGCAAGCAGGAGAATCTCCTGTCCCTCTTTGACTCCCTTAGGAAAAATAAACGCAAGAATTATGTGTTATGAATGGAATTTATGGCGTCTGAATGGGGATGGAAAATGTAATTAAAGATAATTTGTTTTCTAAGCAAATTTTAATGTCAGAGTAGATTGAGTTTGATCAAGGAATTCTTTTACAGAAACCTGGGACACTTCAGGTGACAAAGCATTTAATAAGTTTTTAAAATGGAATTACATTAAATAGATCCAAACTACATAGAATAAGCTTTTAAAAAGATTGGAGAAGAAAACTAGGACAAAAGAAGAGATTATTATGATTTCATTTGGTCTAAATAAGGGAAACAATGTTTGAGAAGAATGAGTGGGATAAAAATGAGGAAGACTTATGGACTAAAAAAATGAGGACACAAATGATTGGGATAAAAATGAGTTAAAAAGAAGGACGAGGAGGATGAATACAATGAAACATTGGTCATTAAGAAAGTGAGCATGAATTGAATGAAACGGTAATAATGAAGGTGAAAAAATACTTAAAGGGGATGAGGAAGGTGAGGAGGATGAAAAAAGAATTATGAAGATTGATGATGAAAGTAAATGTCATCAAAAGAAATGACATGAAGAGAAATCAATGTGTCTAGATGAGAAGATGTTTCAGGGTGAGGGAAGTTGAATGAGTCGAGACATTTCACCTGGTCTAAGTTAACACATTAATTTATGTTTTTTTTCCTTATTTGGAAAATAAGACCCCTGAATTCCCAAACCATTGAACAGATCTAATTGGATGACCAAGGCGAGTTGTTTCAAAGCTTTTATTGGTGGCAGAACTCACATTGTTTAGGTCGACTCTAAACACCTGTCAGTATTCTGCTGCATCATGCCTTTAGCTCTCTGGCTTCGCTGTGAAATCCAATTCCTCTGAACATGAAAATGAACAAGGGAGAAAAGATAGACTGAGTGAGGAATGGGTGGGTGAGGGGAGTTAATTTCAGGGGAGGAGTCAATGTTGAAGACTTGGAAAAAGAATGAAAGAAATGATAAGGAAGGGAAGAGGGGAAAGCAGTTAATGTGAGACTCTACTGCCCTCTGTTGGCACTGATGCAGCAGCACAGGCAGCAAATCCATCACCAACCTCAAAGATGCTGCAACTGTGAGGAGTATTTAATGTTTAAAAATAATAATGTAGAACCAGCAAAATAAAAAGAAATCCATGCAATTTGTATATTTTGATCATGTCCTATATGGCCATGATGATCGTTGTGCCAACTGTAGACTCAAATGTTTCAGAGGGATTTTTTACTGAATGCTTTAGGAATGAAGCTGCAGTTTACACTGTGTGATTTAAGAAAAGCTGCTGCTTTGATTCTTCACTCCAAATAGTAGGAATTGTTTCACCATCAGGACATTCTTAGAGACTGTGGTACAAAGACGGATTAGAAGACCTTTTCTAATCTTTCAGCAACATGTCCGCAGGCTCTGTTGAGCTGCTGAGAGCTGCTTGGATTCCTGTGCTTCTGAGCTGCTACCATTCACTGTCTGCATATAAGCTAGTCAAATGCATAGCAGTGGTAAATGATGGTGGCTTATTGTTGCATGGAACATGTATCTGTATTTGGAAGCAGGTAATATCTTCAACAAGATTTGATTCAACTTAAAAGTTTTGTTATATGAATTAAAACGATTTAATAGTTGGCCGTCTTGCTCCTCTGAAACAGAACAAAAAGCCCTGAGGTCTGGAGTGTGTTAATACTGCGTTTTTGTTGGTTGATTGTGGTTTTCTGTTTGTTTTTTTCCAGAGTCGTACACTGCCAAATCTGCCTCGTTGCCAGGCTACGGCAGGAATGGACTGAACCGGGTACGGCGTCGTGGTTTCTGGAGCTGCTTTCATTACAGTTTGTTTCCTCTGAGAATCTTTGAGAATTATTGAGTTTACCAAGAGTTTCCCCTGGTAAAACAGTAACTTATGGAGCCTTAATAATTCTATAAATACAATGTATTTGATTTAATTGCTTTTCTTTGAAGGAACACCAAATTTGTAATGATTAATTCGTAAACGGCTCATTTAATTTTTGCTGTTACTATAATGTTTCTGTTTTTGCTGAGACTTCATAGTCTAATCAAAAACCTTTTTACTTTTGCCCTCAAGTTGTGATTTGAGTATGTCCATTTTTTATTTCTTAACATTGATTCACATAGTGGATGTATATCTACATGTCACCTGAAGAAAATTAGTTAATAAATAAAAGGAAAGTCCAAAATTTTACATTTTGCTTCACAAAGGCATGGTTGGTATGAGAAATCTCATACATGAGTGCAGTCCTCATGCTCTACTTTGCTGCTTAATCTATTAATGTAGCACAATATAAATAAATAAAAAAACAAAAACAAGCTTTTCAACAGCATGACAGCAAAAAAAGCGTTACAACAAAAATAATTAGCCAAGTGCAGAATTTCTTTCTTTTTGTGCTCAAGTTTGCAAGTGAATGAAATGAAGAGGCAAAATGATCAGCTCTGACTCAGGCAGGTTATAAGAAAACAAAAAAAGACATTGATAAAAAAAAAAAAAAAAAAAAAAAAAAAACTTGGCTAAGTCCTTCATTGCCTGCTGAAGCTGAAACTCATTTGTAATAGTTTACTTTCCAAGACCAAGGGAGACAAGAAATGTTATATTATCATGATGAAATTTTGGAAGCAACAATAAGCAGATTTCATGGGTTTCTGCTCAATGATCCTAGTTTTAACTCCTTTGTACCGTCCAATCTTCTTTTGCTCTTCTTCCACAGCCTGGAAGTGCAGACACAGATTATTACCAGTACGACAGCAGTAATGCAGTTAACTGGCAGATAAGAGGTAAGCCTGTTAAGCCCAAAGCCTCCTGATGCATATTTTGCTCTGAGTGTTAGTATCTGGGGTTCTCATTTACCATTATCCCCTTTTCTTCTTGTTGTCTTTCAGAATACAAGGTAAAATACAGCAGCCACTGCCAGAAACCTGCTGGAGTGTCCAGAGGGAAAAGTGTGGATCAGGCTATAATGGATGAGAAAGATGTTCAGCTCGTTAATATTGACTGGTCAATGTGTCTCACTCAGAACTGCCCCCCTTTAGTGAAAGGTCTTATTCTGAGGGTCTGGATCACTCTTTAATCAAATGCAAAGAAACATTAACAGAAGGAAATAATATGCAAAAATAAAAAGGTCATTGAAAAAAAACATTATTTTCAGTTTAGAATTGTAATCTTGTTTTGAACATCACTTTTTGTCATTCATCTGTCAGATAATGAGTCAGAACCTCATTGAAATGTCAGATATTTTATATAGTCACATTTTTAATAAACAACTCATTTATAAATATTAATATGAAAAATCTTAATTGATCAAAAACAGAAAAGAACTTAGGTTTTTTTTTGTTATAATTGTTAGATCTACCCATATGAAGCTTTGATGGTGTCAGTAAGAGGGCAGCAACGTCTTCCCAGCGACGTGGATAGAGCCCGTCTGGAGGTACATGGCTTCTGATTTCATTTTCTATTTAAATATTTTCTTTTGCTGAGAAAATTGGGATTTTACAGCTTAGCAGATACATGAAACTAATTAATTAATATCCACATAGAAGCTAATTTGTTTCATTTTACTAAAACAAACGCTACAATTTCCACTGAAGCAGTGCTTTTACCAGTGTATTTATCAAAATAACAATGAACGTGCCAACATTAACATATGTTAATATATGCATTGCCCCTCACCTGATGGTGTATGACAAAGGGAAACACAGTTTAAGAAACAACCTGCAAGATGTGGCTGCCTATTGCATCAAATATGGACTAAAATGCACTAAACCTATATGAGCTTTGCAAAAACTTAAAGGTACAGGTAAACTACTCATCTCAATGAAAAGAATCCAGAACCAAACAACTTTCTGGCTGATTACCAATATTAATTTTAGTCAGTTCCAATTTGGTTTTGTAAATTATACCAGAACACTTAGATTTTTTTAGAACCTTTCCTTTTTTGCCTGCAGCTTCATGATTATTTTTATTCCTCTCATCTTTCTTTGCACAGCGTCACCTTTCACCAGAAGAGTTTTATCGAGTCTTTGGCATGTCCATGTCTGCCTTTGATCGCCTGGCTCAGTGGAAAAAGAATGAACTGAAGAAACAGGTCCGACTCTTTTAGGAAAAGTCACAAAACCCAGTCGATTCTGCTGCAGTCCAGGTGGAACATCAACAGTGCTCTGAATGCTGCTTCCAAAAAGATTTTACCTAGGACTGTATGCCGAGCAGAAAGCATTGGGTCTGACAAATTGATATGCACTAAGGCTTATTTAGCAATAACTGTAAGGGCAGAAATGGCTAAATTGGATGATGGAAGCCTTACAGAAGAAATGTGATAATGCTTCAACAGACAGGAAATAAAATGAGTGTGATGCTACTTCCCCGCCTTGTACCAACAGATGGCAGTGTGTCCCAGTCTTAGTCGGAGGTGCTGCCATGCAGAAAGATTCATGTTAAAATGTGATCCTGGTTTTGAAAGTCAGCAGATCAGAAGGATAAAAGACCCAACTTTACCCAGAAACTGCCCTCAAAGACAAGCAAACGTCATAACAAAATAAACTCTGTGAGAATCTAAGTATTAAAGTTACTAAATATTATGGTTTATATAAATTACAACTACTGGAAACCAAAACTTCTCTAATGTTTTTGTATTGTGTAATTGTGTATTTAATTTCTATTTGAGATTATCTGAAGCCATATCAACATTAGGACTTTTGTACTATTTACTGATATGTGGTTTGGAAAAAAATAATTACATGTGACTGAGCTGTATTGTGGCTTTGAGTGTTCAGAACTTTAAAGTAAGTTTAGGTAAAAAATGTAGGTTTATTGCCTGAAATGTTGCTGGGTTTTATTTAAAGAAAGCTGATTTAGTCTCTCACAAATCATAAATCAGGCTGATTTATGATTCAGCCTGAATCATAAATCAGGCTGAGTGAAAATGAATGTGTGTGCGCGGTAACATGATATTTTAATGAAGGATATTTAGTGTAGAGAATTCTGATAAAAATGGAAATGAGAAAAGAGATGTGGCAAAATCTGTAAACAAATGCGTGTGTATGTATTTGGGTTCACAGATTGCAACAATTCATCACTTTTACAATATTATCGCACTCAAACTTTTGTATTGGTTAGAGGTATTTCTTATTTATCATCTACAATTCTCTGTCTTTCAGTACAGCTTCTAAATAATTATTTTGATCTATAATGATCCATCTATCCATTTTTTATTGAATACACTCGATGTGCTTGTCCCTGGAGGGATTGCGAGAAGTGCTGGTGCCTGTCTCCAGTGATTTATAATGATGCATTTATTTATTTTTCATCTATTTTAAATGCAAACATACATGCACTGCCCTAATTTGCACCGCTAATAATATATTAGAAAAAGAGACAAAGAAAAGAATATACTCTACATGGCAGAAACATACAGTGAGTGATTTTTTTTTTCATTTTTAAACTTAACTTGAATATATGTATTGACTGAGGAAAAAAATCTGTCTTTATCTTTTTTATCTATTTGTTTATATGTTTTTTACAACACTAATTGTCATAATTATTGGCATCCTCAATAACTGTTTTACAACTGTTCATTTATCATTGTAGAAGTTTTTTATTTGCTTTTCATCTCAGCCAGAGAGGAGGATTGTTAGTGAAACAAAAAACATCCAAAGCTCTTCATTAAACACCTACAGCAAATTTCTCATTGTGATTATGCTGCTGCAGTAAATCATGATTTCACCTTAACAGCTTTCACACATTTTTTTTACCAGAGGCTTTTTGTAAGTTTACAAAAAGTATTCTGTGGTAGTTTCATTTTTTATCTTTATATTCTGGAATCCTTTTTTTTTCATCATTTTGTGAGAAACATTTCTTAAGCTGAAAGCCATAATCATCACAATGAACAGAAATAAAAACATGAAAACACACTGTGTGTAATGAATTTTATTTTTTGAATAAACTTGAAAATGTTCATTTGGGGGATATTCCAAATTACTGAGACCCACCTAAGAAACAATAAAAAATTACTTGAGTGCTGCTGCTGAAATAATGTTTTAATATTGCACATTTTAATTGTGTCCCTGGAGATATACGACCTAATATCGTGGCTAAATTCTCTCATTATTCTCCCATCTAAAAGTTGCAGTAACTAAATGATTGAGTACTTAAGTAATCAGCTCTGCTCTAATGGGTTCTTACACTTTAGATCATTTATGTCCAAAGTAAATTTTTTGAGGGAATTTTTCTAGAAGTTTACATACACAGATATCAATAGGCCCTAATTACAGTGATGGTTTATTTCACTTTACAAAATAGATGAGGAAAGCACATCTTAAGACATTAGTCTTAAAGTCAGAGCTCGGACACAAGTGAGCCCTATAAAAAAAAAGTATAAAGGTCAGTTAGTTGCAAAATGGTTCGTAAACTATTTTGCAACTATTACAAAGCACTGATATCAGTCCAATAGAAAATTCAGGGAAAGATTGGAAGAAAACCCAAAATATCTTTTCCCAACTTGTATAGCAAGGAAATGTATGGAAATGTCTAAATTTACAGGAGAGTAAAAAACCTGACCTTTAGCAAAAAATGTTTGCTTTTTCAGAATCCTAGCTGATTCAAACACAGAAGTTTAGTTTGACTTATTGACAGGCTGTGAGAAAATTTTGCAAAAAGGTCAGATGTGTGTTTCTAAGTGCCAACATCTGGTTTCAACCGCATAAAATGTGTCCCAGTGCAGAATTATACCATATCAAAGGGAATTTGTAAAATTTATATAACTGCTGACAGCTGCTGAGTCCTGGAAGTTGTATTCCAATAATTCTTGCTTGTTTTTATTTTGCACAAAAATGTTAATTATCACACAGTATGTGAGTGAAGCAAAAACCTCTGAATTAATTAAAAGGCAATGGTTTAACTTAAGCGGTAACTGAATGTGGGTTGGGAGCCCAGGCTGCTACATAGAGATAATTATCTAATCATTTGGCGGGTTTCAGGGATTACATCTCCCCAAATAGGACCAGTGTGGCAGAAATGTGACTCTCTTCCTGCCTGCCTGCCTGCGCAGGCGCTAGGACCCAGCGGAGTCCTGAATGATGAACAAGCATCCACTGGAGTCACTGTAAACCATAGCGGTCACTCTGACTCACAGAGAGCCGCTGTTTCACTGGAAAAACACGTCTCACATGTTTGAGACACTTTCAAATAAAATGTCAGAAGGATCATAACTGGGAATCAGCTTGGAGATATAAGCGTTTTTCAAGCGATATGGACTCCAAACGGCAGAGTGGTGAGTAGCAGCAACTCTTTATCCCAACATGAACTGGAGGAATCAGAACTTTCTTTTTTTAGCCGCAAACAATGATGAGTCATTTTTAACAAATAATAATAATTTAAGAAATACTCAGAACTGGGGAAGTACTTACTAAATATGCGGCAATAGACGGGTGAATCACGTGTGGTTTGTGAGTGATAAAACAAATAATTTAAAGTGAAGTAGTTCTTAACAAAGGAGAATGGACATGCGCATAGTTTTCCAAATGCAGCAACTCGTGCCCGGCTCATGATGTTGTAGTAGGTAAGAGTGACGTCATGCAGCCACGCGCCGGTTAGTGAAAGTGTGTGTGTGTGTGTGTGTGTGTGTGTGTGTATACGGAGGAGGTATCCCCAGGTAGAGTGACGCAGGCTGATGCCAACAGAGGACTGCCCTGTTGGAAAGTGCGCCGCTGGAGGAGAAGCGGCCGCTGAATGGCTGCTCTGTCCGAACAGGGATCTGGACAGGAAGCTGCAAGCAGATGTCATCTAAGTTTTAAAGATAAGGACAAGAGTAGCTATTTAAAGTGAATCAATGAGAAATTCTTTATAGAAAGCAATGAAATAAAGTCTCCACACAGTGGTATTCTTGCTAGCCAAATATGTTAATAGGATTATGTCTTATTGAGAATTAAGATTCCAAACATTTTGGTATTTAAAACAGAAGTTGCAAAGTTGTTACTAGTGTAACAGTTCTGTGCTGCTGTATTAAATCATATATTGTTATTTTATACAAACCTAGACTGAGAAGGGTGTTGGCCCTTGATGTAAACCTACTTTATGTCCTTTTGCTCCTAAGACTCTGTGTATGCACAGAATTTACAAGAGATTAACTTTTCAGGTTCATCTCTTATATGTAAATGTTTGTGTGTGTGTGTACTTTGCAAAACATTCCTTATCAAGGAAGTTGTCTTTATCCATCCAAAAAAAACCTTTAAATCTTGCAGTAACTATGACAGGTCTCTATTAGGCAATAGAGAATCGGGCTGCACACAGCATTCACTGAAAACTTGTTATTTTCAAGATATTTGTTTTCAAATTGTGCAAATCTACATAAAAATCTTAACAGGTTAAAAACAAAACACAAAAGTGAACTTTATAGACAAGGCAGTGTATAAATGTGAAGTGGAACTGAAATGATTGATTTTTACGATAAACAATCTGAAAAAGGTGAAATGTGTATGTAATCAATGTCAATTGTCTGGGAGGTGAAGTAGCTTAACTGTGCAACACAAAAAGGTATCCACAATATGATGCTGCCACAACCATGCTTCACAATGGGGATGGCGTGTTCATGCTGACGTGCAGTGCTAGTTAAGTTATAAAGTTAGATTTAGATGTGCATAATTTCCTTTAATTTGTTATTTGCTGGTTTGTGTTTGTCTTTTACACAAAATCCTTTTAAATACCCAAAATATTGTAGTTTTAATGTGATTATATGTGTTAAGGCTTAAAGAAGATGATTCCTTTTGCAAGTCAATGGACCATTAAACTGTAATCTAATCGAGTGTAAATGTTTTAAAAATTTGCTGTACAACAGCAGAACAAACACAAAATAATTATTTTCAGTCTAAACATACAAGGATTACTTACAATACAAAATAATAATCTTAATAATATCCTGTTATAAACATATTACAGAGTCATTGGAGTTATGTAATTTCCTCAATTGTAATTTTAAACAGGTCATTTTAATGCAGATGTAAGATTTTAAATTATTATATTTCATAATCAGATTCAAAGCATGCATAAAAACTGAACAATCTGAACACAATCGAAAGAGAATCACTGAATAAATGATGGAATGTAGAAAGCACAAAACTTCCACAACAATGTAAATATTGAAATACTGATTGTTTGTTTCAATGCTGGAATTTCCATTGTCCTATTCGCTTTCTATTTCCAGCATTTTCATTTGGCTTTTGTGTCACTTTGCTTGATGTTTGACGGGCAGGACATTATTCTGGGTGCTTCTGTTTGGAACTTGTTATTGCAGAGAAAATACCATCTGCAGCTATTCTCAACAGAGAAAAGCTTATGAATGAAAAGTGGAATTGAATGAAAGCATGCAGATATTGCAACATTTTTCAAGGAAAGTTACAAAAAGTGCATAGAGAAATCAAAATATTGACTATTTATTAGTTAAAAACATAGCTCAGTGTCAGCGGGTGTTTAAAATTTGGTCTTTGTCATACATCTGTATTTTTCGGGACCCTTTCACCTTTTATTATCTTCAGAGTGTGATAAGATCCTAAAAGAATGTGAAAAAGTGAATTCTTCCACTGTTTTCCCACAGCTGTTTCTCTTTACAGATCTTGCCAGTGTGATTATGGGCTTTTTAAAGTGTCTGTCTAAATGCTAACCCTTAGGCGAACAGTCACAACATGGACTGTTGTCATGAAAATATGAAAAACGGGGCACTAAATTATTGAAACAGACTTTTGTCTCTTGAGGGAGCTGCTGAGCCTTGACCTCTGACCTCCCTCTGAAGAGGATGGGTGCCAGGGGAAGAGACAAAAATCAGATTGGTGGATCGGAGTTAAAAGGGAAAGATTTAAGAGAGGGTGTCATGGGGGAAACAGGCGTGATGGAGAAAGTTTTAAATCTTGGAAGAGCTTCTTGAAGCTTTTGACGAGGCAAGCAGGAACAGGTTGTTTGTTGACCAAAGCCTCGTCGGCCTTTGATATTTCTCTTTACACAAAACATTTCTTTAAATCCTAATCCTCATATCTCCTATAAGCAGCCAAATATTTCATTTCAAATCATTTAATGGTTGTATTTTTCTCTGAAGGAAAGTTCTAACAAGGAGGGAGTGTTTTGATTTGAGAAGAAAAGTTTCAGATCTCACCCTTGGATGTGAGTTGATTGATGGGTTGGATCTGTCATGAACGGGAGTAAAAGCCTAAAGTTAGGAGGACAGAGTGTGTATTTTCTCTGTGGTGAGATAAACAGCAGCAGTAGCTATTTTGTTCTCAGCTATAACCAAACACATTAAATCAGTTCAAATGATAGTCGCATGGCCCAGATCTCATGACCGGCCTCCGTCAGGAAGACTTTCTGGAAACACACACAGATCGGTTTTAACTTGCTGTGACTGATTGTCATGTAGTGTGTTTCGCAAACTGATTCGCTCTGCACTTTCCTTTTATTTGGTCATGTTAGAACCATAAATATCATTAGCTTTAAGCTTTTAACTGATTGACCAACACAAAATACAATGAAAAAGAACAATGAATATTTTCAAATGAAAATCTTAAGTGTTTAAATTCGCATTCAGTCCTAGAAAAGTAATATTCTCTGAAATTACCTTTTACTTCAGTTAAATCTGTGGGTCATTTTGTTAAGTTTCTGCCAGTTTTATACAAATTTTATAAGATGTATCTAAAAACAAATCTCAGACTTGTGTTTAGATCCAGTTGTCCTCCTTTGAGCAGTCACTAGATTCCCAATACGACTCAAGAAAAGCCTCTCAGCTGGTTTGCGGTTTGGCGAAACTCTTCATTTTCAGATCAGTAATCTTCTGTCAAATACTCCAAGCTTCATATTTTGTTTTATAACCTAACTCTTCTGTGGACATATCCATAACTTAATTTTTAATCATAAACAGCATCTTCATGCATGATGCTGTTTGTGCTGTTAATGTTCTCTAACCAACCTATGAGATTCACAGAACAAGTGGATTAGGTTAAATTACACATGCAATGGTTGGACTTCAAGAGGAAGCTGATTGGAGTAGATTTTATGTGGCGGTGTCAGAGAGCTGGTTTTAGTGCACATCACACCTTTTTGAATTTTTACTTGTAGAAGATTAAAAAATTCCTCCTTTCACCTTCACATCACAATTGTGCAATGGTTTTTTTGTGTGCCTCATAAATTCCCCGCAAAATATTTTTATTTAAGGTCGTAACATGATAAAATGCGAAAAATTTCAAGGGGTGTGAACTCTTTAGCACAGCACTATAAAGGACAGATTAATGGGGTGTGTGTGCTTCCTCATAGTGTAATAATTGAGCAGCTAGTAACAAAAAAGGACTTGAATAGAAAACGTAAGGCATATGTGTGTTTGTGTGGATGTGTGTGTCTGAGGAATGGGGGGCAACAAAGATCCCTCTGTGGGTGAGAGCATCCACAAGCCTGCAGAACAGCTGATTCTCAGCCTCTAAACCCTTCGTTCCCCTGAGAGAACTGGCCTTGACTACATGGAGTCAGATTCTGACAAACAAAACATAGACCAGAGACTCCGCCATCAGTTACAGCTGGTTTGTTTACCCGTTGTTGACTGATAACACTGAGTGATTTTAATTGGTGCTGGCCACAGCAATGAATGGAGACCAGAAGGATAAGGTGACTTTTTCTTGTTTGTTAAAACTGTCACCATGTGGTGATAGTATGATATTAGACAGATAATCTGTGAAAAGATTGATCTCCTCCACCCCTGTCACATATAGTAATATGTGGTTTAACTGTATAACTCCTTGACAAACCAACCAATCAGAGCCAACAGGAGGGAAAACTTGCCGTTCCACAAAAACCATTTATCTGTCATCACTGGTGACCATGCTAACTAGACTTAGCATTAGTGGCAGACTATGTTGTGGTAAACCAGCTGTAGTACAGTAGATAACAAGGGGAAGGAGTGAGCATAAGGGTGATTGACAGCGCTAAGACCCTCCTCCTGGCTCTGATTGGTTGTTTGTGACTGCAGTTGGTATTGGGAGCACTGGGAGAAAAGACAGGAGTTTGATTTTTTTTCATATATTACCTCTTATACTGTCATGACATAATTACCATTTTAACAAATATGTAAAAATTATATTTTTTATAAAGTATAATACTGCATCTTTAAGCTAGAAGAATGACACCAAATGTTTACATACAAAGGCATGTAACATTTTTTCTTACTGTCTGAATTTAAATCAGAGTAAACTTCTTCTGTTTTACCATTCAGCATGGAAGATTTCGTTACTCTAACAGCGACATAATGCAAATTCACACAGGGACAAAGACATATCCTGTGGTCTGATTACACTAAAATTAAAATGTTTGGCCATAATAATTGTTATATTTCCAGGGAAAATTGCAGAATCTATACCTTGTACATTAGAGTATTGCAAAATTACTTATATCCACATTACTGATGGATATAAGGTTTGATGAAAACATTATCTTAGTATTTCAATTTATCTATTCCCTTCAAAATAAAATTCTGCAAAGTTAGGGTTGCATAAAAAAGTACAATGTTGTTGTATGTTGTCCTCCAAGCAGCAGGCATCATTATCATTTTTAAAGGATATTTTCAAGGTCAGCTTTAGTTTAAATTGTTTTTTGGAAAATACTACTAAATTCAGATCTGTCAGTTTTGCTTGAAAAGTTCTTAAGTTCATAAGGAAAAAGCTGAGAGAGACCAAAAACAATAGAAGACGTTGAACCAGAAACAGCAGGATGGAGCAAAATGGAAAAGAGCAAAGTGAGACGTAAAGAAAAAGGAGCTGGGGAGAGTTTATTGGAGGATCGTGGAGAGATTGGAAATCAGGAAGGAACGGAGAGACACTTCTGTCGACAACTAAGACAGGAAACCACAGCTGCGCACACGCACACACACAACCAAACAGCTGCTGGAGATATATCCTTTAACCCTGAATGCCCGGGAATCGAGACGGCGCAGCTGTGTTGCACCACACCCCTGTTACACTGTGTGTGTGTGTGTGTGTGTGTGTGTGTGTGTGTGTGTGTGTGTGTGTGTGTGTGTGTGTGTGTGTGTGTGTGTGTGTGTGTGTGTGTGAGACTGTTTGTTCCTGTTATGTTTTTTGTTACAGTCTCCGACTCTGACAATGTAATTGTGCGCTCTGGTCTTGCGGAGCTCTGCGGTGATCTAATTCTGGCCCTTGCGGAGACAATAGAGTATTGTTGGAGTTGGGGGAGTGGGAGAGGGTTTGGGGGAGAGTGAGGGCTTTTTTCTCACTCTATGGGAAAATGAAACAAGAATATTTTCAACTCAGATGAGCCTCACTTTTGCAACTGCTTTCTATCAAAGAATGGCTATATTTTCATTTTATTTCAATTTTAGCTTCGACATATTTTCAGACCGAAGTGGCAAACTTTCTAGTTTCTCACTGTACATGTAACAAATTATTATTACTGTAAAATGTGTTAAAGTTCTTAAGTGTTGAAACAAAATGAACCAAAGTTGATATTTGAGTTTCACAACAATGAATCTGAAAATCTGAAAATTACTCTCACAATTAAACTTGCGTTGCAACTAAAGCAAAGCGAGATCTGTTATTCACAAATAGAGAAAAGCAAAGTGAAGAGACTGAAAATGACTTAAAAAAAACCCCCCAAAAACCTTAACAGCTAAAATGATGCTGCACCTTAATATCTGCTTAATACGAACAAAGTATCTGAGAAAAAGAGCATCATACCTGCAATCAGACATGTTGGTAGTGTGATGTTGTGTTACTATTTTGTTTTTTGGGAACTCGAGGCGATGCCATAATTGATGGAACCATTAATTCTGCATCAGAAATCCCTGAAGGAGGAGCCCACGTAGTTTATATGACAGTGATTCAAAGTACACAGCAACTTCTGGATTTCCAAAAAAATTAGGTTTCAGAGTGCCCTAGTCAAAGTTTGGACTTTAATCTAGATGACCTTGCAAAGGCTAACTATGTATGAAAACCCTCTAATGCAGCTGAATAAAACAATTCTGCAAAGAAAAGTTAAACAAACTTCCTCCACAGTGAAGACTGATCAGAAGTAAGAAGCAAGAGTCAGGCTTCAGAGAGTCAGAGAAGAAAAGAAAAGAGAAGAGGCTGCTTACTTTTATAAAAATATGTGTCAAATGAGTGATGTGCCACTAAAAAGGAGACATTTTATAACCAAAGAACAATCTCAGTTAAACTTTATGCATGTTTGCTCATTGTTAAAAGTTAGTAAAAATAAGACGTTGAGCTCGGATCACAATTACTTCATTCCAATGTTTATAGTTTACAGATCTAAAGACCATTGTAGATATCTTTGAATTTTTTCCTTTTCTCTGGCTCTATTTCCTTCAGGGAAGGAAGCCTGCTGACCTCCCCACCTACCTTCTTTTCTCTCCCAAACCTCTTCCCTCCTCTCCTCTCTTTGCCGTCTCTGAACAGGCAGGATGTGTGAGTGTGTGTCAGGATATTTGGAACAATGTCAAGGTCAACAGATTGCACAAACACATTCACACACACGCAGACTCACACAGGATGTTGGAGCTGAACATAAAAACTGCTCTTTTTTTAGAGAAAGCTCTAAATACTCCAAGCTGTCTGTTAGTGTGTGATATGTAAGGATGTTTCATATCTCATCCCAGTCAGCTGTTGCAGCAGCCGCTCCTGAGTTTGTGCCCTTTGGTCTGTGCCAGTTTCTATGATTTGCTATATATCCATGTGTTAAGTTGGTATTTAATGCACTTGCTGCTACATATTTCATCAATGTCAGGAGCCTGGCATACTGGTTTGTTGCAAGCTTCAACTGATTTGAACAAACAATACAGTAAAAAATGTTTTTGCTGGTTTCCAGTGGTGATGGAGCGCCTGGTGAACGAACTCAACTCTCTGCTGAAGATGTTGGACCATGAGACGGTTAGTCCAGATACTGCCAACAAGATGGCGTCCGTACGCAACATCCTGGACTCTCTTCAGCTGACAGGTACTCAGTAAAACTTTGACGTACTTCATATAATATTAACGTACAACTATACAGTAGGTGCATCTTTTAAATATGTATAAATTGCATTCAGTTAATGCTTAATGCATATCTCAGACTGAAAATTTGATCAAATCCACCATTAAGCTTGGTTATATTTATTCAGTGGGGAAAACAATCCATTGTTCTTTGAGGAATTCATGTTACATTGAAATATGTGCCGCACAGTTATTATATTCTATATAGTTTACTTTCTGCCAATAGTTTTTCCTGTTAGATTGAAACATACAAAGAGAGATATATTTGATAATGGAGAAATTAGTAAGAGAGATACTCTTCCATTTGCACAAGCTCTCTATGATCTACAGTCCAAGGTCCTGTCTTTTATAAAAAACTGATCATGAGTCTTGTGAACCAGTTTCTGGTTATTTTGACTTTAAGAGTCCCAATGATGAGCCGTTATTCATTTATTTGCAGAGAAAACGAGATTTTTATTTAGAGTATCCTGATACCTCAAGCAATGCTTATTGCTGTGAAGTGTTGCAAAGTTTCCAGGTCATCTGGATTAGAAACAAGCTTGTGGCATCATAGATTTTTCACTTACTTAACAGCTATGATCTGGTGGTTTTCCACATGTATATCTTTGTTTCATGCCAGAGCCCTAGGGAAAGCTTAGTGCCATAAATGGTAAATGACCCGTACTTGTAAAGCACTTTATAAAGTCAGAGAACTCCAAAGTGTTTCACAATACAGTCAGACACACAGATGTTAGTTTAACCAGCCCTGTATCATACAGACAGAAGTAGAATAGTATTTAACCAAACACTGCTTTAAACTTCTCCGCAGCTTTATGCTTGATCTGTGCTGATCAAGGTCTTTATGGAAATATTTGTTTACTAATGGGCTCTAACAAACAGCTGGATTAATATTGAGCTTAATACACGAATTAGGTGATTTTGGCATTAGATGTTATTTGGGTACCAAATTAAAAGGGAATTCACGCCACATTTCCGATTTTATTTGTAAAAAACCCCAATAAAACTATATTTGATTTTTCCTTCTTTCTCTTTACAATTAGGTTTCACTTAGTGTTAGTTTATCATATAAACTCCAATAAAATTCAATGAAGTTTGTGGATGAAATAGGAAAAAAAACAGGAAAAGTTTAACAGGTAGCAATAGTTTTGCAAGACATTGTCAAATCTTTCAGTTTATGGAGATTGGGCTTAAAGGATTTAATAGGACAGTGCAGATTGTGGATATTGACTACAAACAGTTGTTGAAAACACATTTCCAGCATTGAAACTCCCTGTAGTCTCCAAAGCCAGGACTTGTTTATCTAGAAGAGTGCAGGGAATGAGGGAGGATAAAAGGATTGATGTAAGAGGATAATGAAATGCAGAGTTAAAAGAGGATAATGAGACAAGGTCAAAGGAAGGCGATGAACAAAATATCCTGATGGCAGACAAGTACAATAATAATGGGTCTGCTGGGCCTGTCTGGGTTTTAGTCTTCCACACATATTGTACATCTTATTTTTATTTACTGAGAGCTCCACTGCTCTTCCTTGTAATGATATGTTTCCACATAATTAAATTTTTCTGAAATGCAAAGAGTTTTTTCTTCAGATTCAGTTTTCTGTATCCATTAAATCTGGTGATTATGTTCCTGGAAAAAGCTGAAATAATACTTGCTCATGTTTTGTGTTTTCCACAGTCAATGGCTCAGACGTCTACATGAACGGCACAAGTTTTGTCGAGTCGCTGTTTGAAGATTTTGGTTCGTAAATCTTTGAAACGTCTTTCAATCAGTTTAGTTCGATTTTTAGAAGTCATATTTCATGTTATTGTGTTCCAAAAATGTTTTTAATAATAGCATAACATTTGTTGTTTCTTAAGATTGTGATTTGCACATGCTCAGTGCATCTCCAGTAGAGCAGAAAGAACCCAAAGACAAAGAGGAGAAAACACAGCCTAGTAAATCAGTAAGTTTTTTTGACGCCTTTCTTATTAAACCAGATATTCATCTGAGATTCCAAATGTAATTCTGCTTGAATTTCCCTTGTTTCACCCTCAGACACCCACAGACACGCCACCGCCTTTGCCAGCAACACCACTTCCTGATGACTACTATGAAGAAGCTGTTCCTCTTGATCCTGGATCCTCTCCTCAGTATTTCACCACAAGTATGAACACTCTTACTCATTCAGGCCCATCTGACATAAATTAACATAATCCATCATATCTTTACAAGGGAGGTTAAAGGTGCAGGATTCTAATAACTCTCCCTATAGATTCCAGAAACTCTGTTGAAGATGCTTACTATGAAGATGCTGATAATAACTACCCCACTACCAGGATTAATGGGCCCTCTAAAACATCCAGTGAGTCTGCTCATTCATTCTTTAATCATTCTGGCAGCTATAAAAGCCAATTTCTTTATGACCAAGAATGCTTCATTAAATCTTTTTGGGATTAATCACTTTGTTTATTTTTTCTGCACAGATAATGACTCAGATGCGCTTAGTAGCTCCTACGAGTCTTATGAAGAGGAGGAGGAGGAGGCCAAGGGACGGGACTCCTCTCAGCGGTGGACCGCTGAGGGAAGCTCTGATGAACCGGTCAGGGACTGCCGCATATGTGCCTTCCTGATGCGAAAAAAGCGATTTGGCCAGTGGACAAAGCAGCTAGTAGTTGTTAGAGACAATAAACTCCAGGTAAACAACAATAATGATGTAGGTTCTCAAAGGTTGAAACAAAAGCAGACGCTTTACTATTAGATTTGAATCTAAAACTTAATTAAAATTTTTTTTTTAGTGCTATAAAAGTATAAAGGAGTTGTCACCGAACACGGAGCTCCCCCTGAATCTCTGCAACGTCATCTATGTCCCAAAGGAAGGCCGGAAAAAGAGGCACGAGCTGCGCTTCTCCTTACCTGGAGGTGAAGCTCTGGTCCTGGCCGTCCAGAGTAAAGAGCAGGCCCAGCGGTGGCTCAAGGTACCTTTGCTCTCTGTGTTCGACTGCTTCTGCTTAGACAGATGAGAAAAAGTCAAAGCAAGTAGAAGACGATGATAATGTTATGGGTCCTACACAAGTCTGTGTCCGGAAGTGAATGTTATTTTCTTTTTTAACTGGTCCAGGTGATCCATGATGTTGGCAGCCAGTGTAATAACACAGAAGGACTGAATGGATCAACATCTCCAATAATACAGAGAAAACTGGAACTCGACAAGGTGAGTCGTTTTCCTCAGGTTTCCTATCCTGAGCAAAGCAGGATGATGTATATAGTTCACTCAGTTAACTATATATACTGATGTATTGATTTTCATTCTTGGTTTTTTTTTTCCTCATTGTTTTTATTATTTATTTTATTTTGCACAGATGCTGCAGTCAGACAGGCAAACATCGGACTCAGACAGCGGTCCAGTAGGAGACAGTCAGTCCAACGCTTACGGACCAGGGCGAGACATCACCGACTCACTCAGTACGTCATCACAAATAAAGCCTCCCTGAGTTAGATTCACCATTCAATTCACAACCTCTGTGTGATTTACTTTAATGTCCAATAGATGTTTTTGAGCATCACTTCATCTTGCTTTTACATTACTAGAAAAGTAGCAGAAAAGTAGCAGGAATGCTGCCCTTTTTTCTTATTTTGAAGAAAAAGGGCATGTTTTGAGTGATATTTCAGCACGTTTTTGAAAAACAAAAATACCTTTTATCTTACCCCTCCACAAAGATGTTGTTAGCAATGGAAAAAAAAGCTAAATAAAATGAATTAACCAAATTTTCACACTTTAACTTTCTAATCTCATTAAAATCTACTTCCTTCTGTTTCTGAAATGCGGTCAAGGATAAAGTTCACTATTCACCAGCATACATTAGATGTTTGATGATTAAAGTTGTGCTTCTATTGGGAGTTCATTCACTTTCCTCCAGCAGCACAACCATAAATTAACGACCCAATAATAAACTTGGACATATGAAAACAAACATCATATTTTGTTTTTGTATCATGCCCAACAAAATGAATATAATTTGTCGAGGACCAGCTTCCTTTAACCATCTGTTGATAAATATAGATATTGGACGCCATTCACTGTGACTTTATTGGCTGCTTTCTCCCGATATTGTCAAATACGTCACATTTGTGGCACATACTAAAATGTTTTTCCTTTAAATTAATATAAAACTGAGTGACATATTTTAGAAGCAATACCAATATTTATTGAAATTCAGCAGTTAAATAGATACATTAGCATAGTTTTTGTGTTATTCTACCCTTTTTGTAACACAGAGAAACATAAGACAAATAACTATGCACACACACTCATATCTTTGTCCTTCTCTTTGTCCTTCTTCTGCTGCTGATGTCCAGCTTGCTCCTTCGTTTTCTTCTGTACTTGTGTGGCACTTTAACTAGTCCAGAGGAATTCAAAGCACTTTACATGACATTCAGTCATTTACCCCTACATTCACACATTCACACGCTCCAAGGCAACAGTGCTCGGCACACAAGATAATAAATTATAATATATCTGTCAAAAGGACCCTAATTAAGTTTTCTATTGCTTTTATGCTCGAGTCGCATGATTGCAAATAGTGAGAAAACAAGGTTACTTGCTTTCTTTGGTAATGTATTTTCTCCTGCACCAGAATCTCTGATGATTTGTTGGATTTTAAGTGGTTGGAGGGCAGCAGAGAGAGGAGCTTGCAGCGAGTCGCCTTCATTCAAGAACGTCCTCTGAATATATTTAACAAAAGTGTCATTGAGGGTTTAATTAAACAATTTATTTCTAAAAGAAATAAAAAAGTAGTGTAAGTCTCATAGCGGTCTGTATTGCTAATAAAAACCTTTCAATATTACAATTTAATTAATACCTTTTAGCATTAATATTTTAGTTGCATGTCAAAGGCTTAACTTCTATGCTGTAGGAAGTAAAACTTCTTACTTTCTAGGAGTGGGGCAATCAAGTACCTAAAAAGTTATAAGAAAACACACATATGCTTTCAAGGGACTGATCAAAAGCAAAATAAATATTTTTGTTTTTCTCTCCTCTAAATTCGGAAGGAAACACCCAGGAAATACACGCTGGATAAGTCAAACAAAGTCATGTTGTTTCAGTGTTGTTTACTGATTGAGCAACGCTGAGCCTGAAGAGACACGAGACAGAGAAAGGGAGAGACAGGAAACGAGGCACGAGCAGATATGACATCCTTCCTGTTCTTTTCCTCTAATTGTCTCTCACTGACATCATAGGAAGCTGGATGAACAGACTGCTGCTGCACCTGGTCCATTCACTTGCAAACACACTGGAAATATCTCAGTCCATCAGACATATTCCCAAAATGCTCGATTTACACCAAACTGTCCGATTAGCTTGATTATTCTTATCAACATTTTATTGTTATCTCTTTGTATTTTTGATGCAGAAAGTTTTTAGTCATTTTAATATAAACTAATGATAGTTGATGATCATTGAGTGACATGTTTGTTTTCAGACAGAGCGAAGCGGGGCGCGTTCTCGGAGCTGACGGGGTCGATGAGCCGAGCAGCAGGAAAGAAAATCAATCGGATCATCACTTTCTCCAAGAAGAAGCCTCCGTTACCAGGAGACCCTCCCTCATCTTCTGGGCACCATGACAACCCCCGCTGTGGTGAGGACACAATCTCAACATGCAGATGATCGCCTGGTCAATTCTCATTTACTGACGATTTGACCTTACATTTATATTTGTACATTTCTTTTTAATTCAAAGGGGATTCAGAAATGAGAAATTTGATTGACTAAACTGTACTGTAATTGAAAAAAATGCATGAGATAAATTAACCAAAATGTGGATCAGCACTTTCCTCCAATAGTCTCGGGAACAGATAGATATTCTTACAAAGTGCTGAGAATGTTCAGTGTGATGCCATAGATTAATAGGTAGATGTAGCTTATCTGACACAAAGTCTGTTTGCTTTCCCCAACCCCCTCCACAGGTTATCTCAGTGTGTGTCTCAGTGGCTGCTGGAAGGAGCGCTGGTGTGTTCTCCGAGGTGGAAACCTTTTCCTGCAAAAGGATCCCGGGGACCAGCGGCCTCCAGTCATTGTGGTGCCTCTTAAAGGGGCAGAGGTGGTGCCAGGGGGCCTCGGACCCAAACATCCCTTCTCATTTCATATCATGCAAGCGGGCAACGAGCTTGCAGCTTTAGAGGTGAAATGCTTTTATTTGGGATATTGATTTTACTTATCTTGTATGTGATGGAATAGGACTGGATGATATGGCTGATAAACTTATCCTGATGTGAGCATTTCATAACAATCCATATTGATAATTGTCAATGTTGATAATTATTGATTCATTTTTTGTTATAAATATCTGAAATACTGCCAAAATGGTAGTGTGAGCAATTTGTTTTGGTTTCTATTTGGACACACAACAGCGTTTATAAACGCCCTTAAAAAAATTAAAAGACCTCTCAAAATGATCAGTTTCTCTGATTTTACTTTTTACAGATGTTGGTTTGAGTAGAATGAACATTGATCTTTTATTCTATGAACTTCTGACAACATGTCTGAAATTTCAAGCAAAAAGCAGACATGGGAAATGCTCAAAGTTATGAAAAAGATGCAGAGATTTCAGACCTCAAATAATACACAGAAAACAAGTTCATATTCACTTAGAAACAACAATGCTAATATTTTAACTCAGGAAGAGTTCAGAGTTCAGATATCTTGGTAGAAAGTCAGCTGCTCTTTTCTAAGTGTGTTTTTAGCACAATTTTATATGTGACATGTTTAATTTATACACATTTATAATGACATAATTTGTTGTGCTATTTTAGGTGCTCTGTTTATCTTATGTTCAAATAGTTTGACATATTTATGTGTTAGATTCTCGTTAACTCTGGTAACATTAGTTATAAAAGTCTGCTTTCTCTACACTGAAGCAGCCGTTAAACATCTCGAACAACTTCATCTGGTATAGGAATTTATATGTAGGTGGACTGATGGGTTTTTCACAACTTTCGTCATATCTCCATAGATCCAGATGGGAAATAAAGTTAGTGTGTCTACAGAGCAGCAAAAACACTTGTTTTTATGTTTGAAAATCATGTCACCTAGTCAGATATTTATATTTTTAGGCGAGCTCCTCTGAAGATCTTGGCCGCTGGCTGGGCATTTTGTTTGCCGAGACCGGTAGCGGCACCCTCCCTGAAGAGCTGCACTACGACTACATCGATGTGGACACACTCACCGACATACGGCAAGCTGCCAGACACTCCTTCTTGTGAGTCACTTCTACCAGTGTGCTACTACACCAAGAACTTCCTTTCCTTTGAGTGTAATTTCAGTTTTAACTATGGCTCTGATCTTTCCTCTGGAAGGTGGGCTACTACCACTGCTACTTCCTCCAGCAGTGCTTCAATAGACTCCAGAACGTATGACGAAGTGTACGAAAGCATTGCGGTGAGACAACATGAAACTGTTTTTATGACATAATCTGAACAGGCTATAGGGATTTTTAAAACATCAACCAAACCAACCTGGCCTTTATTGAAAAAGTCCTTTATAAAAAAAACTACATTTTTTTGGGAAGCTGAGTTTAATTTCACTCGCCTTACCCTGACAACTGCTGTCAGACTTAAACTGAACCTGACTGACAACATGATTAGGGCAAAAGGACGTTAAAAGATGATTAAATATAGATAAAAAAAAAAACATTGGCACTGACATATATCTGTCTGGAAAGAACGACAAAGTAATTTATCTGACTTTGGGACTCCATCAAACCATAAGACTTTAACTAAAAGTAGAGAAAAGATGCCAAGGCATCAAAGTCCCAGTTGTTGGAATTGATGGAGCGATAAATTCTGCTCTGTATCATAAAACCCTGAAAGAAAATGTCTGACCATCAGTTAATATCAGCAGCCCCTGCAGGCTGGAAGCCTTCAGCATGTCCACCTTTGAATTTCTCATTGAACTCAGTTTATTGACAATTACCTCTTTTACATCTGTTCATACTGATCTAGATAACTTCGTTTCTCTTAATAGTTGAAAAGGGCATCTAAAGATTGTACTTTTAATTTACTAATTTTCTGACTGTCTGACACAAAATATTATTAATAAAATAAAAATAAAAAAAACAGAAGAAATCTGTAACGGAACAAATGCTGTTGGGTTTATCATAAATTTTGATTGCATCTGTGTTGGGCTTTGTTTCTCTCCAGTTGGTAAAAGTCCTTTGCTGTGCACTGTAAGCTAAAAAGAATAAAATCCACCATGAAAGGTCACTAAAATTATTTTTCTGTAGGATGAAGATGTCGAGAGCAAAACAGGTCAGGTGAGACGTCATGCCTCCTTCTCCAGCAGGGACTCAGAAAAAACCGAACAACAGGCTACCATCAAGAGGCACGCCTCCAGTGAGTCACCTTTCATTTCATAATTCATTGGCTTTGCTGCATAAAATTTTAATGGGAGAAAATGTTGCCACAGCTGGCTCTCTCCTGGATGTCTGACACCACGTCTTCCCACAGTGCATTACCAGAATTGCTATGTCTATTCAAATGCCTGTTTATTTATTTCCCCTTAGATGTAAATCCGTACGGGCGCTATGGGAAGATGCGTGCAGAGGAAGACGCCAGACGATACCTGAGGCAGAAAGAGGAGCTGGAGAAGCAAAAGGAGGAGCTGAGAAACACCCTGATCTCCCTCCGTAGGGAGAAGAAGGAGGTGAAGGAGCAAATGAAGACTGACGCAGGTCAGACAGACATCAGGCAGCACTGCTTAGACTCCTGCTTTGGATTGACTCTAATTCTCAGCATGTGTGTTTGTATGTGTGCAGGTGAAGCTATGGAAAAGCAGTTAGCTGAGATAGAAACACTGTGCAAACAGAAGGAGGAGGAGAGGGTGGAGCTGGAGCTGCAGCTGACAGAAGTCAAAGAAAATCTGAAGAAATCACTGGCTAGAGGAGCTCTCGGTCCGCCTGTGGACACAAAGGTCAACGTCAAGGTGGGAATCAGCACATCATTTGTACAACTTCAACATTAATTTAGAAATAAAATATTGACTTAAGAATATTAGTGTTTTTTTTTATATCTGTCAACATGTGAACGCAAAGAGTAATATTTAAGAAATACACCTTTGCAGTATTTTATCAGTCACCCTTTCAGATTACTATATATTTAATGGATAGATTCCAAGTTTTGAATTAGAATTTGAATACAACTGCAATTCCTTTTAAACAACACACAGCTTTGCTCAGTTTAGCTTCGCTGTCATTCGAAATGCTTGATGAAACATTGGTGAAGTTTTTGCATGTGGGCTTCTGTTTGACCACAGACTCAGAGAAATAAGGCTGAAAAGGTTTACAATGAGAGCGTTCCCGTCAACTCAGCATCTGAGCTTCGTAAACGTCCCCCGTCTCTTTATGCTTCCTCCAGGGGGAACGTCATGCAGAAAGCAAAGGTAAAGTACGTCCTGCTGAGACTGTGTCAGAGGACGCCCATGACACTGATCTTTGATCAAGTTAACATTGTCTAAAGTCTAAATCTGACATTTCTGAATAATTCAGGCACATTCATTACATACTAAACGTAATAGTTGGGCTGTAGCTGTCATGCCAGTGCAAGGTCTGTGTCTGATGTTTGCTTTCTCATTGTTTTCAGGAATGGGAATCAAAGAAGGGGACTTAGACGACACAAACAGACTGAGGAGAAAAGAAAAAACTTGTTTGGCAGGAGAATGTGTGCCAGATGAAAGGATGAGGAGATCATCTATTCAAGAAGATAAAGAAGAGAAAAGAATGAAGAGGGTGATGCACAGCCAGGCTGATGCTAACCAAGCTGTCTTAAATGTGACAAACTAGACCGTTTAAAACCAGCGCAGTATTAACGTGATCACTCTAACCATGAGCTAAGTCTTGTGTTCATGCGTCTGCATGTTTATTGCACATGTGCAGAAAGTGATCATGTGACCTTTGAACAGAAATGCGTAGTAAAGGGAGAGAAGGATGATTCTTACTGTAAGTTGAAGATACAGACAAGACTTCCTTCGTGTATTCACCCAAATATCTTGGGTCTTTTACACAAAATGTATAAATGAAAGTTAAAGAGTGAAACCAAAAATTATTAAATTATCATTGTCTTTGGAAGAAGTAGCTCATATTTTAAGGATTTAAAAAAATTATAATTAGTATGACACTGTACCTGAGAGAAATAAACCAATGTTTATTGTTTTAATGTGAAGTGATTACTTTAAACATTGTATGTTTAATTTTACATATATATAAATTTACATTTTTTTATTTAATTGTTGCACTTTATGCTTTTGTAATTACCTAAATGTTTTCAGTTATAGCAAAACAAACACACCCTTTGTAGCCAAAGTATTTGAAGAAAATGCCATGTCTGCTCTTCATTGCACAGATGTGAACAAAACACACATGTTGGAGTAAATGATTGTTTCAAGAGACCTTCATTGTCTTTTTTATTATTTTGTTTTTATGCAAGACTTATGTTGGAAAGTCTGCATAAGTCTTGTGAAGAAGAGACCCAGCTTTAGGTTTAACTGTGGACCTGCAAGCACCATCTAGTGGCAAAGTAAAAATAATGCAAGGGCTGGAAGCTAATTGGAAAATATTGTGAGGAATGAATCTAATACAGACAATAGCTGAGTGGTTTTACTTTCTTTTAAAAATAGCTCAAAATTAACTATACTCTTTTTTTAAGAATAAGAAATAGAAAACTGCTGTTTGTAACAACTTCTAGTTTATGATATGTCCTAACCTTTGTGGTTTATTTGCCTTTGCGAAATATTATAAGTTATAACCAATTTTTCAATATCTGAAGGATACAGTTTATGTCCAGTGGCTGAAACTTGGACACAGTTTGGTTTTTAGGACAGTTACCCCAAACAAACATTAAAACAGATTTTGGAAATCCGTTCTGAATGGCTGCCAAAAGCCTTGGCCCCTACCCAGTAGAAAGTTTATGGATTATGATTTAAAGAAGTAGCAGTGCCAACAAGCCAACATACTTAAATTAAATGTTTTCATTTCTGATTAGAAATATCCAACCAGATTTATAAAAGGACCTCAATGATTGTCACAAACAGTGTGGCTTCTCTAAACATTTGACAAAGGACATTGAACTACATATTTTTGGGATGTTTATTTAAATTAACAACTTTATAATTATGAACATGAGTGGCTCTTATGGACCTGCTCTTTTTTTTTCAAAACCTATTTTAGTTGTGTAGCTCTACTATTATTATTAGTACAGCTTGGTAAAACTGTTAGCATAAATCCTTATGTTGAATACAAATGAGGCGTGTGTCCCTTTAGTTATAAGTAGGAATGTAATATTATAATCACTAACAATATTTAAGTTACATAGATGTACATAAAAAAATAGAAAAACCATTCACTTTGCTTCTTTACAAAGTTTATTTAGTGCATTTCTAGTTTGTGCACAGCAGGAACCAAAATATGAAGATAATCTGTGCTCCCATTGGTTTACCAAAGTTCTGGTTCAACACCATTGGTCCACACATGTTCTGGTGCAATACTATTGGTCCAGAAGTGTTCTAACACCCTCACACTGGTTCACTAGTGTTCTGGTATCCCACTATTGGCTCACTAGTGTTTTCTTGTGGTCGTTAACATGTAAGACCCAGAGGGGAAAAAAGGCCTGGGGGACTTTCAGCATGCTGCTACTGAGCAGAGGTCCACGAGCTTCCATGCAACAACAAACAAACAAACAAACAGCAAGGGACGACAGCTACCAACAGAAAGATAAACAACAGCGCCGCCCGTAAGAAGTGAGCATGGAAGCATATACAGTAAACCTTATATGTGACCTGCTGAAGCCCTCAGGAGGTTCGTCTGATATACAACAGATCTTAAAAAGGTAAAAGACACATGCGTGCGCGCTCACACACACACACCTACTGCAAACACAGCTTTCTCTGTCGCGCGCGCACACACACACACACGCACACACACCCACACACACAGGCACACACACGCATACACAGAGGCGCACATGCATGCAAATAAATCCTTATGATTTTACAAGGAATACGTCCATCATTTTTGAAAATATGACTTAACCCCATGAGCTGTGTGTAAACATAGCGTACAGTAGCATACAGGTGCATTTCAATAATTCATTCATTCAAGTCATAAAGTGAAACTTATATCGATTCATTGCACATTTGGTGAAATATTTCTTACAGCTTAAGAAATCCCAAAATTCAGCTATTCTCACAACTAAGATATTACATGAAGCTAATTGCTTATCCCAATTGCACAATCAGGATTTCTCATCTACACTTTTTTCTTCCACTCAACCTTCTAACTGCTTGGACACAACATTTTGAACAGCAAAGTTCTTTATCAATAACAATTTATAGGTTTTTGTTATGGAAGAGTTCAAAGACAGACCAAAAAATGTTTCTCTGCCATGTCCATGGCTTACACAATGATGGAGAAGACAGTTGACTTCACAGTTATCCAGTAGACAGTGACTGACGCCTTCCACAAGGAAGGAAAGAAATAAAAAAATCATTGTTAAAGAAGCTGTTTGCTTTATTCAAGCATATTCAAAATCTGAGTAGAAGGAAAAAACAAGGGCTACCTGTTAAAAGCCTTTTAATTAGTCTTATGTAATATTATCCAAGCTTACTGAGAAATTGAATTTTGGGACTTTTATGTAAGCTCTAAGTCATAATCATCTACATTGACTAAATTAAATCCTATAAATATATAAATTTGTGTAAAGAATCAATTTAATATGCAAATTTCACTTTTTGAATTGTTTTACAGGAAAAAAATACAACAACTAAACTTGTAATTTATCAAAATGCACCTGTAAATAAAGACTGCCCTCCTCATTTTTGTAACTCCATGTAACTCTCTGGCCCCTTTTTATACCAGTTTAGGTAATACTTTAACTCTTTGGTTCTCTGTAACAGTCTGTTGAACGTACTTTGTGACTGACTGAACTTGTCTGTCCCTTCCTTGTCTCTCTCCCTCCTCTGTAGTATCTTTTTAATGTTGGACAGAAGCGGTCCACAAGTCGCGTTCCCGTCGCCGAGGGCAGCAGAGCCAAAAAGGGTTGATTGTCCTTGATTTATGTACATCACAGTCAGTCACAGTGGGCTCTGAGAAGACGAAGAGCTCTTTCTTCTTGGTTATTGACCTCGTCTTCCCGTCCCTCTCAGAAGTAATGGGAATGTTGGCCTGAGATTTGTGTGTTTGTGGGTGACTGTGTGTTCCTGTTGGGATGAGCGCTTGTGTTTGAACGCGTCAGTAAGGAAGTGGAGAGGCTAGGATAGGTCGTCGTTGCTGGGTGTCTTCCTGCCGCCGTTGAGCAGGGCTGAAGCGCTGCGGCTCTTGGTCGGCGTGCCGCTGCCGGATCGTGACAGTTCTGTCAGGTCATGGAGGGAGGGCTCCCTGTACATGGCCACTACACAAACAGACACACATGAATTATTAATATAGTTAGAGAACCACTCAGGTTTGATACGGTAAATGCATTTACATAACCCTCTCCTGGTCTTATCGACCACTCAGGGCACTTTACACCTTGAGGCAAATACACACGTGTGCGGCCTTGTTCAGTCGGCACATTTAGCGTGCTTCAGCTCCTCCTTTATGATCATTTTGAGCTGTTCAATATGTGAGTGCAGTAAATTAGGATTTCCTGTCATTAATTGGGAATAATAAAGGAAATTAACAAAGGAACAATAATTTAATTAAAGAATCAATTAGTTAACAGTCACTCAGTAGCAAACAAGCAGATTAGAAACAGTCCCAGCATTTGTTTTGAGTCAGATTTGTGTCCATTTAATGAATGCAAATCCAATAGCCGCTTCGTTCTCAGCTTTGTTTTGCTCTCTGCTGGTTCCCAAGGGAAATTTACCACTCTTACGCTAACCTGGCACATCTGGCAAGTCAAGGAGCTTTTTAGAGATACTTGACTTACTTTTAGAGCTTTGCCATTAGAAGCTGCTGCCTGCTGCGTTTAGACGCAGGCATCCAAACAAATCAGGAGCTTTTGCGAGTCAGACAAGCAAGCAAATGCTAAACACAGAGGTCCTTATCTCAGTGAGGATCCATTACTGGCAGAAGTGTTAGTCATTAAATAGTTATTGGATCTGTTGCTCGCACAGTAATATTGATTAGAATCTTAGGCCAAAATTATGTACTTTCACTGTTTTATTTTGCATTACATAAATTACATATATATCCGACATACACATTTACATCGTATACTTCAGGAATGTTATGAATGATTTTTTTAAAGATCTTTTTTACTTTTATGAAATTTTAAAACATTTTTTTTAATATGGTGGCCTGAACATGATCTGGATGAACCTAAATGATACGATTGCTGAATATGCTTCTGTACATGAATTGGATCTCTTCATCTTCTAAAGTGCCTTGAGATGACATTTATTGTGAATTGGTGCCGTATGAATAGAACTGAATGATTTCTAAGTGAAGAAAGAGCACTTCCAGACTTTGATGAGCATTTTCAGCCGACTGACTGACAGGAAACATGGGCCCAAACAGAGAAGCTGTCAGGCAAAGACAATGGAAAAAAAGGATTATAAAACTCCTTAGAGCAAGTAATTCAAGCATGGAGAAGGAGCTCCATTCTTACTGCCTCTAAAATTAGGAGCAACAAACAAAACATGTCTACATCATGTGTGTCTATTTGTCATTGTTCTGCACAATGTCCACACAAAAGACTATTGCTGCTATGAGTTTTGACCTGGTCAGAGGTCTTTCTGATGAAATATTATGCAAAAAATGTTCCTTTACTTTAAGAAAAAAGAAAAGCTTTAAGAAAGAACAAACAAGGAAAGCAATGTAAGATGACACTCTGTTTATTCAACTACATGAAAGATATTGAACTAAAACTGATCAAATGCAGACCTGAGCCTTTAGAAACAATTAAATAGCTATTTAATTTAACATGGTACTGGAAGCTACAAACAAAATGCCTTATTTATTGCTGCTACTGAGCCAGGTGCATGTTTTATTTTTGGTTGCCATACGAATGCAGGTGAAAGCAAATGAAAGAAAAGCTCCTTAAAAGAAGACAGGAAGCAAACAACCTTTAAGTTCATTGCATTCTTAAGAAAATGCAATGGACATACTCAAAACGAAATATCTGAAGAAAACTTCTCCTATTAAAAGCTAATCAGAAGAAAACAAGGATAGAGAGAATCAGGCCTGAACCACGAATGAAAAGATAAAAACCTCAGCTTTTCTTTAACGCAGATCCAATTAAATATTGAAGTGTTTTCCTCAACAAACTCAAAGATTTTCACTGATGAGGGTATTGAGTATCAGATACAAGTGAGTAGATAGTAAACACCTCTGCAATTAATAAAAAATGGATGCAGTTTTTTCTATAATCTCTTTTTCATTTAGATCTTTTTTACAGGTTATTGATAACAAA